TTTGGAGGCATATAATTTAACACTTTTGTAAAGATAAAGACAGTATTCTGGCAATTCAACTAGTGTTACTAATTGGTATCTAAACCATAAGTCAACTACTCTACTTTCGGACCACCCTTTTACACCAAAAACAGTAGTTTTTCGATATCTATAATTCTATCAATATTGAATATTATTATATAAAATTTAAACTATAGATTCTTTATATAGTTATTAGCTTGGTTACAATTTTTCAGATTTTTAGTAATTTTATATAAAAAATTATAAAGATTCAAAATTCGTGATTTTGATTTTGTATACAAATCGTATACAAAATAATAAATATTCAAAAAGCTTTAATGTCACGGGTTCACTACCCGTTCCTAGCTAGCTCGGATGGATGCCTTAGGCATCCATCCACCATATCGTCGTCGTCGCTCCGCGCGCCTCCTTCTCTCCTCGTCGAATATCATACATCATACCTAGTACCCACCAGAACCTGTACCAGCCCCGTGATATTTAATAACTAATCAATTAAAATAATTAAAAATATATTTCAAATATTTATAAAATCACTAAAAATCTGAAAAGTTGTAACTAAGCTAATTACTATATAAAGAATTTATATTTAAAATTTTATTCAATTAAATTCTTTATTAAGAAAGTTATAAAAATCGAAAATCACTGTTTTTGGTGTGAAAAGGTGGTCCGAAAGTAGGGTAGTTGACTTAGTTGATGCAAATGGGCGTAAGAATTTGTGAACACGAAGATGACTTTATTCCAGCGGCCCGTGGGCCACAGCCTCGTCATTTCATGCCCTTAGCAAAATGATGACTACCATCTACACATTGAAGAGTAGACTTTAAGGTTGTATTACCGATATATTGGCACGTGGTAAGAGACTAGAGTCCAAATTTTTTTTGGAGTAAAGTACTCTTAATATATTGTGGCTCCAGAATCTTGATACACAGATGCCTGCATGATGGCAGTGGCACTAGACTACCTAAACATTACCCGCATTCCATGGGTTCCTGTGGGTAATCTGCCCCGTGGATGAGCTGTCGAAGGTTTTGGGTACTCGGGGATACCTATTATGATTTCAAAATAACCTGTCTTGTGAATTGATGTATTATCTGCAAAATATTTATGAACAATTCATTAATCTATAATTGATGGATGCAATATATTCAATGTCAAATACTAATGACTTCTTGATTTATTTTAAATTTGAATTTGAATCTAAATCAATAATATTCAAATTTTAAAGATTTAGAATTTAAATTCAAATTCAGATTTAGATTCAGATTTAGACTCAGATTTAAAGATTATTCACTAATCTACATAATAAATACAATCTGTAGATTTGTGCATGTTTACAAATAATCTATGAATCATTTATTCGGATTTTCCAATAATCCGCCCCGTGTCTATTCGTTGCACAGCCTACCTGCATCCCTACAATATGTGAAACCGTATGACATTAAAGAGATCGCGAGCAAGACTTTTGGACTTCACAACTTGAAGGTGTGCCGAAGACAAATTCCATCTCATTGAAGCTCGACCATACTATTCGAAGAATATTTGCCGCGCTGGAGAAGCTCTAAGTTGAAACCGACTAATCTGAACACTGTCCAAAGCGTACGATATACCAAGCTAACTCCATTTGCCTGTGACAAAAGATTTAGATTATTGTCACCAAGGAACTAAACTTTACACTGTTGCCTTGAATCACTGAAAAAGTACGACTGTAATTTTTGGGACTAGAGTTTTTATAATTCGAATATTTGGTCTAGAATAAGATGTCGACATCAACTGAAATACTTTGAAAAAGACTCAAATATTGTATAAGATAAACTATACCATGGAGATAAACCCTCTGAAATTCCAATATTAGACTGTAGAATTGATCAATTTTGCCAATGTGATTAGAATAGTATTGTTCCGGTTTCTAACGACAGGGATCTTTTAATGTCTAATTTCACATGGCTCATTGAGCCAAGCCTACTTGATAACTGAAACTAGATGTCTATAATGCCCTCTAAATAGTTCCAGCCATTGATCTATATCACCTAAGCTTTCGATAATAAACATAGTAATTATATCAACCTAGTCTAGATAGCTGGAAGAGTAGAATTCAAGCTTTTTAATCGGATATTGGAGACTCCTAATTCCTTGGAGTTGTTAAACAGTTTTCATCGAACAACAAAACAAGACATTGAGGCTGTCTTGTTCAATTCATGAACATTTAATTCTATGGGCTTTAGTTTTTAGTGTGAGAGATGGTGATTGTGCCGCGTAATTTACGCACAAGACGATATAGTTCTTCATTGTTACGGTGAGAGATATGATTACTTTCACTGCCCCCTGCATAAGAGCCTCCTTCAGCTAATATTCTTTGGTGAGAAAAATGACCATCTTACATAGCTTCTAAACATCGAAATGAGTATGTTTTACCTTCTGGATGAGATATATGGCTATTCTGGCTTTTGCACATATGCCAAAACAACTAAACTACAATCTAAGAATGGCAGGAAACTTTACCCTATCCGAACGATGAATCTTTAAACCGCCAGACTTTAATTGATGGGCGGAGGCGTAAATTTCTTGACTTGATTTCTGAACTTGGTAATGAGTAAACTTCAAACCATGGAATGGGACGTAAGACCTGCTCTACCTGATTGATAAACATTGAAACTGCGAAATTGTGTGGTGGGATTGGTGGGATGAAGGCATTCCTATCTTGCATGTTCATCCATTGAATCTTCATTTTCATGAACTTTTTCAATTCATTTCATACTAGTAGGATTTATCCTCATCAATCTCGACATGTAATCCACACCTGATATTCCTACATATCGGTCAAATTGGAAAATGAAACAGCTCTGTACACTACTACCACAGTACCTCAATTCAATCATTCAATGGTCTTTTTTTGCGCATACAAGCTGTCAATTGCTGAACCTATTTGTTTAACCAGTCGCGCAAGCAATTGATTGGCTGCAACAATGACATGTGTTGTCGCTTAGGTCGCGACAATCAAAAATGCGGGGCCTCGCTTACGATTTATATTGTTAAAAAAAGATCAATAGGTGAAATGGCAGCCTTCGTCAAATTCTTGTCAACCTCGATCTTTAAAAAGGTATCCTCAACACAGACTTTTTTTCTTACCCTGACAACGTCTACAAGCTCATTTGACCGTACCACTTCTTCGACATTCTTCTAATACTTACTACTTCACCGAACAATTTTCACCGTTTGATGCAGCCATGTCCTCCCCAAAGAAAACTCTTTTGCCCGATTTGGAGCGAAAAGCTTCATTGAGAGCTCGTATTTCGAAAGTTAAGGTCGAAGAACTATCAAAGCGCTTTAAGAAAGGACTCAACTCCTCCAGAAAAGCTCTCACCAAGAACGTTGCAGATATGGTGGCTGTGCCTCCGATTGAACTCACGGTCGAAGCACCAGCCATCACTGGTACAGCTAGTCCGTACCGGCCAATTCTTTCCAAGTCAAACACGCCAACCGTACCAAGTGGACCTTCTAAGGCCACTGCCACCACCTCTTCCTTTTCTTCTTCATCTTCTTCGTCTGTATCAGCAAAGAGAATTAAATTACATCACACACCTTCGTTGGCAACAAAAGCCACCACCACAGCCTCTACATCATTGTCTGCTGTCTTGACAGCTTCTTTTACCGCAAAGCCCACCACAAAGAGCTCTGCAAACGCCAAGGACGTTCGGCCAGCTCTTGGTGCAGCGGTCCCTCCGATTCCAGTTCCTCGTGCCAACAGCACAACTTCCAAAGTCGACTATACGAGTAAGGGTAAAGCACCAGCTGATGAGCCAATCATGCACCCCCAACTCTTTGATAACTCCCTTCAAAATGGCACTAAGCGTACTCGTGCGCAATTTGAGGGCCTAGAGGAGTAAGTATTTATTCAACCATTGAACCTTCGATCGTGGCATCTAACAGCTTTACAGTGAGCCATTCGTGATTCTTGGTGGTACTATCAATGACTCTGCTAGGTACAGCTTCACTAAAGATGATTTTGAGGCCATACTTGAGGTAGCCCCTCACTTCAAGACATATCTCGCGACTCCTAACTCTACTTTCATCAACATCACCGAATTCTTTGGCTCGTCTCTCAAAGTTCTGCTCCAATGGATCACTACAGACACTCTTGTAGAGCTTGATCCTCGTAAGCCAGGAAGACGAGAAGGTCTCGCTAACTACCACCTTGTCGACACCTACACCATGGCTAACACCTTCGGTCTCTCTGCGCTGTGCGACGAAATAATGAGCATGGCTATGAGAGAGCTCTGGGGAAAGAAGGATGAAGAATGCATCTTACCCGACATTCGTGATCTATCCATGGTCTATTCCCGAACTAGACCAGGCAACCCAATGAGAAACCTATACATCGCCGTCTTTGAGTATGTACCCCTCTTTCCTTTCTTTGTCGGGCATTTTTCACATACTAACATCCCTTGCAGTTGGTTTTTGACCTCCGACGAATGTAACCGCGTCAACAGTAAATCCAAAATCTCCAGCGCTAAGCTTTGGGATCTTCTCAAGGATTCTGACCATGCTGGAGTTGATTATATCAACTACGCGAGAGGTCAAATTAGCGACCGTGGCGTCTACACCCATCCTCTCGATCCACGAAAGTGGAATACTTGCGAACTACATCAGCATGCAATCGATAAACCTTGCCCTGTCACGGATAAGGTGAAGCGTGAAACGTGAAGCTGCTGCAGCTCGAGCCTTTGTTTGGTTCGATTGTTGGTGCTTTCATTCGACATTTGAACTTGCTCTGAGCTTTGAAGCGATTAAAATGAAATTCGCACGTTACGATAGGATTTTTTCTTGATGTTTATTATGAGATTGGGAAGCCGCAATGATTTGGGTGCCCGTTTATTGTACTCTCATAGATAGCTTACTCTACATAACTTTATATTTGATACTACATACTTTCAGAATGTTCTCCATACGTGTTCCCCAGATGTATTTCTTCTTCGATCGTGACTGCCAATTGATCCATTATTCTTTAGATAGTGCGAGGAAGCGGCGTTGAAGCGTTGCGAGACGTATTCAATTAGATAAACATGTGGAGTCTTGGTCCTTCGTCCTTGTATCACACGACTCTAGTATTCATCCTTTCATTTTCTACATTGCATCAAATTGGTTCTTAATCACTCACATTATTTATCTATCTTTTCAAATCGGAGAGTCCAACCACAGGAGTACCTGACGAATTGTCCTTTGCAGGCCCTACCGAGGAATTTAAGTATGTGTAATTGATTCTCTTCCATTATATAGTCCCGGATATGTAGTTTTGTTTGGATCTTCCCTCTCATTCAGCTATGTTTCCTTGTTCACTCTGAAAATTATCCTTGATAGACAATTACTGACATTCCAATGCTCTAGACTTCTATATTTTTCAGCCCATGGGAAGATATCAACGACCGGATTGTCGCCCATCATGGAGTCCCAGACTCAGAACCTCGAGACAAGATGGAGTTCGACCGCTAGCAACAAGACCGTTTCTTTTAATACTGGATGCAATGCTGAGGATTATCTGTTAGAAGATAGTGGCTATGGTTCCGAGATTATGAATCTATTTGACGGCGAGCATCCAAAGACTGGAGGGCTACGGTCAGAAACTCCACTCGACCAAAAGCTGGAAAGAATATTGGAGTAGGTTGATAGGCTACTGATACCCATATCGAATCAATGATTCTACTTTAAACTTCAGTATTTCACTTTGATGTTGTGCAGGACCCTGCTAACACGGCTTTGGATCTAGCGAGGGAAAAGAATTTGTTGGCATTGACATTAATGGAGAGAGTGATGGGAATCATTCCGTAACCTATACGGCAAGAGAAACGTCTTTTCGAGCGCAATGGGTTTCGATTCGCTAATAGTTGATGCGTAGTTCATGAAAGATTTTCTTTTCAGACGCATTCCCAACTTGCTGGACATCATTTCTGAGACAAACAATGAATCTTTTATCAAGCTTGGAACTAGGACTTCGGATTTTCAGATCGACGGGCTACGATTGAAATCGTTTGACTCAATATTATATTGGATCTTTCATGATAAGATGCCGCCAAACCTTCCCCAACCAAGTGAGCATGGTTGGGACCCCGCATTGCTTTGGTACTTTGCCGCAGAGCTCGAACTACCTGAGCTACAGGATCTCATCATGGATGCATGGAGGAGGGTCGAAAGTAAGCCCGGCATGGTCGAAGACCCGGCCGTGTACTACCTCTATGTGCAGAAGAACTTCGACGCAGGTCCACAAGGAGACTATTTACAGGCTCGGTTACAGAGCCTCCGAACAAATATGCGTTCAAAAGTTTTCACTTACAAAGAACTTGTTCGAAGTCTCGGTGAGAAGAAGGAAAGGACTGCGAGCTCTCATACGGCAAGTTGTCAGCTTCGTATCTCCGATGCTGAAGATAAGTTCGTTTCTGTACGGAGCACTTGAAGAAAAGTCGAACATCATGGACGGATTAGCGCTGGCATGGTTCGAATATAAGTGATCATTGTGACTTCCAGTACTTTTCTTCTGGATATTTTCAGGTGATAGCATAGGCGTTGTAAGAAGGGGTTTGTAAAGCATGGAGAGCCCATTTACCAAGGTTTTAACTTCAGCACTAGGTACAGCGCAAAAATGTCGGGTGTCTTCGTAAATTCAATACCTGTGCATGTGGGTGATTGGCGCATGATTCAGAGCTTACAGCTGAAACTTCAGGTGAGGAGCGCTGTATTATAGGCTGAGATACACGCTGTGTTGTAGGGGAAATATAGCCTTGCATAATCTAGTAGAGTAGCGTCGGCGTTACATAAGCGGGGTAGGCACCACAACGTCCTCCTTCTCCTTCTCTTTGCATCTCGTATTTTTATCGCGAAACCTAAGATAGCACAAAGCAGCGAGACCCGCCATTTGAGGGCACAGAAGCATCTACATGAGATCTTCCGCAGAACAAATCAACATTTTACTCGAGCAGTTGGAGAATGTGTGTTTGACGGCCATGTTAAGGAAGAACATTGTGTTTACTATAAGCTGAAGATATATTGAGACTGTGAGTAGATTTGTGAATAAGCAATTCATAGGGGTGAGATACGACCCTATGATTTTTATAGGAGACGGGGTCTCGATTCCTTGACCGGCGCTGTTACAAGAAGGGGTAGACCAGAGTATTAGTTCCTGATTCTCCGTCGTTAAGGATTCTATGAAGATTCTGTCATCTAGCTGGTTGAAACTGGGAGTGGATGGAGCACTGATACCTGCTTGTGTGTATGCGTTTATCTCATGTATCGTGAAGATTCTTTGTCACAATATCTCCTTCGTCCCCTGGCTTGTAATTCAATATTTCGATGTCTCTAGATATATGTTAACTAGACGTCTCTCTAGTTTTTGCTATCAAATTCAAAATTTGGTGTGAATGTGCCTCTCGTCAAAACAAATAAAGGTGGTTGATATCACCATTCTACTTGTATCGTTTTAAACAATTGGTATCTATCCAAAGTTAAAAGCCTTACATTTTAGATTTCTGGTTTTGATCTATTTAATCTGCCCCATCGGTCGATACGAGTGATTAGTTATTAGGGCACCCCATGTGAAGGAGTGTAATTAGACGCTAGAGTGGTGGTTTTGTAAATCAAGTTGTCAATGAAGAAGGGCTTCCTCTCTTTCTTCTATGAACCAGGCTAGTGCGATTGCTAACGCTAATGCTAATGCTAATACTAATGCTAATGATAATGATAATGCTAATGGAGATGAAGGAGCCGGGTGGTCTGGGTCATGGCTGCTGACATCCCATTGGCTAATTGGAATATTCCATACGAATAGAGTGTTCTATTGATACATCGGACTATTTCTTGCAAAATTGAAGATACATTATTTGCTTTTTTATAATAAATTTTTACTACAAGATATTGAAAAAAACCATTTACGAATACTAGTAGATCAAAAGCTATAGATTAGTTTTAAGAGATATTATCCTAGAACTATTAATAAATATTATAAAAGTATTTATATTATATACATATAGTACTATCTTCAATTTGAAAGTGGCAATCCGATTGATCAATAGAACATCAGACTCATGTAACACAGTCTAATCCAGCAATACGGTGCCCCCTTGCTTATTCTTTGTGTTGACTAACGGGTAGACCCATATTCAAGATCTTGATTGGAATTAGCCATTGAATATCATGTTACGGTATCAGTGTCATACCGGTATATGGGCGGTATATGGTCATGTGATAATACCGTATAGGTAGGTCATCTCTTGGTTATACGGGCCTCTCTATCCTAGGAAAATTTTCGAATCTACATCTATTTCCTTGTGTTCAACATCACATACATTCCTCGGATGCACACCACTCTTCACCACATATTTCACTTGCAGATAGTGAATCACGTTATTCAATCTTTTCGAGCTATCTAGCGATCTTCTTACTTAATACTTATTTTGATTCGTAACTTTTTGTTTTCCTGTTTTACACAACACAAAATCGAAGTTACCCTCAAAAGGTCGTGAACAAGCTCTACACATTGCAAAGTGTACTAATAAGCATAAGCCAGTCACCAAACCCGAAAGAACGAGCTTGAAAGTGGTGGTGGACACCGACCAGAAACCGTAAGTTTGAGATTCCCGACAATGTTGAGAAACAACTGCTAATCAGTCTTTTAAGATACATAATGGCTTCCATATCAATATCAAAAGCAGACGATAATTCACCTTTCCTCAAGTAAGTTATATCAGTGTTTGCCGAATTCAGCTTTCGAACCGCCGATACTAACGATTAGTAGCCTCGCAGGGGTTCAAATGGTCAATCTCTACATCGGTCCAAGCGCAACGCATTATCGAGTGCATAAAGCAATCCTCTGTGGCAGAGTTCCCTATTTTCAGAAGATGTTCAACAGTGGCTTCTCCGAGGCATTCAGCAACTCGGTAACTGTTGGTATCAACGGGAACACCTTTCAGATCTACGATGGTAGAAAGTCCGACGGGTGTTCAGTGTTGATATCAATAAAAAGCTTGTTGATTACTATTGTACATGATGGAGACTATATGTGTATTGAAGCCCTTTCGCTAAGGCTTGCCCTAGCCCTTCGCTAGTACGGTGCCAGTACTCCGGTACAGTAGATGACTATACCGACAGTAACATTTCCTGAAGATTCGACTGAACTCTGATATCTTAATTGAATGGGTGTATACTCAATCACTTCGGCCTCTGATAATGGTTGACGCTACATATACAACTGGAGCCCTATAGGTTTCTATATCTTCTTGGACAAGCTGTGTTTTCCAGACCTTATGAATGAGACGATAGATCTCTTTCAGCAATTTGATAAGGACAACAAGCGCTTGATACCCATCAACCTAGCAATATTCATTTACAGGCGATTACCACCAAGTTCAAAGCTGCGTCTATATGCCTTGCACAACTTCACATGGTCTTTTGGTTTGAAGCAGAAAAATGGACACGGAACAACTGATATGTATCTAACTGCCATGCAGCAGGCATCCAACCTTGCGTTGGATTTCCTCTCCATTTTGCGGGAAGAAATTCGGGGTGGCAAAAAGGTAAATCCACACTGGTGATGGTTCTCTGTATCATATCCATGGGGAAGGAATAAGTTGCAGTTGTCCCTCAGATGCAAAGAAAGACGACAAGAAGACAGAAGGCTCCTAATATTTGGTGGCAAGGGATATGCTTTTGTACTAATAGATAGCAGAGAGTGCATCATCATGCTTCGTTCTGAATAAACTACTTACATTTTCCATGATAAGACTGAAAACCTCCTAGAATCTTCGAATATTGAGATAATATATCAAACGGTAAATACCCCAAATAGTATAAATTTCATCTTTAGGAACTTGAATAGTATATGAATTCATATTTTAGTATTTTTATTAAAAAGTTATAAGTATTCTTTGAAAAGTATATAAATCATATATTTTGATCTTTAATAACTTTATATAAAAAGTCACTAAAATTCAGAAAGCTTATATCTAAACTAATAACTATATAAAGAATATATATACAAAATTTCATTCAATTGCATCCATTAATTAAAAAGTTATAAAAGCTAAAAATCTCTGTTTTTGATATATAAAGTAGAAGTGGACGGAATCATTGTAAATACAAGCTTTCGGAATCAGGCCTGTAAATATGAGCTTTCGGAAGGAACGAAATTACTGTAACTATAGGTATTTAGAATCAGCAAATTGATTGTAAATACAAGGTTTCGGAAGGAGCCGACAGAATCACTGTAAATACAAACCATCAGAATCAGCGGGATTATTACAACTACACGATTCAACACCGACTCCTCAACCACCCACATATTTTACAGCAGACAGCTTTTGTATAATTAATCCAGTTTAGATCTGCAAAGCGTATTATCTATCTCATGAAGTGTGTAAGAGCGAGCACTTTAGATTGGCTCGATCTTCGTTATTGCAGCTTATTCTGTTGGATCATATGCTGACCAGTCTTTAAGAAACGCGATGGCTTATCAATCGCCACCAACAACACCAATGGTTGCTTCTTCCCAAGAGTAAGTCTTATTGTCCTATCAGTTTGACTTCAGTGAAACTAACATAAATTAGTTTCACTGGAGTCGAAATGGTTGACTTGTATGTCGGTCCAGCGAAGACACGTTTTCATGTACACAAAGCGATCCTGTGCTCCAAGATTCCATACTTCGATAAGATGTTCAAGAGTGGTGGATTTATTGAAGCCTCCAAAAATACCGCAATATTTTCTGAAGACAGTCCTCAGTTCTTTCATATACTGATCGAATGGGTATATTCTGGATCCCTAGGTTCAATGAACTCATCCGACCCGGCAGTTAACACAAACCTCTTGAGTACCATCGCGTTTTATAGATTATTAGACAAATTGTGTTTACCTCAACTCATGGATATCACCATGGATATGTTCCGAAGACATCAATGGGAGAATCGTTTTGTGATGAGGGTGTCAAACATCCTCCTATCTTATCAAAGGTTGCCCGAGGGCTCACCATATCGTCGCTATGCCTTGCACTCCTTTCTGTTTGCATTTTACATGCAGCGTGAGCCCGAGCGAGATATTTGGACAACGACCTTGATGAAGGATGCAGTAGTAGAGAACGCTGACCTCGCCCAAGATTTCTTCACTCTTTTAAGAGATCAAGTCAACGTCCGTGCGCCAATCAATCCAGATGTTGTCGATAATTGCCTCTTTCACTGCCACAAATTAGATGAAGAGTGTCCTTTAAGAGGAAAGAAAGAAGCATGATGTTAAAGTGGAGGTCTAGTACAGCTATCTGTGCCAGATGGAGGAATGCGAACCTCTTCTCGGGAGCTGGCTACACAGTGGGATTTGGTTTCTACTTGGCTTTATGCTATAGGTCCAGCGTTACAAGATATCGAAATACTAAAAGACAATGCATCTTATTCTATGAAATAGTGTCAAGTTGAACCATACATGTATAATAAGTCTTCTCAATAAGTCTTCATCAATCTTCCACTCTCTACTTTCTTTCACACCATTACACCGTCACACCATCTACCATCTCGAAGAACAAAAGTACCTCAAGCTAGAAGATCCCCTATAACTAAGTGACGTTCCAGACATTGTCATAAGATTCAATTCCCTCCTTGACAACCACAAGAAATCTCAACAAAGAAGTCTTTACAACACTTCATTGATACATTATACTACTCGCGGAGTCATCATTGGTGATTGTAATTCCTCTAGTCTCGAAGATCTAGCAACATTCTTGTATTCTACGTCTTGAGTTATAACAAGTAGCGTCTATTTCTTACAGACTTCCTCGAACAGAATATGTACCAGGAATCGTGAAAACCAATTCATTTTATCAATTAGAAATGGTAACCCCAGATGTTGAATCCCATCTCAACTCTGTCACGTTTTCGGTGGGAGTCTATTAATTCTGTTTCCTCGAGATCATTTGGCTGATCATTCCAAATAGGGTATCGAAATGGTAGACATCTATATTGACCAGCATTAGGGCTGTATCGGGTTTGTAAATTGCTACTTTGTGTTCATACTTAATATTTCGATAAGATGTTCATTACCAGATCTTCCGAATCTGAATTAGATACAGCACATATGCCGAACACGGCGCAAGGAATTTTTAACTTCTAGTAGACTGGCTCTACACTAAGTCACGGACAGAGTGGAGCTATCAAGCGAGAGTCCAAGCCTAAATGCCTGCCTGACAAGAAGTCCCATTAGATTCTACATTTCTACCCATAAATCGTGTATCCTAGAGCTAATGGACGAATTGCTGAATACCATTCGCAAACCCTATGAAATTAAGCTTACGGATATACCGGATTATCTATGAGAAACTACCAGTGAGCTCTGAACTTCCCATTTAGGTACTAGATTTCATGATTTGCATCTTCGGTTTTGCATGTCACGAGACAAGAATTCTCGTCACACAAATCCCTTCAAATTTCTTCGACATTCTTCTTGTTCTTGAAAGAAATTAGGAACTTGCCACAGATTTCCACACCAGACTGAGAACTCAGCATATTGGCTAATTCGAAGAGAGAGACTCGTGATCCCTCAAACGGCAAAGATTGTTTATTACACTACTACCATGAAGCAAAAGAATAATACTCGCGATAAGCGACGGAGACAAAGGAGAAGAATCTAAAACATTGAAAACGGGATGAAATGGGTGTGGTTTTTTGGAATCGTATTTTAAGTGGGCGGCCGGTTAATTTAGAACTCAAAGCAAGAAATAAATGATCTAGGCCTATAAATACATGTCTAAGATTAGATTTAAGATCGAGCAGGGGTCTTTGAGAGACCTCAAGGACCCCTCTTCTAGGTCCAAGATCGGTAGTTCCCACACTTGCTAGTCTCATACATTACGATATTGACGAATTCCAATACAAAATCTACCCCCTCATCTCCATCTCTATCTGTATCAATATTTCATATAGGCTTACTTTCTAGTACCGGCTCAGCAAATGCACCATCCACAACTTCCCGAACCTACACTGATATCTTAAAGTTTACGTATATCATCAGCGGATGTATCCAACATATTATCATTATATTGTACATTCGCCCATTCACCCTTCCAATCCAACTCAAATTTCAATTCCAACATATACTACCAGAACTCGGGCTCGCTAAACAACAGATGAATATAGGAAGCCTGCCCTCCTTACCCCACCCTACCAACACCATTATATACCAAATGACCTCTCATACAGGTTTAAAAAACCAACCTACCTCTATACAACCAATACACATACATATCCAACAAGATTTTCAAATTAAATCTCAACAAAAACAATTCCAATACATCTCATCTCATCTCATCTCATCCACAGAATTACAGCCATGCATATCTTGTTCGCACTAGTACGTATACGTATATCCAGATCTTTCAATAATCTCATTGTTACTGTTACTACCTATCATAAATACCATATCTACTGTACTCGAGCAATCTAAATATCACTTCCTTACATTACAAAATACATACGCATATTCCATGTAAGATTACAAAAATTACATTCATCAAGCCATCAAATCATCACATTTTCAAATCTGAGTTCCATCGAATAACAATCAATTATCAAATGTCACGCTCCAAGCTTCCGAGTATGTTTTTCGTGATAGTGTACTGCAATTAATAAGTGCTCGAAATAAAGTAGTATTGGGACTAGATAATAATCCTACATCTAGATAGCTGATACTGGAAGAACTTTGTGCTAGTGAAAGGTTTTATGATACTCAAATATTCTGAGGATTTGCATCAATATGATATGAACGAGTAGATTCTTAAAGAAAATAAATACCCAACTTCAAAACAACAAAATACATACTACTCCATTACATCTCCAAGCACTAAACACCATATCCCCAAACCCAGCCCCAAGTCCAACCCCCTATCCCGTCTCCCCCATCGTCGACCAATCCTCCCTAACCGCCGGCGTCCTAACCGCCCCTATCCCCGGCCAACCCTCCGTCCACCCACTAACCCCATCCATCTCCCTCACACACTCCCTCCACCCCCTACTTTTCAAATTCTCCCCCTTCCTCACCACCAGCACGACCAAATTTTCCCAATCTCTCCACCCCTCCTCCCTCAACGTCCTCCCCCCATGTTTTGCCCACCTATTCCCCACCCTAATCCTCATTACCATCTCATCCTTCTCCTTCTCCCCCCCAGGAAACCCCTCCACCCCCCTCAACAACCTCTTAAACTGCGAAACATTCCACCTCAACGGCACATTCGCATACGCCAAATAATACCTCAGCACCCCCGAATCCGGCAGCGCCTGCCTCTTACTAGTAAAAACCGTAACATGCACATGAATACTCTCCAACGGCGGCACATCCCCCTGCACATCATGAACCCAACCGGGCGAATCCGGCGGCGAATTCGGATCCCCAGGCAACGGCGGCGGTGTCGCCAGCGACGGATGATCGGAGTCAGATCCCTCATTATCAGATTCGCTACTCAAGCTAGTAGTATCAGACATCATCGTCTCGGTGTGTTCGGGATCGGTACGCAGGAGCCAGGATAGACCGACCGTATCGATGAGGGTGAGGATGGAGTCGAACAATCTAAAGCCGAATATGCTAAGGTCGGAATCGAGGTCCATGGCTCGTTCGAATTCGAGCTCGGCTCGCGCTCGTGCGTCGCGTGCGATTTCTTGTCTTTCTCTTTCTTCGCCTGCGCGTCGTTCGCGTTGTTCTTGCTCTGCCATCATTTGGTCTAAGTCCCTCTGATCCCGTTCTTGTTGTTCACGTTCCTGCCGTTCCCATTCTTCTCTTTCCAGTCGTTCCCTTTCTTCTCTTTCCAGCCTCTCCTTACGCTCTCTCTCTACCCTCGTTCTAATCCCTTCTTCCGCCCTCTCCCGTAGTATCCTTTTTATTTCTCGTATCTTTGCCTCACCTTCTTCCAATTCCCTCTTCTCCCTCTCTTCCTTCTCCTTCTCACTTTCCGTATTACCCGCTCTCTCCCTCTCTTCTTTCTCCAATCTTTGCCTCTCCAATCTATTAGCCTGCCACCTTGCTACCTCCGCAAGTTCCTGTTCAGTCTTTTCCTGATCTTCCGCATCCCTCTTCGCCTTCCCCATATCCCTCGCTTCTCTCTCCTCCCTCTCCTTCGTAGCAGCAGCCCGATCCCTCTTCCTCCGTTCCACATTCGCAGCTCTCTTGTTCTTTTTGTCCAACTCTTCCTTTTCCTTCTCCTCCTCTTCCCCCTCTTCACTATCTCGTTCCCAATAGAAAGGTTTTCGTTTATCATTATCTTCCTTTTCCTTTTCTGCCTTGTCCTTCTTTGCTTTTTCCTTCTGTGCCTTTTCCTCTGCTGCCTTTTTCAATCTCTTCTCCGCAGCCCGCATTCTTTCCTTCCTCCTCTCTGCCTCAGCAACAACCTTTTTCTGAAGAGTAATCTTAGCCGGCTCACTTATATCACCCACAAAAGGTTTCTCTATCTCGGTCACTACCTTTTGCATCTCGTCCAAATCAACTGGTATCCCCATCGCCTGCATCTGCCTCAACACCCTTTTCCTTGCCACATTTTGCAAAAGCTCCGCCACTCCCGGTTGAGTATCATATACCTCAATTCTTTTAAAATCAAGGATGGGAGAAAGTGGTACCGCAGCTTTAAAAGGTTCAGGCTTGGGTGGCGGTTCCGGCTGATTTCCCTCTGAATCCGAAGAACTACTCATGTCTTTAGGTGGCGATTTCGCTGTCTCAGGCACCTTCTTTAGCTCGGGCATTTGTCGAAGTCCAGCGAGATTAAGGAGACCCTGTATCCCCCGTCGACCTCGTCTATCTGGTGCAACGTCCTCTTTTTTGCTAGCCTCTGGAACCTTCTTCGACTCTTCAGCTTGTTTCTTCGACTCTTCGACCTTTTTCTTCAACTCTTCGACCTTTTTCTGCAACTCTTCGACCCTTTTCTTCTCCTCTTCAGCCTTTTTCCTCGCCAGTTCTTCCTTATTCTGTTTCTTATTATCCATGAGATGTTTCTGAGTATTAATAAGACCAGTCACACTACTCCCCGTATTTCCATGACCTTCTCCTCCACCCCTATCCGCATGCGATTTCTCCGGTGATCGTTTCTTGGGCGAAGGTTTAGTTTGTTGTTTCTTCTGCTCATCTTCTGATTCCGACCACGCCAATTCGCGCTCTGCTCTCATATCCTCGGCTTCTTTTCTCCACAGCTCAGTTAACTGCCTTTGCCTCTCCAGCAAGATGGGCCGACGCTTCGATTTGATCAGTTTAAGCGCAGCTTCTTGTTTTTTTGATGAGGACATTGCTTCTGCCTCCGTCACCTCATCTATATAGGGCGCATCTTCAAATTGCCACTGTTCGCGTAGTGCCTTTTCAGCTGTAGATTGGTTCAGTGGTGCAGGCGGCCGTGTTGCGGGGGCTAGTAAGGGTCCTTCTGGGCGTACGCCCAAAGCAGCTCGCTCAGCTGGAGTCATATTGAGGGCTTGCTGTAGAAGAGTCCAGTCCTGAGGTACCCCCATGTGACGTTCTATTCTCCTTCTTTCTTTGCTCTCGCCAACTTCAATCTCATTCTCCAATAATTTAAGTTGAGCTGAGAATTTGGATTGGAGAGTAGGACTATTTTCGAGGTTCAAACTCCATAGTAGGTGATCCCGTTCTTCACGTTGACCCTCCAGTTCCCCAGCTTGTTGGAGCTGAGTCTCATATCTCTTGATTGCGTCTTTCAATTTCACTATCACCTTTTCCTCTGTCTCTCTCTTTATCCATTCACGTGCACCGGCTATCTCGGCGTGAAGCCAAGCTATGTGCTTCTCGCGTGCATATAATAGTTCTGTTTCGACCTGCCCTCTATTTTCCTCCGCCACAATATGAGTCGGAGTATTCAGACTATGAGGGAACCATTGGTCAAATAATCCGCCAGATTTTGGGGATGGGACCGGTGCGGCCGCCATTTTACGATATTTCTCGCTTGATGTTGGTGAAATCTTCGCTTCCAAGTCAGCATGGGTACTGTCTGGGGATGTACTAGAAAACTAACCTTATCCTTGGATGGTGAACCCTCTGGTATATTACGTCTTGGGGGAGATGCACCATATAACTCCTCCTCCTCTTCTGAAAGTGGTGTAGACTTTGATACATTACCGCCAACAGAACCGACCACAGGTACATCTGCATCACTAGCAGGCTTCTCACTCACCGACGTGTTACCTTCGCCTTCCAAACTACGTTTCGACGAAGCATATTGTTCCTGCTCTACGGAAGTTGACCCCTTTGCACTCGTCTTCGGCGTAGTTTTTTCAGTTATGGCATCGAGAGGAATGACAGGAGCTTGACGCTTGCGCTCGCGCTCCAGAGCTTCCGGTAGTTTCTTCCGCGGCGGGGTTTGACGTCCCGCCAAACGCGTAATTCTTGTCCAATCGTAACCACCACTTGGAAGTCGGTACTTGGAAATATCGATTTTGCGACTACTTGATGGGGTAGGTTTGGTCACTGCAGCCGCTGCAGGCTTGTCAGTACGTCCAATTCCCGATAAATCAATAGTGCCATCTCCCGATCGAGAGAGACCAGAAGGGATGGGACGTCTTGGGGTTTGAGGGTTTGAGGGATTTGCTGGCCCAGGATCTGTGGGTTGTATTGTGCTCGAGAGATCCTGCGCATCAACAGAACTTTTTCCGACAGGAGTTTTTCCACTTAAATCTCCTGTTATTCCCGATTTGAGAGTCGACGAGCCTAATGAGCTTTCTGGGTCTTGTCCCCCAGGTGCAGGTGCATCGGCCATATTGTGATTGAAAAATTCGTACTAATTAATGATAATTGTGATGATGAATTAATTAGGTAGAGTGTTCAATGGGCTAACTGAGTGATGGTCCGAAGAATGACATTGCTGTTTTAATCATATTATTGGCTTTATTCAAGGGGCTAGCTACTCTTTATTGAGTATAATCTCGATCCGGCCATCGAAATAGTATAGTGGTTGTGGTTCACTAACTTGTTGTCCCCATGTCGAGTCGTCCCAATGACAAAGAAAATTTTCATAGGACCGGAATTGGATACAAAGCTTTGACAAATATGATAGCCATAATTGCTATAATAGCAAGCTAACCAGCTTCTTCTATTCAATAGTTTAATCAATGTGATTGTAATAATATCTTGGAACAAGCGAAAGAACCACTAGATCCCTTGAATTCATGTAAGATGGAATAAAGTAACGATAATTTGAGAGGAAAATCCAGAACCGAACTCTGCAATAGCTCACCCCATCACATCATATCATCGCAATGAAAAAATATACTCAATGATATAATATATGCATCTTCAACCTCCATCAACCTCCATCAACCCAAACCCTCACCTCACATTTACCCAAAACCAGCCATCCTCATCTCTCATCTCTCATCTCTCATCTCTCATCTCTCATCTCTCATCTCCCATCTCATCTCTCACCTCTCACCTCTCACCTCACTATTTCAGTCCTCCCACCACTTCGCCTCTCACCCCTTCAACTTCAATACACGCTCCGAGTCATTGAAAAGCTCAGAGGTACTCCTCTTATTCTTTCAAACGTGTGTGTATCTCTCTATCTCTCAATCGTATTATATACCTACCTACCTACCTATATTTCAATTTTGATATCTTTAATATCTACCTATGTCTTCACTCTTCAATCAACCTAATCAAACCTCCAACCTCCTCATCCCCATTTCATCCCATCCCCATCCCCATCCCATCTCACCTTCTTATCTCCACCCCTCTACAAACCACAATCCACAACCACTAAACCACACCCAACCCATCTCAAACACTGCACACATTATATTCGTACATCCATATATCCGTATATCCATATATTATATTTCCCTCCACCTGCAAAAAGAATGAGGTAGGTACTACTCGTGCCAATACCACATTATCTTTTATTTAGAACCCCGACTCATAACGCATAGTAGCATAGCGCATATGCTTTTTAAAGTAATCGGCTAATACAGATATCCGTTTTCCGCATTTCATACACGGAATTGTATTTATTGGGACACTAGCCCATCACATTTAATATACGTTTAATATATAATAACACAAGTTTCATCATCAATCCAGATTCGCTAGGAGAATTATCACTAGCAGGGGAGGGTATGCGCTCAATTCATCTCGACTACAGTAAACGAAACGAATACAAGTAAGGTAGGTATCTAGGTAGGTGTATCATACGTGAGATGGTCAACGAAAAGAACTGTAAGTGCATGCGTGCAAGCTTTGCCCAACCATCTATCATTCAATCATTCCACATCCCACCATTCGTCCGATCACTTTGCCGGCCACCCATCCATCGTTCATACTATACATTTCATTCCTCCAGTCCTTCCACCCATCTATCAACTCCAGTCCCAACAATCTAGTAATAGTAGTTCTCGTCGGTCGTCCTTCCTCTCATGTATTGAGGTTCACTCCCTCTAACATAGATATCCTCGTACAAAATTTGGGGTGTCGCATCTGGGGCAGGCATCGCCTCAGCCTCCTTAACCTCCGCATCGACCTTTGCTCTCGCCTCCTTATCGATTGTCTTCAACTCATCCTCGGTTGTGATGTTCCATTCGATCAACTTGAGTTTCAGACCCGCAATTGGATCTTGGGTGCTACGCATACGTTGAACTTCCTCACGAGTACGGTAAGTGGTTCCTGGGTCGGACATGGAGTGACCTCCGTAACGGTATGTGACGTATTCGATGACCATTGGTCCGTTGCCGGCGTTGGCGTGTTCCTTGGCGTGCTTGACAGCGGCCTTAACAGCAAGAACATCCATTCCATTGACTTTAAGACCTGGAATATATTGACCACGCTTGTAGTAATCGGTGAGAGCAGAGGATCTGTTGGCTGCGGTACCCATACCATATTTGTTGTCTATGACAATTAGCATATACTCGACCTCGTAGAATCTTCCAAAACTTACTCTCACAACCGAAAAGGACAGGCAAGTTCCATAACTTAGCCATGTTGAAAGCCTCGAAAACTTGGCCCTGGTTACTAGCACCATCACCATACAATGCAACAGCAACATTCTTGTTGCCGTTATACTGATGAGCAAAAGCTAAACCGGCACCGACCGGAACCTGAGCACCGACAATACCATTTCCACCATAGAATCCCTTGGTGAACATGTGCATGGAACCACCTTTACCATAAGAAATACCCTCACGACGACCCAACAATTCACCGATAATGGATTTCACGGAAGCACCGCGCATAAGTGCGAAACCGTGACATCTGTAGGCGGTGATAACGTCGTCTTCCTTAGTAAGAGAGTGTTCGATACCGACGGCGACGGCTTCTTGGCCAGTCGACAAATGGCAGAAACCACGAATTTTCTTCTCCTTGTAGAGTCTATCGGCGGCCATTTCCATACGACTAGATTTTCCCATCAGCGGAAGCTTCGGTCGTGGTGCCAGATCATAGTCTTACCGCATTGAAACCATATCAGTGTACATCTGCTTCAACTCCTTCTTGGTAGTTTCCATGGTGTAAGATGGAGGGTCGAGCTCGTAGGTCTCGAAGGACTCATCGGACAATTGTAACGTGAATGGCTTATCGTCTTCCTGTATGCCGCACAATCATTAGTATGCCCATGGCATCCACACAATCTTTAAATAAGATATCTCAACGTGAGATCGTACCTGAGGAACATCATCTTTATCGGCGTGCGCGGAGGCGGCGTCTGTGGTAACCGTTCTCTTTACGAGAGCAGCTCTAGAAATGGCATTGTTGCGGAAAGGCGCGGCAGATCGTGCCTTCAATGCTCTCGAGAACATAATTGTGTTGGTAGAGAGAGTGTTGTAGGGAGTGAGGGAGGCGGAAGATAACTCGTGGAAATTTCTCAGCAACTGCCAAACAAAAGATGTTGATGGTTGGGATGCTTCAATTACAGTAGTCCCGTTTTGGCTTAGGCTGACAGATTGTTCCTCAAGCTTCCGACCTCACGATCACGTGAATAGTATGTCTAGGAAACCGAGAATCTGCCATTCCGCCTTACTTGTGGACCCTCCCAATAAACTCGGGTTTTCCAGTCTTCACTGGCCATTCTCTCACTTAAAACCAAAAAGCATAAATTTGATTCTTTCGCATTCTTGCTATGCTACCCTACCAATCTCAAAGTACTAGTGTAAATAACTCCCTGACCATGGGGAATCCCTAATGCAAGTTCTCTCAATGCTGCGCCGTTAAAGCTTTCCCTTGAACTGTCCCCCTTTCCATTTCCATTTCCCTATAGATATTCCACCCCCATTAAAGACATCTTTACTATTCTGCCAGCTGAAATAAAAAACGCCCTGCCCCAGATGCTTATTTGCTTCTTTATAAACAGGTCTTTTGTGCTTTGATCGATCCAAGGTCTCTCAATATGAACATAGAATAAATGCGTGGTGTATGGGGATTCCGGATGATAGTGAAATATGCGACGACTCTATTTGCTCACAAATTTCTGTTTTATCCGATAATATAAGAGCGGTGATATAGACTAGCCACTCGATGACTACTATTTGAAACAAGCTATCAGGACCAGTGAATGCTTTCATGTAATATAGTGAAGTGGCCTAAATCAGTCATCCTCGTGAAAAAAGGTAGGTCCAGTGGCTTGTGGTGGAGCTGTCGATGGTCCGGCATCAGCCATCTCAATATCATCCCGCGCGTATGTTGCATCGTGAGTTACGATCCCTTGCATAGCTTGGTCTTGACTACCACTGCGATATTCGATAGCACTTAGTGGTCTTGTAGGTCCAGTGATGGGTATTGGTTGGGCATAAGTCTTCTCATATAAGACATCTTCTGGTGGAGAAAATGACCATACCTTGATTTTTGTTAGTCAGATTAAGGTAAGAGGAGAGTGAAATATACTTACTTCCATGATAGTACGATTTGATCTGCTTGCCATAACCACACACTTTTCCTCTTCGAAAGCTACTCTCCAAACAGCCTCAGCAGGAGCCGTAAGTTCACGAACAAGTTGTCCAGTCTTTAGATCCCACACCTTGACTCGACCGTCACTACCCCCGCTGACGACTCGTGTATCATCAAACTGTAAACTCGTGACGCTGTTATCATGAGCAGCCAATCGATGAATTGGAGCCATCTTTTCAAGTGACCAGACACGAACAGACCCATCAGAGCCACCCGTTACTAATGTGTTTCCTCGCATTTGCAATTGCCCAACGAGTGAAGTGTGTCCTTGGAGAATAGCTTGGCAAGACCTGGAAATTTGTTAGTTTGATCCCCACACTTGATCCGAAGTCACATACCCATTTTCTGGATCCCAAATCCGAACACTGGTATCCAGACTTCCTGTAGCTATCCTCTTCCCATCAAAAGCTATGGCATAGATTTGTGAGAAATGTCCCGTGAGTGTCCGTAGACATCTACCCTCTGAGATGCTCCATACCCTCGCCATAGTATCATAACTTCCAGAAACAACAATATCTCCCTTGATTTCCAAGCATCTTACACTAGCCTGATGACCGACAAGGACGTTTTTGCAAAGCCCGGATTTGATGTCCCAAATTCTCAGAGTGGTATCTCGAGAACCTGAAATTGCCGTATTTGCGTCGGACATCTTTAAGCATCGTACTGTCGAAGTATGTCCACGTAAAGTATGTAAACTCTCACTATGAGGCATTAGTAACAGACCGTATGAACACTATTAGTAATACATACCCAGTAGCCATATCCCATACTCGGACGTCCCGATCGCAGCCTCCACTAACGAGAGTATCTTCCCAAGGTACCATCGCCCAAACCCCCATTACATGCCCAGTCAAGGTCTTTTGTGCATTTCCATCCGTGTTGAAAACATGAATCTTGGCATTATCCAAAGCAACTACAATGTACTTTGGTGTCAAATGCAGACTTGTCACAACTCCCTGATCTTGTGTAATGTGTCTTGCAATATTTTGACCTCCTGTCCTCCAGGCGGTTTCGACCAAATATCTCTGCTTAAAATGTGATTTATACGACCTGATCTTTGGTCTTCTTAGCACGCCCGAGGCGGTAGCGCTATCGAAACTTTTAGAACTTCCAGGAGCATAGGGTAACGCTGCGCTCACTCCGGGGAATGACTGTGCAACACTCAGGCTATCTCCTGCTTGTAAAATCGTATGAACTGGATGTGGAGGCGGTCGAAGTGACGGAGTTAGAGGAGCAGTTGGTTGATGTTCTGACATTCTTCGGCCATAGTCGTGCTTCGCACATAATTTCATCCAGGTAACATCGTCGGTAAGGAGATCTCTCCAACGTTTCGAAACTTGTGATGCGCGCGCAAGTACTTTCGGGTCATCAATACAAGACAATACCTATATAAAGCAATTAGCCTTGAACTTTACCTTCAGGGGAGAAGAGAGCATACACGAAGACATATTTCATCTGGCAAACTTGTAAATGGATCCTTTTTCAGTAAGGGGCTAACATATTGATGCACAAAGCTGAGTTGTTGGCTTGTGCAAAGATTTAAAAGATCTCCTAATATCCTCGTTCTTTCAGGTGCCGAACTTTGCTTGAAGTATATCCTAATTTGCGATAAAAAGATATCTTCACTTTCTCCCGCATCGCTCCAATCTGGTTGTAGGTGATTGGGGCCTGGACTCGCCGCGGGTGTAGGGGGAGGAGGGGGATCGTGGCTCGAATGAGTGGGAGATTGTAGATCGGCGGAAGGAGTTGACATATTGGGAGTTGGGGGACCTCGTGGTCGACTTTGTATCTTTTCTAACCTTTGCGGCATTGGAATGTGGTCGCCATTTGTGTCGACTGTTAACATTCGAGTGGGAGATATTTCGCCGTCTTTTTCAATGGGTGCAGTTGAAGCCCTTCGATCTGTCAAGCTTAACGGTCTAAAATTGTCCATGCTCGCTTTCTCCTTGTCGTTTATCCTATCCTTGACGAGTTCCTGCGTTTGGGTTAACTGATTAAGGAAAGGTTATGATTGCGGATGTGGATGTAGATGCGGATGGGTTGAAGGTCTTTCCCCAAATATATTGAAGGTTTGGGGTCGAAGGAAAGATTTGGGTTGACAATTAGCCGTTGAAATCTCGACCATGAAAACGGTAAACGATGCGCCAATTGAGGAGAAGCCGAATATATTAATTTTGATTCAAGGAAGAGTCTTTAATGTATGTTGAGGGCGGGTTGAAAGAAGGTTGTGTAACCTAGTGCTCAAGGGAACACATTCGAATGCGTTGTCGTTAATGTTGAAACTCGATGATTAATGGCACAAAATTGGATGATGGATCTTTAATAAATTGTTTATACCAATTCACGAATATATGGTAAGATGAAATCGTAAAGATTACGATTTATAATTGTTGAAGAACAAGATGATAACTCGGAAAGTATTTCATTTTATTTTCTTTCTTACTGTACTCCAAAAGGCCGACGTTGATCTGAGAGAGAGAGAGAGAGGAGAGAGAGTGAGATAGCGGAGATGTCTAAGTGAGTCCGATGGAAGGTGGAACGTAGGGGGTCCCTAGGTAAGTAGTTTTTGCTAATACTGAACTTTTGGGTGGGTGGTCTCAGTAGTAGTTATTGTATTGCGGTTCGGTTTGGCTGGTCAGGGATAACTCGTTAATAAGTAAGGAACTGAGAGAGGGGGGGGGGAGGCGTTAAAAAGATTGATGATTTTAATTTATCATAAGTAGATTGCTCTGCCATTAAATGATGTGCAGTTTGTAGTTTACAGAAATGGAGATGTTTTTGAGGATGTGAATACTTATACTGACTAGTACAGTTAGGGCACTGCAAACAGCAGAATGAATGAACCATAAGTTTATTGTTATGATTAAGTATGATTCCTTGTAGAAATCATTATGAAGAATTTGAGTATTTGAGGGGTAGATTTACCCATACAGTACTCGAGTAAAAATAAAGATTATACAAGTTCTTTGATTGATTGAAGTTGGTGGCGGTGCTAGTGGCGGTGAATAGAAAGAATATCAACCTTAAGATCTTACCAATATGTTTTCCTCATCTTAGTTAGATAGTTAATACCTACTAGGTATTCCCAGCACAACACCGCACGAGTAACCTACCGTACTACTCTAGATCTCCTACCTGACTCCATCTATCATATCGAAGTAATCACGAACGAACCATATCATACCAAACACCGCCACCTGATTACTCGAACTCTTTCTTCATTAAGGGGGGAGGGAGGGAAGGGGAGAGGGAGGCGAAAATCACCCACCCTTCTTCATATAACAAATAAGACTTCTCATCTCTTATCTCATATATCATCTCATCTCATCTCACCAGTTCACCTCCATCTAAGTCACCAAAACTACAACCTTACACAATACACAAGACCCCTACACAACACACAAATTACAACACACAACATTCATCCATCCATCCATCCCTCCACCCACTAGTTGTTTCAGATTCAATTCTCAATTCTCAATTCTCAATGCTCAATGCTCAGTGCTCAATTCTCGGTTCTCGGTTCTCGGTTCTCAAATACTAGCCAGTAGTCAAAATCTCCATATGCATCCAGCGTTTCGAGATAATCTCAGACATTCGCATGTATATATGTATAGAGATACATTAAGCGAATCAAGCTGTACTCAGATAAAATGCACTGTACTCGGTAAACATGTACCTGTACCGGTACAGTATCAAAAGGACAAAAATAAAAAAAACATAAAAGTAAATGATTGGTATTGTATTTCTCTCTCCTTACCATCTATTCATAATCCATACAAAAACCCCCTATCTATTTAATTTATTTTTATCTTGCATTTCTGCTTCCGAGGCCTTACCCACCCCTCACCCATTTATGTTATACACGAAATGGACCCCCTAACCAACCCATCCAACCCATCATCCATCCGCTTAATGATCATGACCAAATTGTGTCAACAGCGGAATCAACATCCCACCCACCGCCGCAATCGTATCCCGCATTTGCGGTTTCGCTTGTTTGCGCTGCGAAAGACCTCCCTCGAGATATCCATTAGAATTGGTATGTTCATGAGTATACACCCCTGAATCTTCTTGCATGGCATGCATGGCGACGTATCTACTCGCTTGTTAGTAAACGCTCGTGTGTTTTCGTTTCGCATAAAGATAAATAGGGGGTCTTACAAAAAGGTTCCTCCCGAGAATAATAACAGCATTCCCGTCCACCATTGTCCCTTGACCCCTTCGATACTTCCTCCCCCTAGAATATTTACCAAGAGGAAGGTTGTAATGGCACCAAATGGCGCCGCGAGACTGAAAACGATGAGATGACCACGTGCGGCTCGTTTGGAAAGTCCTTGTTTTAATAGCACGGATGTAAGTCCGAATGCTGCAGGCGCTTTATGTACCATGATGGCTATGAAAATGATAAATCCCAATTTAGTGCTGGATGTAGAGGCGGAGGCTCCCATGGCTATCCCGTCCGCCGATGCATGTATCACAAGCCCTGTCGTGGTAGCCAGACTACGACTTTGTTTTGGGCTTGGGGTAAGTGATTGAAAAAAGCCGTCGGATTCTTCATCAGACGAGGAGATATTCGATATTCCCTGGGATAAATTATTGAGAGAGATTTGTCGTGGCGCAACGGGGGCCTGTAATTTCTCGGACGCATGTCTTGGGAGTTTGTCGATTAAAAACATGAGAATGAATCCTAAAATTAAGGAGAGGCCAATCCAAAATGTAGGTGATTCATCCTCATCGTGATGCTCTTCGGTACCTTTCGCTGGTTTCTCTTCGTTCTTTTCTTGGGAACCGTTTTCCTTTTCTTCGGGCAAAGAGTCTCTGGTGACAATCTCGACCCCTACAGTCCTTGGGCCCGGTTCGGCATGTCTTCGATAGAGATTCGCTTTGTTCGAGTATGCGATCGTATTAAGTTCGCCAACCCATGATAATCCAGAGCTTCTCTCTTGAATCGAAAGCCCTCTTGCCCCATGAGAATGTGCCGAAGATCCTGCAGTATAAACTGCTTCAATTCCTTCCGGAATGATCACAACCAATGATGTTCCAACAAGTACTCCCATCCCAATCGTAGAAATCAATCGAAGTTGTGACGGTGATAAGGTCATAGATAATGGAACTGCTCCAGCAAGAAAGCAACTGTGTAATCTATTAGAACATTGAAATCCACATGAAAGATCACTTTTTGAAAAGAGAATTACCTCAAACACATAATCACGCTCAAAATGAGCAGCATAAATAACCCGTCGAACATCTTGATTACCTTTTATCTGCACCTTCACCTACGTCGCAATTCTAGAGATATTCAAAGAAGATATCACCGCTTCATTTCGAATATGAAGCACAATTTATAGCAAGCAAGAATATCTATTAGATACTCGGAAAGCGGGTGCAAGATACTTACTTATAAGATTGTGCAACTCCCTTTTAATAAAGAAAATTAGTTCGTCACTCACTTCCCGGGATGACAGATTTGGGTCTCACCACGAGGCTGAACTAATCCAATCCAACCATTAATAATCCCTGCAACACTTTCTGAGGAGGGGGAAACGCGTCGGAAAATCAATCTACGCGATTGAGCTTCTTAAGCTGACTTACTGAACTGCAACATTGAAGCATCTCACAATTCGAATTCACGACGATAATCACATCAACAATAAAAGATACCAGATTAATAATTGTCGCATAAGATGATGGACAATAACGCTGATTGTAAGTACTTTACTCGTTGTTTCTTTAACATTGCGTTTGGATCGCATGCGCCGACAAGCAATACCCTTAAATAACATAATTCCCCAACACCACACAAGCTAATAACATTATCTTCAGGGTCTACCGATTCCAATGATGCCATTTACATATCTCTTGTCACTCCAAGTGCAGGAGGTACAACTTCACTCCACACCTTTAACCCGAAGTTCACCTATCCCATATTCGGTGAGGAGGAATCGATATTTGGATACCAGGGTTTGCGAATCAACTTGAAATATAATGCCTGTGATATGCGACCCGGTGTACAGATTACCTACAACAAGAAATTCAAAGCAGTGGGTGATATAGAACCAACGAATTTGAAGGCAGTGCTGGAACCATTTCTACCGAAGAGTACGCATCGCATCACTAAAGCTGACAGCTCTTTTACTGACATTATCACAGCTGCTTTCGAGAAATCAAGCGTTTTCGATGTAAATATTTCAACCATCACAGCAGATTGGCATCCACCAGGAGAACTCTTTCGCGAAATCGAAGTTGGTGGAGAAACCTTTGAGATATGGAAAGGCAATCTCTCAGATCTCAACGTCCAACAAACCATCAAGCGCATTCAAATTCTAGTCCCATTGTTCATTGAAGGGGGCACATTACTTGACCTGGATGAGTCGGAGGAGGAAGACGATCTTGGGCGATGGACCGTTTTTTTTTGTATCACAAAAAGCCGCGCGCAGCAACATTTTTCGAGAAAACTTCACCATACGTATTCATGGGCTTTGGTACCGTGTATCGCTATTACATGTACACGCCCTCAACTCCACCACAATCCCCCAATGGCGATAAGGTAGCTCCTGAATTTACCCTGCCTGTTGATGGAGTTTCCTTCAACACTCTTCCATGTCGTTCAAGGATATCGCAATTTATCATTCTTCCCCCTTTCCAAAGTGGAGGCAAGGGTTCCTTATTCTACAATGCCATATTCGACTACTTGTATGATGACCCGCATACAAGAGAGATCACAGTGGAAGACCCAAATGAAGCATTTGACGACTTAAGAGACATCAACGATCTAGTTCGTTTACGTAAAGACGAACGATTCCTCCAACTAAAACTCAACTCAAGTTTTAAAATCAACCCTAAAGGCCCGGCACCTGCGACGCTTTTTGACACTAAAGAATATGAAGATTTGCGAATTCAGATGAAAATTTCCCCACGACAATTCGCCCGCGTCCACGAAATGTATCTCCTATCCATAATTCCTCAGTCCGTCAAAGCAGCCCCCCTTCATGACACAGAAGAAGTATCTAGAAAATCTCTACCGCCCCCCGGGAAAGAAGATGAACACATATATCACCTGTGGCAACTCCTGGTTAAACAACGTCTATATCGTCATAACAAAGATGCATTGGCGCAATTGGATCGTGGAGATAGGATCGATAAATTAAATGAGACTTTAATGGGTGTAGAAGCTGATTATGGGAGGTTAATTGAGGCGGTTAACGAAAGATGTGAGAAGGAAAATCCAAGCACTATTGGAAAGTGGAAAGGAAAGAGCGCCATGAATGGAAAAGGCAAGAGAGCAGTTAGTGAAGAGGAAAATGATGATGGTGATGTTGAAGACGATGAAGAAGACGAAGAAGAAGAAAACGATGAACCGTTGGCCAAAAGGTTAAAGTTTACCTCTTAAATACCTCTCGATCGTAAGTCTTACAATCGGTGGTATGAAAGTAGGAGTGGAAGATAAACGTGTAGGACAAGTGATACCGATGATTTAAAGGTACCGGTTATCACTATATCATGGAGTTTGGGTGCGCATGCTTTGGGAATGATATCAAGGATTGCTTTCGAGTTGTATCTAGTTTTCATGCTTTGGCTATTGCATGGGAATGGGAATGGGAATGGAGACGGAAAGAGAGATGGAGACGGAGACGAAATGGAAGTATGTGCAGAGGAAGAATAATTACCAACTACGGTCGGTTATTTCAGCTCTTTATTTCGGTAATGAAAAAAATTAGGCTCAGAACCATTGATACGTCGGTTATTATTGGCGTCAGTTGTTTTTGTATTCCCAATTTTCCATTCCAATTTTTCTAATCCCATCCCCCATTCCCCTCTCCCATTTCAAATTTTCCAATTCCCATTTTTCCAATCCAAATTTTCGCATCCCATCCCATCACAAATCCCTAAAATCTCGTCCCATTCACCCCCCTGCACCCCCTTTCCCAACTGCCCCGCCACAACCGTCGCCTCCCTCACCGCCCTCGCCACTGTCCCCCTTACTCTTCTACAACATCGACATTTCAATGGGTACGTACTCTTTCACTCATTCCTACTCATTCCACCCATCTACTCAAGCATCTGGCATAAAAAAAGCCAAAAAAAAAACCAAGAAACACAAAACAAAAAATAAACATACCCCTCTTCCAAAACCAACAACCCCCCAATAGTACACCCACCAGGCGTACTAACCCTATCCCTCAAAAGCGCCGGATGCTCACCAGATAATACGAGCGCAGCAGCTCCCTTCATAGTTTGAGCTGCCATAATTTGGGCTTCGATGCGTGGGAGATCCATGGCGACGCCGCCGTCGGTGGTGAGGGGTAGGGGGTAAGAATGGGATGTGAAGAGAAGGGGAGAAGGGGGTTAGGGGTAGGGGGAAAGAAGAATGTGAGGAAATGAAAATACTATGAAAACAGGTACGTACAAGCAGGGCCCGAACCGCAAAGAGCGGTACATGTATCCATAGTAGAAGGGGGCAAAAAAACCACTTGTCCGATTCGCGAAAAAATCCAGGTTAGGAGGGAAATGGTGGGTGGCGGGAGAGGGGGAATAGAGGTCGCGATTACGGTCATGGATTCTCGAATGGAGGAGGCGGTGTTGGGCATGGCGCGGATGATGGTGCAGGGGTGGGGATTTGAGGGGGGTGATGGGGCTGCTGAATCTTGGGTTTGTGAGGTGGAGGTGGAGAGTGAAGAGTGTAGTTGCTCGGTGGTGATTCCGGCGCATATACTGATTAGCAGTTTGCCGGATAGAGCAAGAGACATGCCGGGTGAGGAGAGGATTTCGGGGGCCGTGTGGGGTTTGCAGGTTAGGAGAATTATGTGGGATTCTTGGACGGTGGAGACGTTTTTGTTGAGGAGGATACTGAGGGTGGTGCTGGTGCTGCTGGAGGTGGTGGTGGTGAGGTAGGGGGAGAGCGCTTGCTGTACTTTTTGGGCGGATTCGGGACGTCGTACGCAGGCGATGAATTTGGAGGGGAGGCGGGAGGGGGTAGAGGTTGGGTAGGTGGGGTTAGAGGTTCCGGGTGTGCTTGGAGGGATGGAGGTTGAGGTTGACATTGGGTTTGGGGGAGTATGGAGGGAACTGAGTATGCCAGAGAGAATAGCTATACCCATTGTTCCTAGTTATGGAGGTTAGCTTTTGATATTTCTGTGGTGATTTACGTGTTCATGTGAATCCCAAGGAAAGTTGGCAATGTATCAAATTCTTCTCCATAGATGATTAGTTGTGCTCTGACCAACTGTCGACTGTCAATAAAGATAGTCTTTGAGCTCAATTCCTATCACTGTATCTGTGGGACTAGTATAATAGGTACCATGCTTCGATAGAATCTGAAAACACCTCGATGAAGTTTCCATATCCATGTGAACGAAAGTACAAAGCCATATCTCATCCCAAGAGCTTCAAGACCAAGCAAAATCATCACAAACAGCTCCTGCCAAATTCAACAAATATACCACCTCTTGCATTCACAGTAAATCAAACCTCATTTGCATTATGAGCTCAGCTCTTCTCAGAAGAAGGAAAGAAAATCCAAAAGAAAGAAACACTTGAACATACCACAACCAAGAACTGTCAAGGTCATTTCTGATTCTGCATCTTCAATTGAAGAACTCATCTTGGCTTTTAGATTCTTGGATCAAAATTATCATCAAAGTGTGTATTTGAATATACTCTTGAGAGTTCTTCATCAATATCTTTTGTTTTGATATATTGAAGTTCTAACTCATAAACCTCTCCTCCACCACATCTCCATCCCGCCAAGATACTGCCACCACTCCATCACTCCACCGCCTAAAATTCACCCAATCAAGCTTAGTCTATCTAGTCTACCAAAACCCAAAACTACATCATGGATCCTAGCGGACCAGTTCCATGGCGCATCAGATCCATTGACATTCCAATTCTTCAACAACTTCACAAACCTTTACTACATATTGCCGTTCCTCTACTCAATCCAAGACGAAAACCCGATAACATGGATCCGTTCGAAGTGCGCATCCGATTTACGCAGTATTTACAGCATTTAAATGCGAGTGTGACGAGTGCGAATAAGACGGCGCAGTATGCGTTGAAGTATAGAGATATGGATGAGGATTTGCATAGTTGTATTTTGGAGCAATTGGAGAGGGTGAGTTTTGATTCCGTTATTTTTGTATCGAGGTATCGCGTCTACGGGAGTAGAGTGGAGGGAATGTGGGGGGAAGGTTTGGAGTTTTGGTTGCGGTTTCTATCGCGGTTGAAAATTATTGAAACTAATTTGGTATGTAGAACTCTATGAACAATAGGGCGAATATCATGTATTTCATCGAGATTCTATGCGATATGGCATCTAGAGAAGGACACGATGACTACGTACGAATGATCCAACGAGATATTTTACGGGTAGTTGATGCTGTTGCGCCCGAAGATGGATCCGGAGCCGCCAACGTCAAAGTCGTGCGCAAAGTTCTCCAAGGGCTTCAACAAAAATCCTTCCTCCTAGCTCAAACCGTCCTTGAAATCGAAGAATGTCTCAAGGAACGCGACACTCAACCCGATGCACTGATGTCCTCTCCACTAGCCGAAACTGAAGCGAATGGAAACAAAACTTCGCAACAGGCGACCCCTAAACCGGCCAAGACGAATGGAGTGGTGAGATTGGATAAGAGACAGATTGAACAGAGGATCGAAGAGGATCGGGAGAGACATAAGAGGTTGAGAGAACATATTTGGGCGGTGCCGGCTGTTGGACCGGATTCGGAATTCGATAAATTGTGGGAAGAGACGAGTGATTTGGGAGATGATGATATTGATTTGTATGAAGAAGAGGCAATGGAGAGAAAGGATGCTGGAAAGGAATGGAGAGAAGAACAACTTCGAATAAGTAGACTTGAAGTATGATTTTCGTGGTACCGGTATTTGGCGTTAGGTTGGTGGCATTGCGTCTGGTGGGAATTTGTGCATTCGCATTCGCATTCCGTGGTCATATTGACATAAAGGAGTCAGTTTCAGTCTATGGGACAATCTTGCACGGCGTTATCATATGTGGTGTTATGGGATTTGGGATTTGCATCGCATAGCCACGGGCGGTTGTCATTTGCACGAATAAAATGTGGAGTTTATATGTATGTAGAGATTCGATATAATATGATATGATAAACATTCTATTTCATAGGGCAAAGCATAACGCAGCCTAACTAGTTTCCAAGCTACATTTATTCGTACATCTGTGGATACTGGAAGTAACTGAACAGAGTCAGCGCTCATAAATCCGATTGAACGATGAGATATCTGGTCTATTCTAATCGAATTTTTCTAAAATGTTAAGTCTTATATCTCATATTGCATTTGTTCATTGTATCGTAGCTTTTTATTATCTATATTCATTTCATAGCTTTTCATCTCATCTAATCTCCCTAAAATTAAATCTTATATCTTATATTACATTTATGAATTATCTCATATCTTTTTATCTCATCTCATAGCTTTTATCTCATCTCTTATGATTCCATTTCATCTCAGATCTTTTCTATCTACTCAGTACTAGCGGAGCAGGAATTATCGATTATTTGTAAACTCGGTTTCTGTCATTGGATATTTGATACTAGACTGGAGTTACTCAAGTAGAAGCTCACAACCAAATTAATTTCCATGAGAGCTCAGGGGAAAATGGGCGTTATGAATAACAGATGTTGTAATATTCTGGTCGATCTACGAGTATTGAAGTATGGAAAATGAGTCTTTCCCGCAAAAGGCTGCAACATCATCAAGTCATAATGTCATTACCGAATCTTCCCCGCTTGAAGCGACAATAAAACAGCGCCATCCCTTCAACAAAATCAAACTCTTCACATACCCAGCTCAGAATCCATAACCCAATGACTGCCTCCCTCACATCTGTACCCACCCTCCTGTTTGATCCACTGAAAACCCGCCATACAAACCCCCATCTCTCTCAATTTAACCTGGGCCTTTGCATCCATTCTTTTTCTCTCTTCCTCCTCCAACCTCCTACGTTCTCGTTCCTTTTCAAGACGTTCTCTCTCCTCCCTGGCTTTCAACTCACGAAGTCGTGCTTCCTCGCGTAATCGGAGTTGCTCTTGACGTTCTGCTTCATGTTTAGCTTTGATTTCTCGCAGAGCCTCTTCCCTGGCTTTTCTTTCGGCTTCTTGGAGTGCGAGAAGCTCTTGTTGTTTCTTGCGCATCTCTTCTGCATAGCGCTGGGCTTGTTTATCGGCGGCCTTTTTGTCCTGTTGGAGTTGATTCCAGGCTGCATCGGAAACTCCTGGATCGCGAGCAACTTCATCGTCGGTCGTGTTGAATTCCGGTACTGACATCGAAGCGTATTTTTCTTCCTTATGCTTTGTCTTTGTCTTGATCGAAGTGGCGGTTTTAATGGATATTGCAGGCTGTGAGGGTAATTCTTGAGACATGCTCATGAATGGGTCAGGAATTGACGAATTGAATCTAGATTGTCCTTGCACATTAGCTCTAGCTTTTTTACTATCGATCATGCGTTGAATACAAGTCATAGCTTCATCGTATGATAAAACAAGTTTTGAACCATCGCGTGTCGGGTCCGTGGTAGACTGATAGACCGCGCGTATCATGCTATTAGCGAGGGTGATCATATCTCTTGCATTACCCCAGGCAGGCAGGCCTGAAAGCTGCGCAATCATGTCCAAGAAAGGTTGGTGAGTGGAGATATCCTTTAGACCATCGATTAAGACATTCTCTTTCTCCAAAGCATTCTGCAGGATGAGGAGAGAATTTTTGGGGCTTAGCGCTTGAAAAATAATTTCATCAGCAAAACGGCTGTTCAATCCCTCATTAGCCCCGAGTAAGCTGTTCATGTCGTTCTCATATCCTGCTAGGATTAATATCATTTTATTGGCGAACTTAGGCTTTGTCATGGCCTAGAACATGGGTGAGTTAGTAGTTGCCATTGATGAAATACTGAAGAGACATTGATGATATCGAGAAAACTAAGAGAAACCTCCTATCACAAAAATAGAGATTTCCAATTGAGGAAAGCGAAAGGAGTACTGACATCTACTAATTCATCAATAGCGTCCTGGCCGTATTGACCCTGATTAAGTCGATACGCTTCATCAATGAAGAGAACTTTGCCCAGTCCAAGCTCGAGCTTCTTGATAGTTTTGGGGCCTGTTTGCCCCACATAACTACCAATTAGATCAGACGCGGAGCATTCTATGACTTTGGCTTCTGATAGAAGGCCCATATCGTAATATAGTTGTCCAATCTTAAGAGCAGTCGTCGTTTTACCAGTTCCTAGACTTGGTGATTAACATAGCTATAATGACTTGTATGAATGATTTTACATACCCGGAGGGCCTTTGAATATGAAATTCATTGGAATGTGAGATCGAGGACTTTTTCTTGCGCGTTTCATATTTCTTGCCACTTTCAGATACCCGTCGAGTTTGGCGACAATGGAATTACATCCAATAACGCCTTCAAAGAGTTCTTTGAGGTTAATTTCTGCGTTGGCAGCCCGATCAAAGTCTGGATCGAAGTCTTGTGGTTCAAATTCAAAATTTACTGATCGTTCATTGACTGGCAGTTTTGATTGCCGAGATTGGTAATTATGCTTGGCCCTGGATAGCAAATTTTCCACCTCGCCACCGTTTCCAAAGTTGAGACCGTTTCGGGCTCGTCCAAGGAGATCGATAGCAATTGATATTGCATGTGGAGCTGCTTTGAGTCCCTGCTTCTTCATCTTGAGATTTAGGATATCCTCTAGCTCCTGGTCATTAAAATCTGCGAAGTAGAAGGCATCTTCAAGGCTAAAGCGTCTCGTGAGACCTGGATTGACGTTCTGAAACATTTCAATCATTTTGTCTTCGTAGCCGAGAAGTACGACACACTGATCATCGCCGGGTACATTTTGCACTTCGGCTACGATTGTGTCTATGACGGCTGTTCTGTACATATCTGCACCTCCAATTCCCGTATCAGAGCCAGAGTAAAGCATGTATGCTTCATCGATGATCAAAACCTTTCCAGCCGTGCTAGCGAGAATATTCTTAGTATTCTCTTCGGATTGCCCCATGGCACTTCCTATGAAATCCGCGGGATTTTTGGTGACCACTGGAGCTGGTTAGAAATATTCAAAGGTGCGGAATCGAAACGTCTTGAACTGGTCTGATATTTGAGTCTCCAAATTTCCGACTGAAGTTCAACAATAAATGATTTATAATTATTGAGCTTTGTAATGTAGACCCAATTCATGTGGAATCTCATATCCACTTGGATTCGATCATATTCAGGACATCATATATGAACGTAGAGTTTGAAATACTAGAAACCTTGCAGATTTGATTCTAAGGTCATTACTCACCTTCCCCGTTGCTCAAAAGACCAAGATGCGAAAGTATCAGACCGTAGAGCTTGGCGACCGTAGTTTTGCCTGTACCTGGAGAGCCAAGGAACACTCGATTAAGCGATGTATGAACAGGAGGGTACTTTTTGAGCTCTCTCTCGTAATTAGTCTTGATCATGTCGACCAATCCTCTGACGGAGTCTTTAACTGATTTTAGGCCCGTCAGACTCTGTAGCTGATCCCACGCTTCGCATTTGAGAATTGCTTGGGATGGGTCTGGTCCTATCAGATCTTCCTTGGTAATGAGATTGTCGTCTGGGGCAAGGCCATCTCTCCGCTCTTTCGTTAAACGTTCTGCTTGACGTTCGCGGACCCTCGCAAACATATTTTCTAAAGCTCTTGCGTTCCCAAAGCCCTCTCGACCTCTACCCCTGCCAAGTCTTTGAACTGCAATTTGCATATAGAGTCCATCTTGGCCATCTTCTATTTTCATCGGCGATGGATAGAATTTATGTATCTGATATTGCAACATTTTAAGAAGCTCGGCGTCGGTATAGTCTTCAAAATGAAGAGTGTATGGTAGACGAGATTGTAGTCCGGGATTATGCTCGAAGAACTTCTCCATTTGCCTGCGATACCCGGCAAAGACGAAAATAACTTTACCCACAAGATTTTCAATCTCTGTAAGGAGGTAATCTAGAATCGTCTTACCACCAACATTATGTCCTTCTGTCAATTGGTAGGCTTCGTCAATGAAATAAACTCCGCCCTGGGCCGCATCAAGAACTTCCAAATGGTTTTGAACGGCTTTGACTCCGCCATTCGCAAGATGACTGCCAGTTGTTTCAACAAATTCATCGCCGGGAAGAACCTGAAGTGTTGTTAGAATCTTGGCGTAGAGTCTGGCCACGGTTGTTTTGCCTGTTCAATGTTAGATCGTTTCAAAACTAGTGTGCATAAGCAAATACCTGTTCCTGGATTTCCTAACAGGACTAGCCCCAGTCTTTCCTTCTTAAGATCCGTTCCTTGACGCTTCGAAGTATCGACTTTTGATTTGATACGTAGAACCTGAGATTTTACGTCCTCGAGACCGATCATCTCCATGATATCATCTATCGCGGAATTTTTAGCATTTTCTTGATCCTTCTGACGTTGCCAATCGCTTTTCGATTTTGAACTATTATGATCAAGGCAGATCCGAAGATGATTCTGATGATTTTGTGCCGGTATATTTGACTGTGGAAACTTAGAGCTGGTGACAGTGGGACTCGGAGAAGCATTTGTCATGACAGAAGGCGAGGGATGTGGTAACAAAGGTGTGGGATATAGCGACTGAGTTACTTTTGATTGATTCAGACGACCTTCAATGACAGACAAGTCTTTCTTTTTCTGTGCCAGCACTGCTACTTGCTCTGATTTCAATTGAATGTCTTGGATTTCTTGATATGCTTTGTCGATTTTATTTTGGACTTTTTCGAGCTCTTTCTGGTGTTTCTGTCTGATATCATCTTGTCGCAACTGCTCGTCTAAATCTTTTTGTGCTTGTTTCGCGGCCTCCTTCTTTTCTTTCTCGCATTTGGAGCAGGATGAAGATGGAGAACCTTCGTGGCATTGCGATTTATTCGTATGCCCTTTGGAACATTTTTGCTCTAGGATCACTCTGCATGGAATTTTAGAGTGATCGAGAACTTGATGGCAACTGCTCGGGCAATGATGAATTTTGCACTTCAACAGGACACCGCATTTTTCTTGGCATCCACCATCTGGACATTGATTTTCGAAATCATCCGGCGACGACAGAGTTACCATCCTATCAGGATGATTCTCGCATTTCACCGGAAAACCTTGATAAACATGTCCTGCGGCCGATAATAAATCGAAGAACTTCTTCCACAGATCTTTTCCTTTCCGGGAATTTATGAAAGTCTCAGAATTACCGACCATGATGAGCCCATTTCGTGCGCGTGAGACCAAGACGTTAAGTCGTTGAGGCTGGGATAAGAAACCAATATCATTGTTGGAATTGCTTCTAGTCATAGAAATGAGAACAATATCACTTTCCTCACCTTGGTAATTATCTTGGTTGCAATTAGCGATGTGTTGCAGTTGTGATGAAAGCATTCCGCTCAAAAGAGACGCTATGATGAAATTGCGGAAACGGATCGATTGTTTCATGGAGTATTTTTCAATGTCTCGGCTATTCTCGACAATTGAAAGCATTTCCGAGAGGAGGGATAGGGGAAAGGTTTTTCAGCAAGGAATGAAATCAGGAGTGGTACTCACCAACTGTAGAGATTCGGAGTGAAGGCTTGGAAGGCTTAGCGTCCATGCCCATATACAACCCGGAACGGAGGAGGTCAGATTTGTCCAAGTCGTTGAGTATAGGATCGTTCTCTGCGATAAGCTTTTCATAGAGCAATTTAAGTTGAGCGACATATGGCGTCAAAACCACCAATTTATCAGACCCGTATCCTTGTTGGGCGAGGTACTTGACACATTTCAAGATCATATTAGCCTCAAACTCATTCTTCTTAGAAGATGTCGGGTCGACATTGTTCCTCATTTCTCTAACCGTGACATCGTGTTCGGGAGATCTATGATCTATGAACACAACATTATCGCGGACGCCACGAATATTACTCCGATTACGTGTGGAATCTGCATCGATCAGGTCTGGATAAGTAAGATGCCTTATTATCGACGATATTTCTGGTCTAGAACGATACTGTTTTGTCAAAGTGACATGTGGGAAGCCGTCAAGAACAAGTCTCTCAAACAAGGACATGTCCAAATTATATCCGTCCCCTTGTTCTACCTTGAGGCTATAACTGTTACACTTGGGGCGTAGTTGTTGATGATCTCCAACCAGGATCAGTTGTTGTGTGTTCTTCCCTAAAGCTGTAAAGATATGCGCTTCGAGAATTTCTCCAGCCTCCTCCACCAGCAAAACACCTGGGGAGGCAGCTTGAATGGCGGCTGAATATTTTGCCGCAGCAGTTGTTGTACATCCAATGATTCTCTTTGATTTAATCTTGTTGACATCTCTTTGCCCAAGAAGGTTTTCTTTTTCTGCTTGGTCAGCGTTGAATTGCTTGCCAATTTTATGCAACTCTTCAGCCATCTCTTCTATAATATCTGATGTCCAACCCGAAACAATGGTAGACCTTAACTCCGATTTGATTGCCCAAACCTCGGCTGAACCTTTGGACTGAGCATATTGTTGAGTTCCGGCAGTTATCTCCCCCTTGATCCACCTGTCTAGTAAATAAAATTTGCCGATGGCTTTTCCCTTTTTTCCAACTTGGGTCATACCATCCATTGGGGTGGTCGATACCAGAAACGTGTCAAAAAATGGAAGGTCACCTTGCAGAAACTCGAGGTAGTCCAATATTTGTTGCTTACTAACATTTGTCGAGTGATATCGTTTGAAAGCGCTTTCCAATCTTGTTTGGTGTTGCTGGAGACTATTTTCGAGCTTGTTTATTCGGTCCCATTGTGAAGCATCAAGCGTGGACGATGGTTGATCTCTGAGTGATAGTTTCTTCGTTTTGGGTGTGGACTTTGCTCCAAGTCTTATCATATCTGAAGGCGGAATGCCGATATCCAAAAGCTCTTCCAGAAACTGGTCCAACGCATGATTCGTATAACAAACGACCAGAATGGCTTCGGAAGTGAAATCGTGAAGAATCTTGGCCCCTAAAGCTCCAATAAAGGACTTTCCAGTACCTAACGGCTTTTGTCAATACTTATTGGGGAACGTAAAGATTGGAAACGTACCTGGCGGACCTTGGATAAGGCTTACTTTTTGATATAAAATAGCAAGCAGGGAATTGATTTGGGCCTCGTCAAGAATGACCGATTTTGATGTTTGGATGAGCGAGTGAAGGTTTTTCCCTGGACTTCTTCGAATCTTATCCTTTAGTTGTAAGGGCTGAAATGATGGACCTTCGATTACTTGACCCTCGTTCCACGAAAGAAGTTTTTCAGCCAAAGGGACATCATTCATTTCCTGTAATCGTTTCAAAAACGGCTCGAAAGCGAACACCGACGTATCGAGCTGGATTAACTTTATTTCTTGAGCCGTCTTGAGTTTTACTAGAGCGTTTAGAACCGCTGTCTCGTCTTGAAATTGCAAGATGATCTTCGCTGGGTTTTGGGCCAATTCCTCTTCATTTCTGTTAATGGCAGGAAAGGCGATAGGTTCGCCATCGACAAACAGACATCCGGTTGTTCCTTGTCGAAGAATATGACGGTTTTCATTGAGATATTCAACACGCTTTTTGGGGTGTACCCTTTTCAAAGATGGTAATTCATCTTGGCATTTAAACCTGAGACCCCACGGCTCTCGGAATAGAGAACTCTCGATGTATATGTCGTCAACACGAATTTTGTCGAATGTCAAGCCCCTATGTTTTCCAGCTTTCAAGCCTTGAAGCTTCTGAACCTCATTTCTGATTTCTTCAAGCATGTCTTCCCTTAGAAGTCTGAATTGATTGTCGATGTGAATACCCAGACGGGCTGAATCCACGTCTCCAAGATATGTATCGGGAGTACGCAAGAAAGGTCGCTCCTTGGACAATAGCTCATCGGCTGTAGGCATAATCAAAACTTCCCGGTGATTTGCATGGTCATTGTTGTGTCTTCCGCCTGGCCCGACTTCATGATTCCTATCTAGATCTGAGACATCTAAAGACAGCGTGTGCTTGATTTTATGACCTAGATTTCGAGTGTCTCCATTAGAAGATTTGAGAATGGCATCTAAAATTCCGGGCGATTTCGCCACGAGTACATAAGTTGTTGGTGACTTTCCAGGGCGGTTGAGGAGTTCCAGTAGAAGCCATGCAAAGGAATGTGAGGCCTGTAGATTCAGTTCCATACCTTGGAATGCCCGAATGAATCCATCCCAAAAAAATGGAGGTTCAACTATTGCAGTGAGTAACTCTGATAGACTCAACCCAGAGTTGATAGTTCTTAAAGATGGCTCTTGTAGGTATCGAAGCAAGAGAACAGCACATCCGTTGAGGAAAGAGGGTGTGGTATCGAGGCGCATTGAAGTCTGTATTCCACTAAGACCTGCTGGACTTGATAGTATTTTGTATACGGTTGTTGCTGGATCCTGTTGAGAACAAATGGCTTCTATGAAAGTCTTCCCATCTCGGGCAGATGATAGAGTTCTTCGTCCGTGTATAACATCGTGGAAGAAACGGTTGAGGCGGGTAACCCGAGGGTCATCAGTAAAAGACGCCATTCGATTTTCAAAGATCGATAAATTCAATACAGAGACTTGGATGAATGAATGGTCCTGATCAGCAGTGGATTTGATATTTGATAATCGCTGGGGAGCTTTCATGCAAGCAACCTCATTTTGGACTTAAATTGATACAATGAAAAGCGACACACTAGATAATCGCTGGAAGGTTCTTTTGATTTCGATAGACAATATTGCACCGGCATTGCATAGGCATGATTCTATCCAGTTATGGATGTTTCCATCGTCTTGCCGGCTTGCTACAGAAGGAAAAAGGCCTCCCCGAGTGCATTCGTGCATTCGCTGTCCAATCCAATCACTAAAAAGAGTGCATATTGTAGATCAATGAAGGCTACCTGCATGCGATGAGACATTATAATGCATTTTTCGTTTGTGATATGCTGCTATACGGCACAGCAAGCCAATAGCATTATTCACGAGATAATAACTGGAACCTTTAAGGTCGATTTTTGCTGAAAGATGAGGAGAATACCGATACTTTAGATGGCCAAGTTTATCTGAATCTGGGAATAGCATCAGATAATACAGTACAGAATATTGTTCTGATAAAATTGCGACAATTGAAGATGTCGTCGAGAGGCGCTAACAGAGGTCGAAACTACTGGGGTAAGTCTAGTCGGGGGAAGACTCGTGGGGCTGGTGGGGGCTTCTCGCAGGGTTCAGCAGCATTCCATGTTCCTCCGCCAGTATCTGACGAACCTTTGGGAGAAGAAATCGACAAAATCAATATATCAACTCTATTGATCGAAGACAATGCCCCTAGAATTGCAAATGCCAATTATGTTGCTTCTTACAATTGGTTGGATGCCAAATCTCCCATAATTCTTGTACCAGGTAAGCAAAATATTCGGTCTCACAATCAATACACATCAATATTAGTGGGAGAGTCTGGCCTTTGCAATAAGGTTATGATTCCTCAGGCTGTCTATGATTTTACTTTTGTAACTGATTGCTAACTCAAGACAAAAGGTTCTCCCCCTGCATGGTCTCCTCTCGAAAAAGATGAGAAGCTTCCAGCAGACAGTGGAAGTGTATACCGCGACCTCAATGTTGCACGATATCCAGACTATCCACTGGAACCTGCTGTTCGATCCATCCTAGCTCTCGAACCAGACTTTGATCTACAAGCTGTGGACTTGGTAGCATGCGGGTCTACAATGGGGAATCTTTTGAGATTTGCAGGCTCGTTGGAGAAGTCATTTCGATTTGATGCGGAACTTGTAGGGGACAGCGTCTTCTTCATTAGAAAGGAAAAGACTCCGACGGAGACTATCGATAATCTCAGAGGATACGGTCATACATTTCCAGAACGATACACTACATGGGACAGAGACGTAGGGGGTTCTTGCTCACATCAACGCATAATCGAGTACGACTTCGCGGACCTTCATCTTTTGGTTCGCAGCGAGAGTGATGGATATGTCAAGAAGCAAGATCCACACAATCATCTCACGAAGGATGCAAAAGATGAGACACAGTCGTCACTGGATGAAGCATTTGACAATCTAGGAGTGGGCCGTGCCGCTGCCGCACCCGATCATTCAAAGCTCGACTTGCGAATGCAAGGCGTCAAGATACCCCAAAGTCAAATTTTCGATATGAAGACGAGACGTAGCCTTAACGTCTTTGACATGGAAGAGATTCTTCCTCGACTTTGGGTGAATCAGACTCCAAACTTCTTAATTGCATATCATGAATTTGGGCTGTTTCATAAACCCAAAGTGTCAAGCGTCAAGGACAAGGTTCTCCAATGGGAGGAAAAGAACGCGGTTCTATTGAGCAAATTTCACGTTCTTATAAAGAGGATCATGGATTCTGTGAAAGATTCTGACGATCATCGCGCAGAGGTTAGTTGGGACGGAAAGGGTCCATTGCGAGTGACAAAACAAATCAGAGAGGGAAATCGAGTTCTCCCAGATGACTTGTTGCAGAAATGGGACGATCTCGACTAAATTCATGTTCATGATTTGTTTTGGGGTTCGACTTGGGGTTCGTTCAAGAGTCGATTTATTATCAAGGCTGCTAGATCGTGGAAAATGTCATTGTGATAAAGCAAAGTTCGATTATTCATATGGTCTCGATTTCATGCTACAATGTCACATAGCTCAGCACGTAATGCAAGGGCAATCTCATGAAATCGACGGTGAACACTTCAGAATCTATACGTTTCCTAAATATTTTACTGTGAGTCATCTCCCATTTACTTCGTTACTTCACTTTTCCTGGATGGGACAATTTCGATTTTGTCTCCCCAGGTGTCGTATTTCCTTTGTCCACGTCTTTACAATCAGGTACGCTGGAACGTTTGATACGTTCAAACAACTCGTCAATCTCCTCGAGTGTCTTTCCTTGTGTCTCCACCGAATATCTCCACCGAATATCTCCACATCAATTCCACCTCTACATCCCACGCACCGTTCATCATATATATCTTCCAGCCCATGGCTTCTTCTTGAGCAAATAGTAACGAGAACACGATAAGGAGTGCAAGGCCGTCGAAAACGAGAGTAAAAAGTCCCGTTCCATTAGCGCGGATGGGATAAATGAGCACTCCAGGGAAATAAAGATAGAGAAGTGATGTCCACTCAAAAAAGCAAGCTCCTCGGAAGAGGAAAATAGCAGCGACTGTGCCATAAACCCCCAATTTATTCGCTGATGTCCAATGCACTTTACTATATGTCAGCGAGCTTGGGTGCAGAGTCGGAAGGCTAGGGGCATACCTTTGGTGAGACCACCGACCATGAAGAGGGAAATAGTGAGAAGTGCTGTGCTAATGATAGCCGCTGGACGCTGGCCTAGAATATCGGTATAGTAGGAGTATGTCCCAACATTTGCACAGCAAAGACTGATACCAAGCATTGAGGATTATGTACAGTAAAGGGTCAACGTCTATTTTTCATGAGGCTAGCAAACTTACGATTTGGATTTGGCTGGTGGTATCAATGATCCCGGCATTATCAAGCATCGTTTAACTTGCGATTCCATTGCTTACTAAAATCAGTTCTACTCGTACATCTGATCAGGGAATCGATTACCTACCAGGAATGGTAGAAATTATTGCCGTCGAGATAGCAAAAGATACTCTCTTCCTAGCAACTGGTGTTTTGACCAGCTGCTTTAGACTCAAGGTCTCGCCAATGTTTCTCTCATAATCTTATTCTATCATCTCGATAATCTCCTTGTATTGCGCAAGTACGATTGGATTTGATATAAAGGTATCTCCGTTCGCGTGAGTCTGGGCTAGAACGATTAAGGCCTCTTCTGTACGTTCAATATAGGCCAACCTGACCATTGAGGTGATTCTGGGGCGAATGGTAGGATGGCAGTGCAAAGAATACTGAAAACTCCTTGAACTAACGAAGGAAGTCTACAAGCTCAAGTTGAGTTGTAAGTAGCTGTTTGATATGTCACGCCAGCTGCAATCAACATAGGACGAGGAGAACTGATACTGTCCATAAAGAGCTGGGAACTCTAGGACGAATTATTCGACCCATTATTGTCTCCGTCATGGCGAAATTAAGTTCAACAAAATTTGGAAACTACTGTTCTTAATGGTCGACCTAGTCGTGGCGCAACAGATGATATTTTTCAATGCTATCGCGAAGAATCTACATACAATCTCAGATTGTGTCTGAGAAAAGTCTATACGGACGGTACTTATGCTTCTTATCTCAATTATATTGACCGCACAACCAAAATTCATGTGTATGTATGGAGGAGGTAAAATGGCTTATCATAGATACTTTAATACATAAGGCCATGCGGGGACATAGCTCTAATGCGTGTGCAAGGAATACTGAGGCCTACGAAGCTTGTCAAAGCTTGTCCAACTTGGAATTGTCCAATGGTCGGCCGGTTAGATCTTTGATATCAACTTTCCTTCCAAGTCCTTGTGCATGAATAAGTGCGATATGGCACTATATTCTATATTCTATATTCGGTGTGTTATTCCTCTTAGTCTCTCGGATTTTCTCTCTTTCCCAAAACTTTGTTCACGATCTACTTATTACAATGATCAATGTCGAGTTATGTTTCACCGAAGCTTGAAGCTCTTATCGCTAATTCAAACCCCTGCGCAACATTGCATCTGCCAGGAACAACTCAGCACGTGATGCGGATCTACATGTCGTCCAAATTGGGCAGGTGGGACGAAGAGGGGTAAAGTCCCACTTCGAGTACTTGTGTATTTCACTGAGTATGAACTCAGGAGAGCTCCTTTCTTCTAGTCCTTCTGCCATAAATGAAATTGATGATGCATCTTCTTTTCTTGTGGATAGCTTTTATATCTCAAACGTTCGCTTTCAATGCTCCATCCGATGTTGCAACATGGTGTGGAAAACCATACATGAGCACGTGAGTTATGATTGATAGTGATGTGGCAAAAAGTATAAGTAATATCTCTGACATTTATTAGAAACCGCTCGCTAGATCCAGGAGGACAGTTCCAGTTTCCGGTACCGCAACCCGATCCTCTACTTTTTGTAACGATACAACCTCGATTTTCAATCTTTCTAGAGAGTGACGGAGAGGGAACTTTTATTGTCGATGCCAGCAGATCGCACGTTTTCGGGGGATCCTACAAAAAGGCTTCTTACAATACCGCTGGAAGTAATATTAGCTCGCCATTCACTATTCTCGATATTGAGATTTACAATGAAGAGTCCAGTGCTCTCATTGCTACCAATAAGGTTCCCGTAAATTCAACAGGGAACCTGATTGGATTCTCCATCTCGTCATTTCCAGCTCGACTAGGCCCCTATGCAGTCTCAATTTACGCTATCTCCCAAGACGGTCAACAATCTTACACGGCAAGCACCAGCATCTACGTCCTACCGTCCCGGAATTATGGTAGTGCTGTGAAAATCGACAATCTCTATGGAGGACTCTATGTCCAAAATGCCAAAAATAATTGGGATGGCTTCTATGCCATATTTCCCAATGGTCATTATGCCGATGGATCTTACGTAACCCCAGACAACGTCTCTCTGGCCAATCTCGAAGCGTACGCCGCACTCGGTTTCAACACCATAAATATAGTTCCAGACGCCGGTCTTCCCGATCAAACCTACCCCACCGAACAACTAACAGAGTATTGGGACAAATTAGATGAACTAAACCTCTTCAACCTCTTCGACATGCGTTTCGCATTCCAAAACTCAACACGCATCGCAGAACAAGTAGCTCTCTGGCAAAACAGAACGACACTTCTCTCCTGGTACACAGCTGATGAACCGGATGGCTGGGCATATCCGCTTAATTCCACCCAGCTAGCTTACACGCAACTCAAATCTCTCGATCCATACCATCCCGTCAGTCTCGTTCTCAACTGTCAAAACTTTTACTATCCGGAATATGCAGCTGGTGCGGATATAATTTTCCAAGACGCTTATCCAGTGACTATAAATGCTACATGGTCCATCCCGTGGAACACACCTTGTAATGAAACATACGGAGATTGCGGATGTGATAATTGTATCGGCGAATTGAAAGATGTGGCGAACCGACTCGACGACATCCAAAACTATCAAGCAAACATAGGACCGGGTAATCAAGGGGGCTTGAAGAAACCTACGTGGTCGGTAGTGCAAGCGTTTGGTGAACAGCAATATTGGCAGAGTAAACCGAGTTCACAGGAAGTGGAAGTCATGATGATGTTGAGTGTGAATCATGATGCAAAGGGCATTACATATTGGATATACCCCAGCACCGAATCTATCAATATCGGCAGTGGACAGTTGGGGAAAGTGCTGCAGAGTGAACCTGCAATTGATTTCTTATTCGGCACAAACACAATCAAGGGATTAGGAAGCGGGCTCCTAGATATAAGTGCGTGGATCGTGGGACATCAAATGATGGTCGGGATTGTGAATAGCGAGTATAATGATTCCGAAGACGAAGTCACGATAAAATTACCCGGGAGCGTCGTATCGGTAGATCAGACTTTGTATGGAAACTCGAGTTGGATTGTCAGGAACGGCATATTATCGAAATCGGGCTTGGTTGGTCTGGAAGTAGATATTTTGATTGTGAATCTTAGTTAGTGTTCCTTGATTTGATTTGATAATTTCTTTGCAGTCTGGTATATCATATCGTATCTAACGTGTATGATCTCTATCTCTAGAATCGGGCATAGGCTTTTCCGAACAATATGCACGGGATTCGTATAAAGATGAGCTATGAGCTACTGAGCTATGATGAATACATTTCTATATTCCAAGTGAAACTCATGACTTTCTTTACTGTGCCAAATAACATGCTTTTGGGTAGTGTGGCAAGCTTACATACAGTACTCGAGTATGATGATCTGTGTATCTTCGGTTTTTAAATCCCTATATTACTACATGGCATAGTACCGGTAGGTAGGTTATTTTAAACTCATGATGCTGAGTCTTGTGCGCGCAATCACATGACTTGTCCTCCTCCTACCTTGGATTTTGGTTAGCTTTCTAATAAAGATAAAGAGCTAGCAAGGTAGGCAAGATAGAGTTGAAGTAAGGTATAATATTTCCATTTCCCTACACCCTTGGTGTATCATTTCCAACTATAACACAAAATACAAGCTTTTCCACATTCACTCTCAAAAGTTCGATTATCCAACCAAATACACAGATCAATACCCCTCTCTCAAAGTAATCATGCATTTCTTGCCCTTGGGGCTGATCGAGAAGAAATTCTTCATCTCCATGCCATCTTCACTCTGACTCGCCGCAATGCGCGCTCCCTTACACTGTCTGAAAAATAAAGCGAGCGCTAGCCACATTTCCGTTCGCGCCAGATGGATACCCAGACACGTGCGAGTTCCGGCGCCGAAAGGATGGCTTACAGCTTTGAGATGGTCGGTTTTGGAAGCGAGCCAGCGTTCGGGTTGGAAGCTGGATGTGTTAGTTGTGCAAGGATGTTGTGTTGTGTTAGAGGATTAGGGAGGGAAGTGGATGGGGAGAAGAAGTAGAGTCAGAAATACCTCTCGGGTTCTGGGAAGATTTCGGGGTCCCGATGAATGGTGTATGCTTGTGTACAAACAGTGATGTCTCCCGGTACGAAATATCCATCTAGGTGCGCTCCTTCCTTTGGCACGATCCTGGGCAGAGCTCCTGGCGCCGCTCCATATAATCTCAGTCCTTCATCAATAACAGCGTTTAGTAGCTTCAGCTCCTCAACATCTTTCGATTCGAAATCTTCGTTTAGACCATCTACCTCTTCTTCCAATCGCTTCTGCAAGTGCGGATCTTTCAAGATATTGTATATTAGAAAGGTTAACGTGGTTGCAGTAGTATCTGTGCCCGCTACAATCATACCAGTAGCCTCCTGCGTGACGTCCAAATCTGTCAAAAGACCCTCAGCGTTATCAGTCTTGCTTTTGGCGAGAACTTTGCGAAAGATGCTAGGATTGGTGTTGCTTTCTGATTTCGCATTTTGAACTGCTATCGAAGCGTATTGTAACATGCGATTTTGAGAAAGACCGCGAAGAGGAATGTGTAGGGATTTTAGGACAGCAAAGACTAGAAGATATCGAAGTCAGTGATTGTCTCCCATAATAACATATGGGAGGAAGATAAAGAAAATGTGTGAATAAAATAAACGTGTAAGATGAAAAGACGTTAGGGATTAGATTTGAAGAACAGGAAAGATATTAGATACAAAGACGTTGGTATACGGAACGAACATACCAGTGGGGAATTCGGCTTGTAGGCCGCCGAACTTGGATATCTGTTGGATATCTTCGATGTATTGGGTTTTCTAAAGTGGAATTGGAAATGAACATTGTACCAAGCGGAGGCTAGGGCGAGGAAAACTTACCCGTTCATTTTCCAAAGTCTTAAAACTCTCCCCAAAACAGAGATGCCCCACAGCATCCGTTGCCATGAACATGAAGAACTTTAGGATATCCACCTCTCCCTCCAAGGCATCCCGCTTTATTTTCCCAATCGCCATATCTGCTTTCGTCCTCACGTGACTCTCCCAGTTCGTTCTCAAATAACTTTTACTAAAAGAATGTGCGAGCAGTCTGCGGCGGAAAGCATGAAGTTTTGGATCAATCATGCTGAAGACGTTGGCAGGTTTGGTTACGAATAATTGGTACCAGGGAGATTTGCGAAAAGGTTTCGAAACGCGATGAATGGTCCGGAAGGAGGAGTTTGAAGAACACATTACTTCGGTTGGAGCGACGAGTACAATGGGTCCATAGGCGAGATGAAGAGAATGGATGTATTGCATGCGATGCCCGGTAACTACATGGTATTTGAGAACAAGATGGGTGAGTCTTGCATACCATGGTCCTGGGATTTTGCGGAGAGGAGTGAGGTAGGCTCGATGAAGGATCTGCGATATGTTAGTGCTCTGGGGTGATATATCTTGAGAGAGGTATGTTTGTACTCGGATGAGAATTCCTAGGCAGACTATGATGACATTGATGATAGCTATTTGCTTCATCTCGAATATTTGAAGAAAGTTAAAGATTTCCATAATGAGGTAGGTCCAAATGACTGCCACTGATCGTCCATATCAAAACTTGCATCGGGGACTTTTATTTATATATCATCATAGAGTGATAGAGTGGTACTATGAAGCAGGCACGACTTCACTGCAGTACAGCTGTGGACCAACAATTCTCGAAGTTGATGTTTTGGAATGTACGGTAACTCCACAGTAGTCCATAAACCGTCGCTAGCAGAACATGCCATTATGGTTACAGGTACTGATGCCGCCAGAAAGTCCGCAACTTGGGTAAGCTAGCACATGCCCTACAGTGGTAAACTACAACAAGAATAGCCTAGATTTTGACTTCCCGAGTTGCAAACTTTCTAGCAGCATGAGTACATGTCCACGAAACAGAGAGAGCCGTTGACAATTTGTAATTGGAGAAGTTCTAAAAGCGAGGCAGATGTGGGGCTGGCTCGGACTCCGCTTAAAAGTCCGTTCAGGGGTATCCAATTGTGTAGACTACAATCCAACAATAAGAGATTCAAATATTTATCCTGAATTAAAACATTAAATATCTCAAGAATATTCAAACCATTTCAATCATTGAATATATTTGGAATAATGAATTGCTTGAAAAAATAATTCAATTGTTTTCAAAGATCAAGAACTTTCGAATGTTGAAATTTGTCTAATTGGACTACAGTCCGGACTATTGGATACTCTGAACTGTCCGTCAACTAGCTCCCGTTTTAAACTATGCGCGTGCCGTCCCGCAAGGGCACATTTTACATTCTGACCTTTATATATGCATGCTGATACTGGCAAAGTGAGATAATATAGAGGGGAACATGTAGAAAGTGTTGCCATGATGCATACAAGCCTAATTGCCGAGATCAGGGGTCGCATTCGTGGATGTCAAAATATACCAGTACTTTTACAGACTAGTCTCTTAATTGGTCTTTTCACATCCCGATTTCATGACTTTCATGACGTCTGTCCGAAAAAATTAGGATTTGGATTCCTCCCGTATTTTCACCTCAATCACAAAATATGATTCCAATAGAGGTCTTGAGCAAAAAGATTATTAAATTCTTATTGAAATGTTCGCTTATAGAATGGGTCTCATGAGTGTAGCACGCTCCTACTATTTTGTATGGTAGGAGCTGCTGGTATGAGATCTGAATGGCTATAGATCTACAGAGCTCCATAGAGATCTAAAATATTAGTGTCGGAGGTGTTCAAAAGGGGGAAGGTTGAAAAAAGCAAGTGGAGAGGAAGTGGGACTATTCGTCCCCTACCCTCCTGAATAGGCCACTCAGGGCTTCAGGATCTATTATACAATCATATAAGAAAAAATTTATTTTTCTGTGTTATAGTGGATTGGGAGGAAATGGAATCGCTTACATAAGCAAAATCAAGCGAGAACCCATTAGTGGGTTTCTATAATCACTGGAATGGTTTTATCCACTTGAATTATTACTACATATACTCACTCTAGAACTTATTAGAATAATTCTATCCATTCTCTAATCCCACCTCTCCTTCTCCCTCCTCCTTTCCAAATAAGCAACTAAGCTATGCTATATCGGTCGGGAAGATGAATCAGGATTCAAATTACAGAGGATATTGATTTTGGTATTGATTTTGTTCTCTTACTTTTATATTCAACTAGATGAGACGAGTAGATGAGACGGAATTTAGTATATACTATAAATTCTATAATACTCGCTAATTACTATGTATTCATACTATTCCTGAGCCGTCCCCTTCCAAGCTAACTCCGAGCCTGAAGACTTAAAGAGGAGGTACTGTTCTTGGACTCGGGTTTATCTCCTTATCTTACATCTCTCTTCATTAACTTTTGTTCTCGAGGCGTGATGTTGCGGGATGGCAGGATCATCGAGATAAATTTCAAAAGTGTGCGGCATAAGGTTATCATATTCACTTAAACATATCATTAACATCGTAACATAATCATCAAACTCTCAATCAAACACCATCAAACACCCTCAAACACCTTGGTGATTCTCTACAACCTTCGTATTCTCCACACTCCTCTCTGTACAATAGCCCTTAAACTTCCTCGCTCCCACTCCTCTACTAAACATCTCATCCAATTCTCTATAACTTCTATCCTTGATCTCCGGAATCTCCGCCCAAACCATAAACCACGCAATACAAGCCGTTGCACAAAAAATCCATCCCATCTTACCACCTAGGTTTCCTTCGTTGGTATTGAACATGTAGGGAACGACTACATTCCAGATCGTAGAATATGTGTAGTTGAAGAGAAAACCCAGGGACTGGGATTTAGCGCGGAGACGAAGGGATGAGATTTCTCCGGCGAGGGATATGGAAGGGCTGATTGAGGGGCCGATGGTGAACCATACTAATTGGAGGGTTATACCGACGCACCTGATTCGAAGGTTAGTTGTGCTGCAGAGGCTGAGAATTGAATGGAGAGAGGAGAAGGTGATTTACCATAAGGATACCTTGTATGAAGATACACTTGCTGCGATTCCCATAATCAGAAATAAAACGATAGCAAGTACTATACCGGATAAGATCATCTTTCTTCTCCCAATGAATGTCATGAACCAAAATGTAAAGAAACTGCTAATCAAGGCAAACCCAATGCTCAGCTCGATTATCATGGAAGCTTGAGAGGACGATAGGCCCGCATTGATCATAAAGTATGGAGCGTTCGCAATAAAAGTAGCACCGATCATTTGATTGATACCATTGATGTAAAGGATGATTCTTGTTCTGCGCCAATTCGTTCCTTTGAATAGGTCCATGTACGAAGTTTCACTACTTTCGCTGGCTTGGAATCTCTCCTCGCGAGTGATTTGGACCATGCTGGCAAGGAGGGGTTCGACTGAGATGGATTTGTTGTAGAGTTTGGAGAGAGCGCTGGTGGCAGAGGATAAACTTCCCTTTCTGACCAGATGATAGGGAGATTCAGGGATGACAAAACAGAATATGACAATGATGAGAGGCCAGACCCAATTTGAGGCGAAGAGAACTTTGTATGACGATTGGTCCATGATTGCTACACGGTCGAAGGCGACAGAGACTGCGATTAGATATCCTGGGTTCTTTTTACCGTTAGCAAAGATCGTAGCACTCAACTATCTTGACAACATACCATGCTAAAAGCGTACGCTGATAGTGCAACCCCCCGAATCTTGAGAGGGGTAATCTCCGATACGTAGATTTGACCAGTAGTCAAAGCCATGCCGAGTCCGAAAGCATTAATTATTTTACCGCCAAGAAAAGCGCTAGGAGTATTGGCGGTGTAGATAACTGCAGTGCCGGCAATCGAGATAAGTCCAGCCCCCCAAGCACCAAAACCTGTACACATTTGTACCATAGCATCTCACAAAGATTGCCAATACGCTGGTATGAGATAGTGGACGGGTGAGTACTCTCATGATGAGTCTTTGACCCGACGAAACTTAGATATTGTTCATCCAGAATCCTCTCCCAGAACTCCTCATAATAATATCAAATGTGCTTTCATGTTCATTCCTGACATTCAAGATTCCATGATAGCTTCATCTTCATCACCATTCCTCACTTAGGAAGCACAATGGGGTTGGGTGCAAGATTTTGATGATACGATTGATCCTGGACAATTTGTTTTATTTCGAAAATTATTTAATCTGGAAAAGCCACCCGACGAAGAAACTCTCCTTCATGTTTCTGCAGATACTCGGTATCGATTGTTCTTGAATGGGAAACGAATCAGCTTTGGACCTTGCAAAAGTTACTCAACAAGATGGTACTACGAGACGATGGATATCACTCCATTTCTTCAAACTGGAAGAAACGTATTGAGTGCAAGAGTCTTGAGGTTCTCTGCAATAAATGCGGCTGGGACGTCGATGGCCAGAACACCCATACCAGGACTCATTCTCTGGTGTGCGATAGGCGTAGGTAAATCCTGAGCGAGTGGTGTCATAGTTCAATATGCTAATTGATATGAACAGGAGCAGAAACTTCACACCAATTCCACCTGGAAGACAACCAATGACCAAAAAACAGCACTTCTTCCATCCTCAACGTGGGACTTACGATTGGGGCCCTGTTTTTTGAACCTCAACGAAGAAGTCCATGCGGGTATTATGTTATCGGGATGGGAAGAAGTTGAGTTTGATGATGCATGCTGGAAAGATTCTGAAATAAGGACGATGAAGAGAAAGATGTCACCCATGCTAGATTCCAGAAAACTAACGCCAAGACCCATTCCTCATTTACCCGAAATATCTCGAAGGTTTGATAATGCGATAACATGCTCAAATAATTCGAGTTTGGAGGACTGGAATAAACTCCTGCAAAAAGATAGTCCTGTGAAACTAGAAGCCAGCACGGACACGGTCGTCGAAATAGAGACAAGTATTTTAACTACAGGATTTCTGGAATTCAGGAATTTGATGTACCCAAAATCCAAATCTTGTGTGCTGAGTCTTATGAGAACGACATGGATGCCGGCCAGCCAAGAACGAAAGAGGATCGTACCAACTCGAAACCGGGAAATTATATGGGCCAACTGATACTTATATCTGTCACTTCACCCGGACCAAATGTTATTATGAACCTTTCTGATGGCGCACATTCCGATACATTCGGATCTCTGTAACATGTCCACCGTCTACTTCACTTACTTTCACCTCCATCACATACCGATCTACGCATTATCCTCTTTCGATCACCACTACTCTTGCTAGCACTCCTCTTGTCGACAAGCTCTACTCTACATCCGTCAACACTCTACTCAATTGTATGCATGAAACTCATGAGGATTGTCCTTACTATGAACAAAATCAATTCAGTATGGACACTCGTCTACAGCTTCTCTATTCCTTTACTATATCTTGTTCAAACATTCTTGCCCGCAAAACCATCCACGAGTTTTATGCATCTCATAGAGATGATGGGCTACTGGAAACTCACTTCCCAAATCCTGGTCGGTCAATGAATATTCCCCAATTTTCGTTGTATTGGATTTTCATGATTGAGGATCACTCATTACATTTTTGTGACTTCAAGTTCGTCAAACAATACTTAGGCACAATTGATGGGATACTGGACCATTTCAGCGATCATTTGAACGAAATTGGCCTTGTGGGACAATTTGAGGAAGAGGGTACATGGCCTTTTATTGACTGGGTAAAAGAATGGTTTACACCAGCACGAGTCTCCAGTCTGGGGGTACCAAAAGCATATTTCGAAACAGGAGCCGCCACTGTAAACAGTCTAGTTTATGCGATGGCCCTTAAATCTGCGTCGGTATTATGCGAAGCACTGCTCAGAAATGATACTGCAAACGAATACCTTGATAGGGCCAATGCCATCATCCGTGCTGTCAATGAACATTGCTTTGATAGCAGTAATGGTCTATATCTTGATGGACCCGGTGCTAGTGCATAAAATTCACAGCATGTCCAGATATTTGCAGTACTGACTGATGCTATAAATAGCGAAGCTGCTAAAGATCTGATGCGAAAGACTGTTCGAGAAAGAGAGGCATTTGGACTTGCAAATGCATCATTTGCGATATCATTCTACATGTTCCGAGCCGTGGCCAAAGCAGGAATCTATGGGAAGTTTGGGAAGAGTTGCTAGGCCCATGGAAAATGATGCTTGACCAAAATCTGACAACTTGGGCGGAAAGTGAAAGTATGGTCAGCAGTGATTGTCATGGATGGAGTGCTACTCCCATGTATGAGATTATGAGGGAAATAGTCGGTATCAAATATCCGGCCACAAATGATGACGAAAGGTGTTTGACAACGATCGTTGAACCTAAATTTGATCTGGTCAATCAAATCAAGGGTACCTTTGTTACTGGTGAAGGGGGGAGTATAGATGTCTCTTGGGAAAATCCTGGATCTGTCAAGCTCAGGAGTTCGAATGAAAGCAGGGTTAAATTGATACTCAAGGGTGTTTTCTATGATGTCAAGCTTGTAACTGGTGTGGAGCAATCCTTTCAGATACAGTGTTAGATGCTAAAAAACGTAATTTAGAGATCGACCACAGTGTGGAAAGTTTTCTCCTTCCATTCCTCGCGATATCCCATATCATCGTTGCAGTTCACAGACCTTTGAGTATAGTTCACCAAACGGGCCTGATGAGAGGATCCCCGTCGGGCAAGTACAACTGTTAGCATATTATTTGGGTATCTTCAAGTGCTCCAGAGAGTGTGTATTGTGAATTTGTACTCAGAACAGCCACTGCGAGGGTTATAACCTCAACATATTGTGGGTAGCTTCAGTGTATACGTATATGGAAGATTATTATGAATGACATGAATGGATTTCAAACGATCATATGCAAGGCGTACGGCGACAAGAACTCACATTGTATTATGAATCAATCATAGGTTGGCTCTAGTGGCTGTACTGTGTTCGCATTACAGAACGAAGCCGTATTCCTCTGTACATTGAACTCTCCAAATTCTTATAAAGTCAACTCTCCTCGCGGTTCCTAGCAGTTCCTCCTTTCTAAAAAAAAACACAAATCTATCTCTTCACAGTTCGATTCCTAATCTACTTCAAACAACTGACATACTTCAAATAATTGACCTACTTCATATCACAACTTCAATCACGATGGATTGGGCACACAATCTTCCTCCACTCGACGAGGGCAGCAATGAGGCAGTGGAGTTAACCTATCAAGACCAATGCGACTTGCTCATGAAGCGAGTAGACAAGTTCCCAATGCAGTCTCAATTGGCCGAGCAATCTGGTCTAATTGGCGGCATGAAGTACATCGAAGGTTTCTCCAAGTTGTGGCATCCTAATGCGGGCGATGCCTACATCAATTATTTCACACAGGTCCTTGCTGCGCAGATTTTCTGTATGTATTCTATCTTTTTTGTTTCTTCTCCAGCTAACTTATGTTCCAGGGCCCAATTTTGACTTTCCTGGCGTTGACCCCGATCCAGTTTACGTAAGTCTCACCAGTCCAATCCTTGTGACGGGTGAAGGCAAATAATTAAGTTCCAAAGCTAATTATGTATGTATAGACTCAAGTTTGGTCTGAGTATTTCGATGCTGCGGTAGAGCTTGTACATCGCAAATATCCACGTGATATGGTAAGTTTCGTCCGCAAATGTATGTTTTATGCCTCAAAGCTAACAATTTCCAGTATGATCTGAGCAAAGAGTTTGCTGATAAATTATTTGTCGCTCGCCGCAATGCAGCCCTTACCGCGAATCAAGTAAAGAACGCTCAGGAGTCGAGAGAATATGGTACTACAGCAGAGAGACTCGCGACAAAGACATCCAAAGCTGACAGCAATGCCATCGAGGGAGCTGATCACAATGATGTTTCGTCCACCATCGCCTATTACGAACTTGAGAGCGATTCCGAGTTTGAGAAGGTCGACACAAGTGATGTGGAATTGACAGCAAGTACTGAGGAGAGTATGGAAGACGGCTATGTTTTTCTATGAAAGATTTGTGGCACTTATCAAAGTACCAACAGTCTTCTCATACATCGTTGTATCAATTTCATTGGCAGGAAGTTTATTAAGCTGTGTGGTAGATCATTAGTGGTGGCTGTCGCGCTTTTTAATGGCATTATGGCAATTTTCGTTTTCCTAGATCGTTGGGTTGATTCAAGAATCGACATCAACGTTTCAGTTTAGGTTATTTTCTGGTTAATTCTGAGTGATGATTTCTATGGGGAATTATTAGTATGGTACGATGTGATAGGAGCCTTTTCATAGTGATACCGTAGTGAATCATCAAATATATCTCATTCGAGTTTTCAACTTCTTGCAAGCATTATCTTGAATATTACATAGGCAGCTGTATTACGAAGCGAACATATCTCTGCCGTATAAAGAATTTCATTTCTATCTATTTAGTTTCTGGAATTCCTTTCAGTTATAAATCTTTACATTGATTCATTAATCAAGTAAAATAGTTTCTACACAACACAACACAACAAAACCTACACAGAACAAAATAACTCTCTCATACTTAACCTCAATCAAAAGTCCACAATAAAATCAAGAACTACAACAGATCACAAACCAAACCACACACCCGCAATCATGAATGCCGCCGTTCGTGCCCTTCACCAAGTAACCCTATCCATTGACTGCGTCAAGAAGCTTCCCCCACTCGAGCCATACGAAGGTCTTGATTCTCCTCCCCAGCTCATGTATCAAGATCAGATTGGTTGGATCACTGTGAGTTTAAGAGTTTCTTTTCTTCCATACATTTCATTCCACCACCGACTTTTTTCTTTTCTCTTAATTCACTTCCCAATATCTGTATCTCCGATACCTGGACTTTTCTTATCTATTTTCTTTTCTTCCTATTTCACCATATTCTATCTACTTTCCCCATTTTCCTTCTTACCTCTTCCTTATTCCCTCCTCTCTATAAGCTCGTAAACTAACCCCACCCTCTCAGAACTACGCAACCAACAACGCCTGTTGCCCCATTATCCTCTCAAATGCCAAATCCGGATCTTGGCAACAAATGCTCATGAATATCGAAACCGTCAATCGACTCCGTCATCCAAATGTTCAACAAGAATACATCAAATGGAGAAGTCAAGATATGCTTGTTCGACGTCTGTGGCCCAAAGCTATGTTTCCGGGGATGGATCCTGATGAGCTTTATGTGAGTACCTGTATTTTTCTTGGATTCAGAGAGGAAAGGAGATAATGTTGGGGTGATATTGGGGTGATGCTGGGACGGTATTGATAAATGATATGATAGACACAAATCCGCAAAAATTACTGCACAGCCGCGAGAAAATTGACCGGGGAGTTGGATGAACAGGGTTTGGATTACGAGAGTGCGCTGGTGAGTTTGTATTTCCTACTCCTTTTCTATATATATACAACTTGGGGAAAATCTAACAAATGATAGATTCAACTAAAGAAGACATATAACAAGAAACTCGCAGCAGCACGTAAAGCAAAGGCGGGTACGGGTATAGGCGAGTTTCTGGATCGTATCTGTGCTATTAAGGCGATGAAGAGTAATCGAGAGGCTGGTGAGATGGAGGCAGAAGATGAGTTTGTGGTTGTGGAGGTGGAGGATGGGGATGTGGATGAGGGTGAGGGTGAGGGGAAGTGCGAGGAGGATGATTGGGATATGCTTTGATGGAGTAAATGGATGGATCGATGGATCGAGGGTGTCAAGGGGGTTTTTGAGATGATGTCGTTCGTTGCTGGTGCTGCAGTTAAGTGGGTTTGAGTGGGTAGGAGGCGTTTTCTCAGGCAATTCTTTGCGGAGTTCGATTAGCTTTGTTCCGTATTCACATCTTTGTCGTGGATTTAGGTTTAGGCTTAGGATTAAGTCAAAGCAAAGCCTGCACCAATAGATAGATACATTGTCGGTAGCAGTAGCAATTATAGGGTTACCTGAGAAATATTTCCTTTTCTTTGATTGAAGGTTCAATAATTACTTGAATTGTAGATCTAGTCTATTTTCTTGGCCACGACTTGGATAATGATTTTTAATCATCCTTTCGTCTGATGCCCATAATATATGTGAAAGTCTATGAGCTACTGCTGCAAGGGGTGGGCAGCGTTACATGTATGACATTAAGAGAATTGCAAATATTATCTCTGTGGGAATAGCTGATGGCAAAATATGGCGATATTTGACAGCAAGGATAGTATGTTATTGGTATTCCTCCATCTGAAATCTGGGGTAAGCACCGGGTTTCATCCGCGGTTTCCTATTAGTTTTCGTACTGTACTGATCTGATGTTTGATCATTCATCGCTTCCTTCTTACCCTTATTGAGCCTAGTACTGTGCTTATAAACATCAGTAGCTGGCCAGTGTATTGGAGGACTCTTATCTATGGTTACTGAAGTTTTAATGAGATTTGGAAAGATATTGGGTTATTTTCTTACTATGCAATTTTATCAATTATGAGAAGTGAATGAACAAAGACTTTTCAGTGATGGTTAGAGTAAGGAGAATTAATAATATAGTGCAAGCTGGTCTAAAATTGCTAAATGTGACATCAGTGCCCGAAGTTATGATCACTTGGGCCAGAATACTGTCACGGTAAGGAATATGAAAAGTTGCTAGGGGGCGGGGCATACATGGTAAAGTTATGTTTTGAGCTAGTGCTGCCGGGAGATATTCATCAAATATACCGGTAATAAATTCAGAATTTTGACCGTCATTATTGCCGCGTAATGTAGTAAGCTCAAGTTACCTGACAAGCGCAAGATCTCTAGGGAAGACGAAAATTTATGATGCATTCAATAAAACTGAAAATTTAAGCACAAACGCCAACTTCAATGGCCAAAATCTTCTACTCTCGATCCGTACTCGGGGTTAGTAGAAAATCTATATGGGACGCTGCTTCCCCTTTAATCTAGCCTCGCCAAATTTCTACTAACGCAGTCCAAAGTGAGTTCCTCGACCTCAACAACTTTCCTCAAATTCAACAACTTTACCCAAAAGAGGTTTTTACAGTTACTAATTTTTGCATCTTGCTACAACATTTGATGATGTCAAAATCTTCAAAACATCCGTTCATTCCACTGGACAACCTTAGTGCTCCCCATGGCTCAAAGATCTCCTATGACCAGGAAACCAACATTAAATGGCTTCACAATCAAAGAGATATCCTACAGGCGGAAACCGGCAAAGTTATTCTTGCCAATGACGTGATCGATTATTGCTCCAAGACATTGATGAGATTTATGGGCCGTGGACTGATGAGTCCTGATTATTTTGTATTTTCTATGCATGCTATGATAGCTCAGAGGTGCTGTGAGCTCAAGTCTTATCACTGAGGCTAAAAGATTCAAAGTGGCTGATTTATATAAAGTCCCGCACGTCAAGTTTCCTGGCAAGGATCCGGATCCAGTCTTTGTCGGTAGCCAATCCAAATTACTTAGATATCAGGCTGACATCGTTCGAATAGAGTCACATATTATCGGAGTACATTGTGGATCAACAACAGATAAGACGTGCGATAGATGTAGTCAGCATCACGGATGCTGATATTCACCATGAACTCGTGGGTGTTCCTGGTCCCTACTTCAGGATGATGAAACTCAAAGACTCACATAGTGTTTAGACTGGCGTAGCGAGAAAATACAATAAGAAACTAGCGGAAGCTCGAGCGGAAGCAGAGAAAAACAAGGATCGAGCCCACCAGGAAGTCACAAACGAGAGCAGTACCGGAGTCGATTACGAATCTGTGTGCTCCGCGCTTGCTGGTTTGCAGATGGCTCAGGAACAGAGCGAGGTCCTTGAAAATGTTGAGAAAACATCTGAGGATGCGATTGATGGCAATGCGGTTGTTAAAGAAGAGGGTGATGATTCAGTTGTGACCTAAGGAAAAGGTTGGAATGATGTTAGGGAGTCATGGCGAGATATTCTTAGAGTAGCAGTATTTTCTGGCTGAATACTACAGCATCTCTATCTCGAGCCGTCTTTCGACACATAAAGTGATTTGTTGGAAATAATTAGATGATGTAAATATTGCAATCTAGCAACAGGCGAGTTAGATTTGCAGTGCTCTTGGTCTCTATCATATTACACCCAATAACGTTGTCTGGAAGTCAGGTCGAAAATGATATATAAATATTAGTTATTTGTCCAAACAAACAAACAAACAAACATTCCAAACGAAGAATCGATAACGGGCAGAAGAAACATATTCATCTGAATACCTCAATAGGTATACGACTAGGTAAAGGACTAGAATATAGAAACAATCCAAACACGTTCAATATTCAGATCAAATCAGAATACTTGCATGATAATATTAGCCACCTCTTTCTCAAGCGGAGAGATGCACAGAAGGATGATGAAAATCAGGATTCAACCTCACCTATCGAGGGTGGTGCATTTCAACTTCCTTGAGTGATAGCCTAGTCTGATCACGTCACAAAGCGTGAATTTAAGGATCATGATGAAAGCGCGTGCTGGTCTCTACAAGAGATTTCGCTAGAGTACTACTGGGGACTTTCTGATTTATTTCGATTACAACTGGGGTTAAAGAGGTAGTTGAGCTTGATGGTTCAGATGGTCCAATTCAATTACTAGTTGGAATTCACAAAAAAAACTATCAATTTATTCAGTTAAACTAACGAGATTGACAGTTAGTTTGCTGAATTTTGATTGATAGTTGATTTGGTTCATGTGATTTCAACTGCCAGTTCAATCATAACCCTTCAAATTGTCAGTTTAATAACTGGTTCGCACTACTGCTTACATTGGAGAGGCTACTAGTAAAGAGTGATGGTTGATGAGGGAGAAACTTGGGCTCTCTAAAAAAGCTTGAAAAGAATGACAAACAGGTGCGAATTAGATTACCAACGAGGTCATCTTCGCTTAACAAGTAGTCCTGAAGAGTCATAGTACCTGGGCTTCGAGCCGTTGACATCATGTTGTTCCTCCATTAGCCGATAGCATGCCCCGGACAGTCCGGACTAGTATATTACAACCCTGGTCAAAACGCTGTTCACTGATTGGCTATATAGCCAATCAAATATGTATAACTTCCGCAGTTAAGTGTATGAATGATAACTTAGTTGATAACTCATAATCCAATAATTTGACCGGAAAGCCCTCAGGCGACCAGGCAGCGATTGGTATAACTAATGACTAGTTCAAGCCACAAATACGGCCCGTCCCGCTCAGTAGACAAGCAACAACCCCTCGTGAAGTGCGGGGTATTACTCTTCCCATCAAACACTCTTTCCAAATTTCTAAAAGTCTCCATCTTACAATTTCTCTTGATTAATCACCACAATACCTCTTCAAGGAACTACAAGATAGAATCACCAATCATGCTTCCAAGATTATCACCCACTTTTATCCCCCTCGACCATGGCTTCAAGAGCATCGAAAGGTCCTGGGATTTCTTTTGCCCATACAAACGGTGGGTTGACGATCGAGTGGTGGCGGGTGATATGCTTAGAAGTACTCTTGAGCATCACAGAGAACAATGCATTGAATGGGCCAAAGAATATCACGGGGATCTAAACACTTATTCTAAATACGCCGCACAAGTATTATACGCTGAATACCAATGTGAGCTGAAGAAATTCTCCTCAATATGAACAGTCACTAATAGCGTTAAAGATCCCGGAGAGAATTTTGATGGCGTCGTTCCAGATCCCGATCCAGTCTACGTACTTTGCACCACCAATAACCGCATGAGAAGATAGCTAATTATCAACAGTCCGACGTATTCGCCGGATATTTCCAGGATCAGAAATACTTGAGAGAAGTTGTAAACGATCGTGAGGGGTTATGCAAGCTACTTGTAAGTATTAAACAGCTATGGTGATGCTCTAACAAGAATGAGGTTAATGGATATAGCTCAAGTTGAGTAAACTTTACAACAACAAGCTGGCCTTCGCACGAAGTTTTTCAATTGAAGAAGCCGCAAGTATTTCAAAAATTCTCATCTCAAAGCCTGATTTACTAACGGTGAGTGCATAGGATAAGTTTTTCCACTGTGACCTGAGGTCCAGCAATTCAAACAATATGGCTAGTTTAGTTGGCATTATTCGAAATGTGACCAGGTCTCTCATCGAGTCTGCCAACAGCCAGTATGAAACATTAAAACAAAATGATACGGTAGTAAACAAGGATTTAATGCACAAGAACGAAAAAGACCAACTTGGAAACGACAGCAAAAAGGTCTGGAAAGACGAGCAGTGCCTTCCAATTTCCACCGATGAGGGCAAGTTTCAAGAAGCCGCGGAAAAACTCACAGAAGGTTACTTCGTCACGAAAGAGGGTGCGGAGGAAGTTAATTTTATTAGAGCCGCAACAGTGGACTCTGATGACGACTTCGAAAACCTCGAGTGCTCCGAGGGCTCTATGGAGTCGAATCGAGCTGCTAGTGAAGAGGCTGCTAGTAATTCTATCGAAAACGATGATGATAGTTGGGTATTAGCCTAGAGACTGAGTGAGATATTTTTGGGAATCCTTGATTTCATCTTCGGTCTTAATTAAAATCTGTTCTGGGATGGTTATGCAGTGGCTGCGGTATTGGTCTCGTCTTTGGTTTTGGCTACGCACAGCGTGCGTAAAGATGTTAGGTACCATGATAAACCGCAATCAAGATGAGTAAAACTAAGACTGTGCACAGTTATATTGTGAACATATCTTTTATCTTTCTAAATCTTAATATGGTAGGTAAATTCTAGATCCCTCGGCGTCAATGCCACTTGTACCATGGTCAAGGGGAGACAAGGCTTAAATGGGAAGTGAGCTACAACAACTGTGGCTTTAGAATCTCCTATTTCTCTCTCAAATTATTTTGCTCTTGTTTATGACATACGTAACGAATATATTTTCAGACATCATAAAGTAAAATACATGAAACTCTATAGGGGAGAAATACCAACGCATATTTTCCATCAGTCTGGACAGCAAATAGTTTGAAACTCTTCATGTTCGAGAAGATATAAATCTTGACGGCATTTCTAGTTTAAATACTCGAGTAGATAGATGGATCTACTCGAGTATTGTTCGTATAGCTCCAATATTCCGATAGATTCATGATATTAATAATTTTCATTACAAGGGGCTACTTGAGTAGTTGTAGCGATCATCAATCTACTGAAGTCATAAAGTCTCAAGTGAAGCTGAAGCTTGAATATAATTATGTTGTAATTTTTATGGTCACCAATTTACCTTCCAGTATACTCTGGTACAATGAATTAATTCCCCCAAATGAGCCCCTGGTGGGAAGTATAGTAAACAAAGAAAGAGTACTCAACTCCACAGCTAGTTTTCCAGAAGCAAGTATCTCAAGCCTGGAGCAAGAAAACTGAGAGCGCCTCCCAAAAAAATAGATGAAGATAGTAATCAACATTTTCTGACCCTTCGGATATACTCAGTGCTGAAATATACAAACAATTCTTGAAGGACATCTTAGGTTCATATCATCGAACCACATGAGAACTTTTCTACTCTGACCATTCTCATAGCGGGGTAATGCGGGGTAGAGAGAGAGAGATCCAAGCGCCTCCCAGTAGTGAATTTCTGCCAGTGCCCCCCTTTCTTGTATTCTCGCTACATAATAAAAATATCCAAACAAAACTATTGATTGCAGTGAGTACAATCGACAGAAAACCCCCGAAGTACCATGCAATGGTGCACCCATTCTTGGGCTCTCGGCCAACTGGATACCCTACTCCATCAATATTCGATGCTGTGCTTTAGAAATAAAGTACCGGTATATGATTCGTGATACGGACGCAACTAAAATCTAGAATCTCGTCGTACTTCACAATTACTACCCACGAATAACCTCTTAACCTTAAATTGCGATCCACTTGGACAAAAGCTCATGATACATATTGTCAATCTCGTTCCTTGGTTCGTACACTATTCCACAATCAATATGGGATGAAATTCTTCAATGCTTCGGTCAATAATATACGAGTATACGAGTAGAAGGTCGGAAGAAAGTCTCAAAGTGCATTGTATGCCAATAGTGGAGAGATACTCATACCAATCTAACGGCCATGTCAAACCGTGACTTTCAGCCCGAGTGGAGACTTCTCAGCCCAAGGAAAATTAGATTACGGGTAACGGGTCCTCCCGGCGTGCCGCAGTCTATATAATAATAATAATAATTTGCTGAAGACCAGGCTGGTGGGACATGCCAGCGGAGACATTATGTTGTGGATTAAGTGCAGCATGGACGAGGACGTGATTGGATCTTGGCGGTGCCTAGACCACTCGAGGTATTGATGAAATAGAATAATGCTTCGGTGTAATCAAGTAGGGGGTAGAGCAAATCATGATGTGCCAGAAGGCACGGAGTCTTTCGACTCATTTAGAGGTTGGGATTACTAGCTACTGGTCTGTAGTATGTGGAATCGCCAATAGCAATCAATGGAACTCCAAATACCCCTTCTATTATCCCATGTAATCACTCTCCCATCCGTTCGGTTCAGTTGTCCTTGTTGCCTCGTGACGAGCCATTTTGATCTTCTTTTCCGCACCCTTGACGCATTACCCCAAAGAAAAAATCATCATCGTCATTCATCATTAAACTCCACAATCAGACACCAAAGCAATGGAAAAATATCCATGAGATTCCATCCTCTTTCCCAACACTTGGTATGAAGACCCAATCCATGCATCTCTTACTCCTTCCTCTCACTCATTTCCTTAGCCCTTCTTCTGCCTTCGATAAATTTATTCAATTGCTCCCCGATAGGACCATAAGCCTCTACCGGATACCAACACTTCCCCTCATCATCCCACGTCGTTACAATAATACTAACTTCCGACTCGTGTTGTTGCACCTGTCGAATCGGAGCTCGTTCTCGTGCGTTACGGTTCGTGGCCGCGAGAGGAATGCGAAGAGATGATGATGAGGATGCTTGTCTGGATCGAGAAGAGGCGTAGAGGTTCGGATAAGGAGAGGATTTGAGCGTTCGCTTATTGGAAAAGGTGTGGGCGTTGCGGGGTGGTGAGATCTGCATGATGACTGTTTTGAACGTTGGGTATTTGTGAAATGAAATCGATGACTTGAAAAAGTTTGAATTGAAAGTGAACTAAAGTTGATAATTGCCAGTGGCAGATCTGGTCGACGACGTTGCAAGGCTGAAGACTGGAATGAACATTAATATGTGTAACAATGTAATGGTGTAGAAAAAAAGTGCTTTCGTTGTTATCGACTTCTCGTCGAACTTGAGTATTTATCTGAAGAAGCGGTATTAAAAAGAATCTGAATTTCAAAGCTCATTGCAGTACTTGATTTGGTGTAACAGTTGTATGTTTGTCAAAGAGCAAGAGCGAATTCATGGGTGGGAAATGCCTCAATATATAGAATATTTAGCGTGTGGATGAAATACCTCACAGTTTAACCACGCAGGTCCGTCGACTTGGGAGGAATGTGAAAAAAACGCCAATAAAATTCTGCACTTGTGGAGAGGCTAATATTCAACATGGTAGCCCGGTAATCAAGCAAAAAAAGTTAAAAAGGGTAATGACACCTGCATAACCTTACCGCAACTTTACGATTTGATCGATCGAATTAGCTGACGCCAAAATCTAATCAATTTAGATCAACAGGTACTTGGGCTAGGGGCAAGGTGCTGCTATGAAAAGGTCCGTTCATTCATGTCCTGGTGATAGAAAAGGGGCTCGGATTGGACAGTCTTCTCACCGCTAGATAAGCTTTGGTGGAACTCTGATTGTCGCTATTTTGATACTTGATGTATTTCAGATACGGTGTACAAGAATGAATATCGTATATCGGCAACTTTCTTGAAACACGATGTTGTTCCTACGAGTTTCCTGGCTCGACAATATCCATCCAGTTCCTGATTGGATTCTTCATACAATCGATTTGATAATGATGATGTTGGGGGTTTGGAACATGCATGGCGTATGCTGGACTTGGCTAAGCTGTGAGTGGACTAATGTTGACTCGTGGCTATGGCATTTCCGCTTTTCTGACGAGTAGGAATGGAGCATGATAAGGAAACCCCATGTGATTTTGGCCATCTTCATCTTGAGCCGTCCAAAACCGAATCAAAATGGATAAAAATGGACCTTTGGCTAATGATGTACATCACGTGAACAGCTAAAATGTTCTCGAACATTTTGAGAGTTCTCATCGAGACGATCTCGTGTTTACTCCTCATTTTAGTTGCGTATAGTTACGTACTAAAAGAATTCGCCGAGTAAGTTTTGTGTTTCTGTTAAAAATACAACCGATCACAAGCTTTGAATCTGTTATGGTGTAATAGGCGTCTTGTAACACTGTTGTATAACCTGTATTCGACTTCGACATTGGTCATAAGGCTTTTGTGGCGAGGATAGCGAAGCAATGGGAGCTCAATTGATTTGAGCAACCTCTTCTGGATATACAAGATCCTATTTCCCCATAAACATCAATTTTCATTTCTAGACAGCATTGAAACTTCGGCGATTACTCTCCGGTCACAAGTCGTACATTGCGGCGAAAGAACTGCGTTAGGCTCGAGAACTTCATACGATTCATTGCTGTCTTTTCAAATGACATTTGCGAGTCGTTCATCGAATCAACTAGACCTTTTTAGTCAAGCAAGCCACATCAAAAATAGAGTTGCCATATTTCAAGACTTTGTACCAACCTATTAGCATGGTGGAATCAGTACATGTGGCTTAAATATACGTGATGAGGTTACACACGACATGCTACTACCCCGGAACATTGTACTCCACGATCGCCAATATTCCAGTTTCACAACGTTACAAGTAGTTGTTGTGTTGTCTATCCAGGCACCATGAGTCAATCAATACTCTAGGCCCTAAAGTCTAAGGTTGTTTGACCGGATAATGGACTGCCAGTTTTGACGCATATTTTGAGTCAAGCAATTATGATTGTTTCACCCCAAACAATTTGTTGTTGACCCTCTTTATTCCCATTAAATTCATGTATTTTAACCTCGTTAATTGGAGAGAAATAAAAGGAGGGTACTCGAGGGTAGTTCATTCGATACATTTCCTCTCTCGAGTCTATTTGGGGGGCAGTTGGCTGTAATCCTCATCACAACTAGGTCCTAGGGAATGCTAGAACGAAGGTCTGGTGAAGGTAACTCTCATACTGTGCTGCCGGTACTTTTTTACTTTGACATGATTCTGGAAAAAAGTTCTTCGCAGTATCCTTGTTTTCTTGATGCTGGCGCGGCCCCTATTTTATTTTGATTGCATTGTCATCAATCGATGGTACCGAGAGTTCTGTGCAAGCAGCAAAGTTTCCGACAACTAATTTCTGTCGAGCTGGCACTCTCGCCGAACTTCGCAAATGTAAGGCAGTTTTTGTGGTAGAATTTGGGATTTCTATGTTGATCTTGGCGATATGTATTGTTATTTGTACTATCCTTCGTCGTGAACAAAGTTGATGATTATCTTTCAAGATAAAATAACTAACAGGATGTGCTAAAGATATGCAACTAACTCGAAACTGATCGGTGGTTCTTGCTTGAACGGAGTTTTTGGGCACGAAAGCCTTTTCACTTCAAATCATCGGTATGGTTTTGAACCATATACCTATGATCGATCCAGTCCACCTTTTCGCACAATTCATCGTGCTCATGCCTCGAAGAGAATATGCGAACAAGGGGCCAATTGACAGGTAACTTCTTTGCAAAAGATGACAGGGCAATAGTAGCTCGTCGAATGCGCCCATGGTTTGTCTACCTCCATTTGTCTTGTTTTCATGCTTGGTCGCAACTTTTTCACGTCGGTATATTCCTCGTATTAAATGTACAGTATCTTGGAGCATGCTCATTTGACTTTGATGACACCTGCTTCGGCTGATCCCGGTCCAGTTTCAACCATATCCAGTATTTGCCAGATACACATGAAGAGCTTGCGGACTTTATCTCTTTCGAAGCCCATTTCAGTTGTTTTTCTGACACGCGAATTGTTCACTATAGAAAATATGATAGCCGCGTCGGATGATAAAGGACTGGGCCATGGAGAGAACAAAGCCAGATAGATGTATCGTTGTCAGTTGAGGATCTCAGGCATGGGGCCACTGATGCTAGCATCCATACAAGTGTTCCAATGACAGTCAGGTAACCCACCCCACCGATCCCGATCGTTAGACTATACAATGTGATATTAAATTCCGTATTTTAGCGCCCGTGGAAGCCTCACCAAATCAAAGAGGGAGCGAGTCTGATTGCGACGGTGATGTGATGATATGGTATTAGAACTCGCGCTTGACACGTACATTGAGTATGTGGTCGCTTCAGATATGCCGCTCACGTCGTCATTGATGCCCATAAACCGAAGGAGCCGCTCCAAACTCATTGAATTACTTCCTCGCTCAGGTTTTGCCTCTGGAACAAACCAGTCCAGCCTTCCTTCGAGTTCATCTTGAAACTTCCAAGAGAATCAAGGTCTCTATAATTCTCGGTGTTCTATCCTGATGAGATGATATTCGGTGTGTGAAAATTATACACTTTCAATTCTCAGAAAGATATGTTCGACATGAAACAGATGGAAGCTCCGTTTTGGCCCTGCAAGTTTTAGCGCCGAGATACTGCGGCCAGCTTAGTTGATTCTGTTCAGCTAGGCAGTAGTACAGTTGGTTCGTATCGACATTGGCTCGTTGAAGAAGATTGGGTGAGATATCGATAAACCTCAACTCTGTGGCGCGGAATATCCATCAATGGAAAACAATATGTATCACAGGTTCCTTGTCCGCCCGAATTCATCATGAATCAACAGTCTACATTGCCTGCCCAAGGAGACAGTCGTTACCGGCATTGTCTTGGGACGGGTAGTATTGTGGCTGCGCGTTAAAAATCAATGATTGCCGGATTTTGGTACACGAAGCCAACAACCAAAATCTCACAATTGTTGTCACACTTATGACCCCTGTTTCAAGGAGTTTCGGTATGAGCAAACAAAGTTTTCAGTCAGGGAGAGATTCGCATAACGGAGACCCAGAACAAGTAAATTATACAACTAGTATCATGATGATGCAAGAATAGCTAATATATATACAAAAACAAGTATACACAATTGGGTATCATCCGTGTACAGAAATTCTCCCTCCCATTCTTCCAAAGATTACATTTTCGCCCAGATAATATGCCGCATCTACACTGGCAACGCCATCATTAGACCTAAAACCGCTCATGAACTATTCTTACAAGCCGCCGCAATGTCCATGCTCTCGCTACCAACCAGCTGACCCCCACTCAACCTCCACAGTCCACTCGCCATCAAAATTCCTAGCATACCGCCACCAAATACCAACGAGGTTAAGATTCCCAGAGGATTGTATCCCAAATCCATATACTCGAAAGGTCTTTTCGATCCATCGCTCCCGACAACTTCCACGTGATGTACGAATAGCGCCTGAGACACAAGGAAATGAAGTATGATTCCCAATACCACCTGTGCGGAGATATATAAATATGCACAAGAAAACCCCATTATTTTCCGGGATTTTAAGCTCGGGGAAGGGTTCGTGAGGCATGATAATGTATTTGCGGATAGCATGCGAGTGTATACTTGTGCGAAGAGGAAAAGTAGAATGGAGATTGCGAATTGAGGGAGATTGGTGAGGAGAACAGTCGGAAAGAGTTGGGTGTTTGTTATCACAGGGAGAGGAACGAAAGCTTTGCTCGACCAGGAGAAGATTTTTATGATGGCGAGTGGTGAGTAATTTCCAAGTCTAATGGAATAGGGGCTCGGGATCGGTACGGTGGCGGTGGTGAGGAGAATGAGAGGGATGGCTAGGAGTACGGTGCATCTGTATATTTGGTCAGATAATCCTTCAAGCAATATTTTGAGGTACTTACAAGAACAAAGTAGAGAGCCACAATGGTAAGTTCGCTCCATGATACCACCGTAAGTTCCTAGGCCTTCCCTCGGCTTCTAGTTCTAAGATCAATAGTCCATCTTTGGACTTCCACGCCGAATTTCGATGAACAAAATTTCGATTTGATGTTACCGCATCGGGCCTTCCTTGGAATGAGGTAACGGCGTCTTTAACTGTTGATAGAACTGGCTTGGTCATGGTAATAGCTATGAAAAGTATGCAGATGAATTTTACCGCAGATGCGATAATTATACAGATCATGACTAGACGACTATACTGCAATTGGCACATTGGCTGGAAGGGAAGAGTCTCCACAAGACAATGATCAATTCTCCATCTTTCGTAAGAAGCGAGCGATGTTGAGTTGGACGTGGTAGGGAGCATCGAAGGTCCAAGTGTCCAGATATCGGCATTGAGGATGAGATTAGGTATATCGCAGGTCCCTTGTCCAGGTAGAGGATCATCGGGTCCACATGTCCATCCGTGACCGCTGAGAACGGATGAATATGTCATATGATGGAATGCGAGAAGAATAGTGTTGTTGGTGAATAGTGGCTGGTTTTGGGTGATTACCAATACATTTCCGTAGTTCAAAGATGGATTTGAGAGAGTTGAGTAAGCTGTTAGACATTCCGTGGTATTGAGGCGCTGAAACTTTTTTTGATTGGCATTTTGATGTAGGCTTGTGGAAGTATTGCACAGATTCGAGGTATCTTGTAAATCAGTGGCGTTGAGGAGATGAGTTTCACATAATCTGGGGTGATGATCGGTTTCCCCACATGTTGCTGCAACATCCTGCGAGCAATCTACCGATGTTTGGTCCAGGAATTGCGAACTAGCTATAATAACGTCATAGTCGACTTCTGAATGAGATGAAAACACCATTGAGTTTCCACTGCGTTCATTAGCAACAGAGTATTGGGACATGGGTAACTAAGGAATGATATACTGACAGAAAGTGAATGGGCAGAGAAGATAGTATGAGGAGCCCAAACATGACTTTCTTCTTGAGACTTCTTAGATTTCGTAAACTTAACACCCCAATATCAAAACTTCTTCCTCTTGCGTGAGCTTCATCTATCTCTTTTCTTGTCGGAGAGCTTAAAAAGTACAGAGCGCAAGCGCTGGCTATGGAAATGGCCATAGTTATTACATTAATTAGTATGTGTAGGCCAAGATTTGTCGCGTTGACCGTGGAGCAGTCTCCCTCATATATTGTTCCGATATATGTGCTGTCTCCTGATCTTTGGGATGCCCATATCGTAAATACTATATATATGACAAGCACAGAGCCCGCGAATGCTGCGGCAATAGAACATCGGCTTTTCCATCGTCGCACTTCAGCTCCATCAGAATTCTTGGCCTTTTCGTCGAATGTGTTGGATTTGTTGTCCATATGATTCCGAATGAAGTTGTTAAACGGCATCCACCTGGCTTTCTTCTTCGAGGGGGCTATAATTCGCTTTAATGTTGACCTTTTCGTGGGAACCTCATCGATTTCACTTCCAAATATGTTAGTAGTCCTTCATTTACGAACAAGAAGAGATTCTTACTCCACGAAATCCTCAAATTGCGCCATCAAATCATTTCGGGGAACGGTACGCGGTGGATGCTGAGTTGTGAGAAGATTTCTGTGATCTCCCCAATCTTGACAAATCGATGTTCGCGCAGAGACCATTGAATCAGAATTAGAAATTCCCCTTGGTCTCAAAGAAATGGAGCCGGCTCTCGCTGGTACTTCAACACTAATCGTCCTATCAGAATCTGTATTTGAATATCCTCTCGACCTCGAAGGCGACCTGGAAGGCGATCTTGAACTAGACCTCGATCTCGAAGTTCCCGAAGCTCTGGGTGCTTTTGAGGCTCTGGTCTCTGAGCGCACTGGTACATCGAGCGTGGTCGACCATTCTGAAGCGGCCACAGAAGTTGCTCTCGCCTTCGATGTTCTCGTTGTCTTCGTCGACGCAGTTGATTTTCGTCTTGGTACCTCGGAGGGAAAAATTGAATATCTCGATTCATTCGAATGACTTCGCCCCCGAGTCTTAGAAACACTTCGTGGTGGTGAAGCGATCGTCTTAAGATATTCAGACTCTGTTACTGAAACTGCTGAGACAAATGAGATATCTGATACTGCTGAATTCGCTCTCGTCCTTGGTTCCCTTTCAACATCAAAGGTTGTTTTAATCGGGGTGGGCGGTATTTCTCTCAACTGAATTTTATCAGATTCTTCTCCCAATTGTTCCGGAAATCGTGAAGTTCCCTCCTCATAATCATTGAACATTTTCCCAACTCAAGTCTTTATCATCAATCATTGAAAATCTGACTGCATCAAAATTTCGTAAAATCGTTGGCCGAAAAATGCAGGAACAGAGAATTGTTTCTTTTGTGCGACAGCTCCTACCTTAATGTTCCAAGGAAAGTAATGGTAGGAATAGGAACGAATAGGATCTTACGAGAGCTGCTCATCTTGCAGTATAAAAAATGACGCTGAGGCGGGGTATAATCCTCGACGCTGGCAGCTCGTGTGGCACGGAGAGAAGATTGAATGACAGACACGAAGGAATCCCTCTAAGAATCTATATGCAGCTTCCGATGAAGATCAAACTGCCCCCCGGGAGGGATGTCATTCCATGTATCCCAACTAGGATAATGAGGGCTGCGCGCGATAAATAGCTACACCCAGAAAAGGGAGTTTCAGACTTGATAATGGGGGCACAGCACTACGTATGAACGATCACACCGGATCGAATATTATCGACCAATCGTAGGACTCAAAGAGATATGTCACGTACAACCCCTTGATGATATATAATAGGCAGTTGAAGGATTTAGAAGGTGTGAGTGGTAAGCTGACAGGGGCTAAAAAGAAAAGTCTTGCTTATCGCCGCCTTATCACACCAGCGCACCGAGGTCCAATCTTCATTTGGATGTTTCAACTTAGTTTATAACACTGTTGTGACTCCATTTCAACATAATAGACAGGCCTTCGCGCTTGCAAGAAAAGCTCTATCTCGACAACTAATTGCAAAATCGAACGATTATCACAGAATGGGGGCACAACTCAACCTATCCCACCCTCAAGTTTTTGAGTGTAAACATCCAGGTAAAGGCCGCAAATGAGATGTCAGCAAGCTTAACGAGGGCGAGCCAGTTTTTAGCTGCACTCACATCCTACTGTACCACTGGTAAAACGGCTTCATCATCCATTTCATCTGCTTGAAGGTCATTTTTGATATGGTTACCTAATATCAGATTCGGACCTGCTACGCTAATCCCTCAAGCTCGCGGGATGGAAACCTAGTAAATATATACTTATAGCCTTACGCGTAACTCATCAGTGGCGTGATAGCATGGTCGGAAACAAAGCGAACATGTGATGCGGATTAATCGGGTTATTTGGTACCAGAGAGCTGGGAAATCACTAGTGTATGGGTTCTAAATTTTGCAGGCCGTGCTATCACATCTTCAGGGCTTCCTCGGCAAAGGCTCGGATCGCTCGTCAGCCCTTTATGACCTAATCGTCCCAAAATCGTGGGTTGATTGGATTATTCCAGAACTCTGTTGTTGAGGCTCAAAGGTTAGACTAACCTGGGGTTTCCAAGATATGAGGGTCCTGATAGTTGTGCAGCTGACTTGCTGCGTGAGAGTTGTCACAAGCTTATGCATAGTCCCGTACTTTACGCCGCTTTTACCATATATCTAATGGGAGTTGTAAACTTTACCCAGCCAGCTAGAGACTAGTATAAGCCGTTGAAGCATTTCCACGCTGTCAGTGTTGGCCTCGTTGATTTCACAATACATCCCATCCCATTGCTTCTTTCCGCCAATTTGATTTTCACTGCAGTCAGGTAGATGATATCTCGGACAAAATATAATAATTTATCTACTGATTACAGTTCCAATGTTGCGACTGCTTTTCTAGACCTAGCGGTGTTAGCGCCTAATTTTGAGAGGGTTCCATCCAGAAAAATATTGCTGTATCGAGAGATAAACGCTATAGGATGCTGTAGTATATTGTTTGTATCCCATCTAGATCTACAATACACATTGTGCAATATATTGATAGATTCAATTAGGCAAAGTGTCTTTTTCTTTGGACATTATCATACCATTAGATATCGATTCGGAGGCTTTCGTCTAGATTGATACGGTTAGAATAACATGGCAACCACCGTTCTGAAGTATTTGGCATGATTTAGCTCAATAGTAACCTTATGGAAGGCTTTTTCATTCTAGAAAGTGTTCAGGGGTCCCCTCCATTTCACACTATCCCCACACTCCCTACACACCCCGCATATGTTTAGACTCCTCACTAATGCATAACGGCCCGAAACGCCAGTAATCATCTATCCCCATCTCAGGCCCCACAAGTAGAATCTCACTCCAAGCTCCTTTTCGAAACAATGCAGATGCACGAAAGAAAGCCCTGCAGATTCTTTTGAAAATCTCATCGAAATAATTATCAATTAATCTTTATCAGTTGAAAATCGGAGCTTTTCATGTTATCCCTAATCCTCACCAACTAGGCATCTTGTGCATCACACTACACACGCTGGAGCTGCGGATACCCTACATGCATAATGTTACGCCAGCGTCGCATTGAATATCGAAGAAAACGCGCTTTGCTTAGTATGGGATTCAAAGGCAAATTCCTTTGTTATATGACTTTTCATGTGCATAAACTTTGTGTTCCTTTGCAGTTATTCGTGATATACTTTTTGATGAATAATAACACATCATCACGTCTTCTTATCCAATGAAGGGATGTAAGCGTAATGAAATTGGGTTCTTCTGAGCGATGACATGGTAAGGAATTAATTTGAGCCCTATATTACTAGAACTGCGGTAGTTTTAAGAGATATCTTTGATTCAGATGTTGTTCGCCTAAATTCGCCGAGCTAGGCTTTCAAGCCTCTACTCTCTCTCTGTCACTAGATTCCAGCATTTCAATGTCCTCAAGTATCTAATTGGAGTTTAAACACTGAAATTTTTAATTCTAATGATCTTACCAGAAGTGAGGCTTATCCGTCAACCGATTATGCATACAGGCCTAAATATTATTTCGGACCCAATATGATAGGGTTTATTTTGGTACCAATACCTCGGTACAAGGGTAACGCTTACTCGGATATTTTCAGCCCCTGATTGGAAGACCCTGAGCCTTATAATTAGCCGGAGCCCCAAATGATTCTGTGCAGAAAATATATCTTCGTCCATTGAATTTAGTTGAATTTTCGCAGCGAAAAAGTCACAGCCTGTTTCGAAATTTAGATGGAAAAGATTTGCTAATTTCTTTCGTTTCCCGCCAAGGTCGAATAGTTCGCTAATAATGGCATGGGTATTGGATTCAGATTCTTTTGTTTGTGAGAAGTGATAAGTTTCAGTACGGCTCGAATAATCGAATTTCTGGATGAGCGGCACGCATGGGCGTTAGACAGGGGAAACGGCAAGCCTCTCGCTGCATTATAATGTATGGCGCTATACTTACGTCTTCATTTCGCTTGTGAAGTCATGGCATGTTTATATTGCGGTACCGTTGGGGGTTACACGAGAATGATACGCTCTTATCAAACCCAAATCAAGGCTTTCTCCCTTCCATTGAAATGACCACCCAATATCTAAATTACTGCCACTTTAAAGACGTCTTGCCAATCGCATACTGTTTGATTAAAACTGTGTTATTGCTTCTTCCCAAAGAAATATAAACCAGTGCCTTACACTCATGATGTTACCGGAGAGCCATTGCCGGTCAAGATCTTCTTGGCTCGCTTTACTGAATCTGCAGATCCACCCTTTCCTTTCGCTTCTTTGCATCTATACTCATAGCTTTCGTGCACCACTCGAGTATCAAGATGCCTTCTTCTCCGGCAGCTATTGTGACTGGTGCTTGAGGATTCGTAGGTCGAGAATGGGAGAATCTGAATTCAGAAGGCAATTCTTCACCTATCGGTTGCGCTGCCGTACTGTTGTCGGTCTTAGAGTGTCTAGTAGTGCACTATTGTATAGCATGGATGGTTGCGATATCTTCAACGGTTATCTCAGTGGTGGGAGGAGGATACAAGTTGCTCGGCGTGTCTTGTTTTTGGTATTTTGGATACTCTTGATCTTCTGGAGTCTTTGATTGGGACATTATCGGAATGTCATGCAGACCAGCCCCTTCCTCCGCGCTCGCATTCTATGATCCCGGATTACTGGTAGCTTTAGAGGTGTTTTAGTCAAATTCGAAGTAGGCAACGATTAATTGTGCCCAAGGAGATGGTGATGAGTCCGTTTCTTTCTGCAGCTGTAGCCCTATGAGATTTGCTTCTGATCTTGAGATCAGCATTGTATGCAGTAGCCATTTGTTGATTCGATCACGCCGTGTACCAAATTGCGTTAACAATTTGGGAAACGATTCTGTGCTTGATTGTCGTTTTGTAGTGATGGTAGTCAAATTATCATTATCGAGCCGATCTAGGCTAGGAATTCCAGAGTCCGAATCGAGCACTGACTCAAATTGTTGTACTTCGTCATCAACATGTTTGACAACCTCCAGCTCTAATAATAATGTAGGCTCGTAGAGCGGTTCTTGGTGCTCTAATGTCTCTCGACTTGCCAGGCCAAGTAGAATTGAATCTTGCTCTTCTTCCTTACTCTTATCACGCGTTGAAAGCGGTGCTCGCATCGATATAGGTATGCTGGACGATGATACAACCGAGTGTTCGAAGCGGATGGGCGCATTAGATTGTCTCTGGTTTCCATTTTGACTGTCTAACATTCCCATATCAATCAGATTTGATCCCTTCTTTGAAATTGTGTTGACGGGAAGTGGACTGTTAGAAAGGTCCTGCTGTCTCTCAATTCCACCATCGGTAAGTTCGCGAGACCAATGATTGTCTTGCATGTCTTTGTTCTGCTGATCTCGTGATTCGTGGTTGTTCCTAACGACCGGAGAAGAGATTCCCAAGATATCGTGTGGTGAACTCGAATCCGAAGTCACTGAAGATTCCTCGTCGGTCTCTTCAAATTCGAACTCAAGATTATCAAAGATTGTATCTTCTAACTTTTGCAAATTCCACATATGCCCCTCGAATTTCTGTTGAGCCTCGGTGCCTTCGTGTTCCAGAGGACCCAGTCCATCACGTGCTGATTGGCAGGCAGCCGCAAGTCTTGAAAGTTCTCCGAATGCTTCAAGTTGTCCATCTGCTTGTAGTCGTTGGAGTTCTTTCATGAAGCGAGCATCGGCCCATGAAACGTCTGTTCGTTTGAACCCTACCTCTCTCATCTTCTGCCTAGCTAGAATCTGTGCCTCGACCACTTCATTTTGTAATTCTTTCAATCGCGGTATCTCCTGCAGTAGCTCTTCCAAGCGATATATAGTTCGTTCGGCTCGAGACTCAGTTCTCTCGTAACTACTACGCTCGCCGAGGGGTATCTCCCGAGACATACATTCATCATTCTGACCACGAATAACTTCTTCCTCCTTAATCTTCAACATTGCTGAAGCTTGTTCAAAAATTGTCCCAGATCGAAAAATACCAGCTCTTCCATTCTGATAACCTTTCTTATGTGCGTTGTGTTTGTTTGCGGTCTTGCCAGAAAATCCGAAAAATGCCTGGGACTAAAGTCAGCCAAAATCAGAGCTTGACTCCCAAATCTTTTCATAAGTAAAACTTCGTTACCAAAAAAGACCTCATGATAATTCACTGGTCAAATATCATCATTTGGGTATCGTTAATACCTCACGAGATGTCAAATGCAGTTCTCATATAAGTTGTATTTCTCGCAATTATTCCATGTCATAATTCAAGTATCAATAAACCAATACATGGTACAGATATTGGCGAGCCTGCATAGAGCCTGTCTGAGTATCAGAACAAAAGCAGCGTGGTGGGAATTCATTTGTGAGACCGGGGTCCTTGCTTCAACCTCATTTGGGAATCTCACCACATTCCCAAAATTATGCAATCACTACAATACCAAGATTCCTCGGTCTACTAGTAAGATTATTGCTAAGTTATGCAAGCTTCCAATAGCACAGCTTCTTTTCACGCAACAGACTCGGTATGAGTTCAGTTCATGACAAATTGAGACACCTCTCCACCGAACGTCGATTTATCAACAGCGGGATAATTCCTGGCTAATGGATTTCGAAATGCGGCTCTTCATTGAGTGCTGAGTCGGTTTGGAGCTGTATGAATATAAAGCTCCTCGTTAGTCCGAACAAATACAGGTAAACACAAAACGCTGGTGAGACGGGTAAGCACCATCGCTAACCATGGATCACTACAAAAGCAAAGGGAAAGACCTAGATCATACCACATCTTGGACTAAATTTATTTGGGATGACAGGGGCTACTGGTACGCATCTCGGACTGGTCCAACCGGAGTGATAGAGTACGAATATTCTTACCCAGAGCCTGAAAATCGTTCAGCTACGCCCAGAACACCGGGTTCAACAGGTCCTAATGTTGCATCTAACCAGCAGTCTATGTACTCATCTCCAGTTCTAACAGGTAATACTGCGTACACAATCTCACAAACAAGTAAGTTTGGCAGTCTGGATCACGATGCAACTCCAACGTCATCGTATGTCTCTCCTGCTCCTATTAGCGATTACTACAATTCTACAAATTCTACGGGTCAAAACTATGGTGCAGCTCCCACCACGAATACTTCAAACACAGCTTGGTCTCCCTCATATCCTTCGACTAACAATGCCTCTTGGACACCGGCTAGAAACGTGGCTCCATCGTCTGTCGAAGCCACAACATTTGCATTGAATTCTATGTCGATGACGGCACCGCGATATCCACCACCGGGTATGATACTGAATTGTATTTCGACAACAAGCTCTTGCTAACAAGGGAATAGAAGCGTTTGATTTTCAAATGCCATCAGGTACAAAGCATATCTCCAGAGCCCCAAACAGTGGCAATACAGAAACCCTAGATTCCAGTGAGTATTTACCGTTTGTTCTTTTGGAATTTCCGGCATCAATTCTTTACAGGATATGAAGTCTACGGTGGTCTCCGGCAAGATGATTTCTGGCAAATCGGGAGAGTATTCATAATGCTATGGATCGAGCCCGCCGCGCAGTCGATAGTACCTGAAGGTGGGGAACACGCAATGGCTCCCACTTTAGTACCACGTTTCTCAACCAGCTAGCATATAGTGAAATTAGACGTTTTGTAGTTTGTCGAAAGGTCATGGAAGCTCTATTTGCTGGTATGTAAGATTCTTGGACATCCGAGACACTGAACTAATAGCAATGGCAGCCCCATCCACACTTACTCGAATCAAGCGACTCTCAAACCTAACCTCCCTGCACCCAATCTACACACGATAATATATACCACACCAAGGTGCCCGAATGAGTACAAATACGAGGCTGCTGATGGTCACTGGGTATATGAGGTTTTCACCAGAGATCCCATCCAGGTCATCAGCGAGCAGAAGGACAAGGATGATGACTTGAGTTTATTGAGCAGGTTGAACTACAGCAAAGTCTATACAGTAGAACATTATGTTCGTGTATTGAATATTGGAATGGTAGCCAAGACTTCAATGGCATCACTCGCGCTTGATTCAGGTTAGTCTAATGTAAATAGACCGGCTAGTGAACAACGACCCCGTCCAAATCTTCCGTCCAAGAAATCGCCTGGCCAATCGTCCAGCCATCACAACAAGCATAACAGCTCTCGTAGGCCTCGTAAAGACGGACATCACTGAATACCTTACAGCGATACTCCGGCTCCTATCGGATCAAGTTGATACGTTAAGCAGTTGCGCATGCGAAAGTTCTCTCACTCTCTGCGGGGATATTCTGTGTCGCCACGAATTTTCTTTCTATTCAGTTTCTATTAGCACCTAAACGCTTGGCATAGCGGTCTATTGCGACCGCTCTTGTCTCAAGTCTTGTAGTTTGTTTCATTTTCTCTTTACATATACGTTTATGTTGATTCTATGCAATGATGGAAGGCCGAAAGTATTTACGTTTCGCCGAGTTATTGGACATATCCTACCTTTTCCGAACTGAAGCTTACTTTACGATTTCCAAACTTGACCTGTTCATAACTCTATGGATCATGTCACATATCTTTCTCGGTGTATTTTGCTCTGTTTTGACGGAGATACGGATACGGCCTAATATAACCCAACTGTTCTTCCGAGGCACCTATCTCCCCATGTCTGATTCGTTTCCAATGTGATATTATTTGATACATAATTAGTCTAACGAATGATATTTCGCAGTACATATAACAAATTGCATTGAAAACCAAGTCATTACTCCATAGACCCAATAATCTCGCCACAAACAAAATTGCCGAGGCCAGTCACATGATCACACATGCAAGCAAGCGCATATACTCCGCGTGAATCAGGTGAGTTTGTATCCATATAAGCGGTGAGCTTATATATGTCCCTGAAGAGAAGCTTCATTCTTAGCTATTCCCAAAAAGCGGTCAAAAGGGGGGGCTTGACACCTCTTACACATGCCACAGCTACATGCATCCACCTCCAAAACTCAAGAATTCGCGGTTGAACGCCACAAGCATTCAAAACGCCGTTTAAAACTGGTTTCCGAATGCAATATGTGTGATGCTATTGGATTAACACGGGTGCTATTCGTGCTCTGATACGATCTCCAAACTTGATTAAACTGGAGATAGTCACATATTGGGAAGGGACGGCCCGGGATGATTATTAGCTGACAGATAGGTGGGGAAGTCCATGTCATGCATTTGACTGCGCTGATTGATTGAGTTGTGCGAATTGCTATGCACAGTTTCTGTGTAACGGCTTTTGCAGGCTGCAAGGCGTAGCGAAACGGCCCCGAATGGAAAAGTAAAATATATATTATCGTATTTTGGGTGTGGTGCCTGAAATTTGGAAAGTTTGGGGACAAATAATAGATCGATATTTGAGAGCTTCTTTTGTTTATTGGTCAATCAAAGGCGGGGCAAATGCAAAGCTAATCATCGGGAAACGAATTACAGGGTTGATGAAGAACATTCTTTTGCAAGTTTCGAAGTTATTTTAGCCGTACATATGCAGACTTTTCTTTGAATGTAATACCATATTAACTTCTCTCGCCACTGGTCGCCACAGAAACATTCGATGCAATTATCGAGCAGCATATCCTCTGAATAATAATGTGAAGCATTAATTCTCATATGCCAATACTAAACAATTCCGTGATCTGATCTAATCAAAGACGCCTACATAAATGATCACACCTTTCTGTAAACTCTTGAGATGCAGCAATCCTTGCGAGCATTGTCCAATTGTAAGATTTTATAGCTTACACACTATCTAGGGACATCGGCAATGTGTTATACAGCAGGTGTCTCAGATTTAGGGCTCAGGACCAGGGGCACGTTGAATCTAAAGCTAAACCACGAGACTTCTCTCAGCACACCAGCACTAATTTGTGACAAGAATCTATAGTACAGATTGCCACACCTTACTATCACGATCTAATATGCATCATCCATGGATACCCGATCCACTCTTTCTTCAAGGTCTAGGAAGTGATGACGAAATGGAAGTATACGTTTGTTGGAGGTTCTTGCAAAGCAACCTCCATATCTCTACTCCCTCTATGAGTAGTTGCTTTGAACCAAACAATCTTTAGTCTTGCAACGAATTGAGCCATGATGTCACTTATCTTAGCGAGTACCCAGAAGGAACTAGTCCTGTCGCGCATACGCGAGTAGACGTTACATGGCTACTAGTAAAACTTTCAATCGTGTAATGGACCCCGAATATGAACATCTGCGCCTCAATTCGTTGCTGTGACTTACTCCGCATTCTATCCTGCGAATATCTAGGATAAAGTCCGAAATTTGCTCGTATACTGGATGCGTGGTACCAGGACAAACTATGCATCAGAGGCGAATGTCACGGTATCTTTTTCAACCCCACCACCCATTCAAGGCGTTGCTTCAAACAAGGCAAATCATGTGGTACTACATGTCACTGCCGCATAAACACTGTGCTCGACCCACACTAGATTGGCTATAGCTACGCTTCTCCGGACTGGAATATACTTGGAAATTTATTGGAATATTATGCTGGTAATCTCAACAGCTTCGCCTTAGGCTATAACGGGCATTAAAGCTACGGTTGTTAGAATTTAGAAAAACAAGAAATAGCAGCGCGGAGAATAAACTGCGAGTCCTGTAGGCAAGCCTTGTGTTACAATTTCAACGTAAAGCACATCAGTGCTAAGCTGTGGAATGCTGTAGCTCGCCCTATAGATACTAATGAAAATAACTACACATCGTAATAACCCAAAGATTCAATGATAGCGTGGATAATAATGTTGTGCAACCAGCCACAGCCATATTCTAAAGTTGCAAATTGATATTGGAAGGGTATAATGCTCACTGGAGAACACTACTGTATCTCCATGCTACGGGCATGATTTACATCATATACTTTGTAGTAGAATGTTTGAATTTAGTAAATTTGACCGAATAAAGAAAACATTGAAAGACGAGAATGCCACTTAAACAAGAGCTACAGAATTTTCGAAAGAATAATATGGGTCCATATGTGCAATAATCACAAATACATAGTTTGTCCCATTGATTTTGCGAGATATGTCAACCATTTTCTAAATCCAGACTTGGAGAAAAACTAAGAAATAATCTAAGAGAAAATCTAAGCAATGCAAAATATCGTGTGACAACACCTAGAAAAGTGATTTGGAAAGATTGATGCTATTATGAAAGGTCCAGCCTCAAAAATGCTCAGTCAAGGGAAGATATCAGCATCATTTTGTCAAAGAAAAAAGAAAACATATATTCAGTTAGATCAAAGTCAACTCCCGAGGGAGAATGAGGAACCTGTTCGAGTAGCCCCGTCAGAAAAATGCTTATTCGAGATGCGTTCATTCGAAACTGTTAAGTTATCAAAGTCAATGTCGGTTTCTGCCGTATCATTTGAATCGTGAAAGTTCAGCTCCGGAGGTCTTTTGTTTGTTTCGTCCATGTACCACCGCGCAAGTACTTGAAGTTGCCAGCCTCTGTCTCCGTCTGTGACCTCTCTGAATGTGCTGTGGCAGGCTGCTAAAAGCCTAACATGCAAAGGAGATGATCGTAAAATTCTTAACATCCATTCATTTACTCGTCCATTACTAGCATCCGAGCTCTGGTCAGGATTTGAGCATCGATCATGAATCTCGTTTTTATTGCCCATGGAACACGGGAATGGGAGCAGTAAGGGGAATTTGACATACTCAGATATGTTTCCATTGGCGTTTAGATCTTCCTCGTGTTGAAATTGAAATTGCACTAGATTTTGTAGGTCTTTAGGCTCGCCATCCGGATCAAGGAGGCCATGTGCATCGCACTCTTCTCTTAACACGGCAACTTCTGCCTTAGTCCGATGCAAGTCTTCGAAGATAGCTGAGATCATTTCGTCAAATTTATCAAGCCAGCTTTGACTCTCAGAATCCAAAGTTAAATTGTATGCTTCACGTGTTTCTTTCTGCTGCTCCAAGCCCATCTTTTCGTCCGTGACGTCTTGGATATCTTCTTTTAGCAGATCAAGATCACCAAGTTTTGATAAGTAGTTAGCTACCAATGGGTGGTATGGCTTTTTAGTTTCTTCGATATCGAACCCCGCGTATGGGAAATATACGTGGTCTTCAGAATATGGATTGGTGGTATGAACTTCTGGCTCCGATGGAAAGTGCCACCTTGAGTAAAATTGGTGCTCCCTTTTCGTGAGTTGGAATTCTTCACTAGACAGTTGGTTCTCAAGATCATTACACTCATCTTCCATCGGCCCATATTCGTCTCGAACATCCCTACAGAAGTTGCGTAAATCCGATATAGAAAGGCGTGGCTCTCGAACATCCGTGTTAAACTCATGCTCATTAAGACGTATCATGTATTGATCGTCAGCCTTGGACTTGATTTCTTGTTTCTCTCTCAACATGATACGAGCTTCGTGAATCTTTGATCGCAAGCTCCAAATATTCAACCTCATGCTGTGAATATAACCCATTTCCGCTTGAAGTGATTCTTGATCGGAATTTATCTTTCGATTGAAATCTGTCAATTGTATTGAAAATGGTTGGGGATTTATCATCTCGTCATGATAAGTAGAAGGATATGTTGACCTCTGATGGTGTGTCGAAAGAGATTCATTCGAAAGATCCGTGATGATATCTTCATGTACAATATGAGATGGCTGTGTAGTTGAAACAGTGATTAAGCTATCTTCAATCGTATGATCTTCAGACGAATTCGCCTGGGCCCCTGCTGCCTGTTCGAGATCACTTGACATATCCATTTGTCGTGATCCTTTGGAAGATGTACTCTGTACAATGCCCATCTCTTGGGAAAAATCAGATGCATTACCCGCATCCTGGATCGACGGATATATAGCTTCATTCTGAGACTCCATACTTGTAGTGATATCTCTAGAAGATGGTCGACGATTGGGGCAATCTGCATAATGGATATCGCAACACTTTCTAAAAACTTGCACAGCGTTGTCTTGCACGATATCTGTGGCACATATGGACCTCTGTAATCCCACTGTACCAGAAGTAACAGTACCACGTGTTTGGGATTGATTTAGCGTGTTATCGTCCTCGGAGATTGCTGAATCGACTCCTGGTACCATAGAATACGATACCGGCCACGATGTTTCAGAGGACATCTTACTCGAAAAGACTGGAGATGATTGTAAGGACTGTACTGTATCCTCAGCCATATTGGATGTTAAGTAGAAGTGGAGAGTATAATTGCAAAAAGTCTTGGTCTGTGGTTATAATGAGCGAAGTGAGTGCTAATCGCCTTTTGGCAAAGCTTTCATTATTGATATTCAACTTAATATTCCATTGTTGATATTTTAAAAACAGCTGTTAGTGAGACGACTCCCTGGCGATAACGAAGCGAGGTTTGGGGGAGGTGTGTATTTATTGCAACTATCTATCCCGCCCGCACTACTTCTGTGGCTTGAACCAACATCTCTCATAACACAACATGGTGCATGTGAAGATTGCGAAAAGTTGAGGATATAACCGGTTTTTGAGGCTTAAACCTAGATCTCAATTCATAAATAAGTGTAGACAATGCACCCATTACTTACGGGTCTAAATATGCTACCATTCAGATTTTTTCTCGAATTCTTGCGTTATGTCCACTTCACATCGTAAGCAAAAACGGCATTCGAGAGGTTCGAATGAGAGAACCTCCACATTCTCACCCACACCTTGGAGTGAATGGGCAACCGAAGTAAAGACTGGCCGGCCAGTTCGATACCGCCTGGATACACAAGGTATGATACTTGCTATCCATTTCAGCACTTTCACTAAATGTATCATTAGGTAAATATGAGTATGATTACGACAAAGAACGCTATGACACGGGATCTGGTGATTCTGAGATAAGGAGGACGTCGCAAGTCGATATGTTTGAACCAACTCAAGATTCAACCCAATATTCTGCATCCCAAAGTTATACAAGCGATCGAACAGTCAATGATCTATCCAAAAGATTTGCCCAGACTACTCTCGAAGAGACTAGTACTCCGACTACCTTTAATACTACAACAAGTACTGCACCTATAACTCGAGTGCAAACCGAAACGAATCTGGTACGAACTGCAGATCCCAACACATTTGCTGAAGAGTTTGATCCCAGTATGCTCCCAGTAGCTGCTTATTGTACCACCAGTTAACAATATACAGACTATCAAGTTCAAAAAAGTTGGGAGTTTCGGTTTGGCCGAGTATATACTTGCATCTTCTACGTTCACCGAACAAATACTGACTGATTAGATTTTCAAAGTCCTTTGGTCCGAACCGATGGGTAGTGGTGGCGAGCCGACAGTGACCGCAACACAATCTGTTCGAATAGGAATGTACGGCCAAGCTCACTACGAAAAGGTTCGACGGTTTTTGATTATCAAGGAGAATGAAGGCCACTGTCTTTGCCTGTCAGTCTGCAGCTTTTCCTACCGTCTGCGTAAGACTTTCCCCGGAACGAAAGTTAATCAATGATAATTCGTCCTAGTCCCATCATGACATATGGTCTTCAAGGAACGAACAAAAAGGGGGTTCATGCTAAGCATCACGCGATAATATATACCGATCAACCTACGATGATTCAAGGGGAGAAGGAGAAGGGACTGAGAAAGCAACCAATCAAAGTCATTCCAGATGCATCGCGAGAAAGACTCCAGGCAGCCTCTCGACTCAATTACGCAAAGGTTTACACAGTTGAACATAATGTGAAGGTATGGTTTATCGGAAAGCTGACAAAAGAGTCAGAGTCACACGTAGTTACCGACTACAATATTGTTTGTCCTCCAATTGGGGTTGGCAGGCGTGCCCCGAATAGAGAAGCAGCTCCCAATAACACATTGTCCTTTGCTCCGGGCTATGGCTCCAATCCTGGGTCAATTAATAGCAGCCAACCTTACACAGTCCCACCTGCTGCTGGTATATCTTACCCAGGCACGAGCTTTGCGCCAAACCAATATCAAAACAGAGCACCAACATATCAACCGTCATATGGACAACAATATGCGCAGCCTCAATCGACGACGAGAGCGCCACCATGGAGCCAGCCAAGAAGCGCCTACCCTCCCCAGCCAAGTTCTTCGTCCTCGCGATATGGAGCATATGGTAATAGTCCAAACACTTACAGCTCATATGCACCATGGGGAAACGACTCCAATGGGTATCCTCTGCCGAACCCCTATCCAGGTCCCAATTAACTATACCGGTGAGTTCTGATTATATACAAGAAAACACCGTTTCTCCACTGACACTTGATGATAGAAGGTAATTCGATTGCAAGACGTTAGGTGTGGCCACTAGGTCCTCCTTCTATTTCTATGTTCACGTTATTTATTTCTGCTTGACCCGCTCATACATGTAGCTCGGTTTTGGTCTGACATTGTATTGCTATTTGTTTTTCAATGTGGTTCAAATTTTCCAGCTTGGAGCAAGGCTCTCGGAAACATCGTCTTTCTCGTTCGTCCTAGTATATCCTAATTTCATTTGAATACCTATGTTCTTTACATATACGATATTTGCAAATATTATGATTATTCACAAGCTATGAATTGGTTTATGTTACATGGCCCTGCGTGGGATAAGGAAATGGCTCTGGGGTGATAACGAATTAATGACTATTGTATCCCCTTATTCAATTATGACAAGAACCATATGCTTGAGAGTCATTTATGAGCTACTGTCAAGATATCAGCAACAAACTCGAAACCCGTATCTGTACTCAATCTACAATAAAGTAGCCCATCATTCATCCGCAAAGCCTCTACAATCACCACCCCCACATCCCTTCACTCTTACACAATAATTACATCTACCTATGAACCTCTGGTCTCTAACCCATAACAAATAAACACACACACTACTAATTACACCCAGAAAACAAGCCAAGACTCAGATTAACCCCGCATATGCATGCAAATATGCTTATTCATGGTCGGACATCCAAGCACCTATACATGACGGGGACATGCATACACTACCCAAAAGCAATCCCGCAATCAAGATGTCCATCCCTTTGGCCGAAGCCGCAGCACATCGCTCAGTCCTGGAAATAGATGGCTTATGCGGATTTTAGTGGGTAATCTATGATTTTACTATTATCTTGATGCCGGTTTCATTGTTAGTATAGCTACTATAGAATAGTAGATTAGTAATACTAATTAGTTATTTACCGGGTGTATATATTTACTGAACCTTTTACTCGAATAGTAAATAACTAGTGTTAGCACGCCGCCACTTCTTCATTTACCTCGCTCATTTATCTGATCTCATGTACACGCTACACTTCATCGGGCTTAAGACCTGGGAAGTTGAGATATGTATTTGAGTAATTTATAATATCGAATACGAGTATTATCTATTATAATAGCTCTATGGTTTTAATATTAGTTGAATTAGAGCCAAGCGATTCTATAACTTGAAGAATTACTCGAGTCTAAAGTCTCAAAATAAAAATGAACTAAGTTGAAGTTTCCTTCTAATAGAAAATCTAATATTATTAGAGAATAAAAGTCTATAGTTAGAGAAGGTTAGTGAGACAAGAAAAATGTATAGAAATGAAGTAGACAAATATTCCAGGGTTTTGGGCAAACAAAAGAACAAACGAACTCGCAAAAGGAACACCTGAATAGATTTTCTCTACAAGTCCAGGCTCCAAGTCCATAACGTCCTTGTATATCTTGCCTACTCAGATCCTATATTTAATTATACTTCACAATCTTTTTATAAAGTCCTTACTGTAGTCTTGGGCTCATCACATTTCATCGATTCATTATCGTGATCAAGATCTTGGAAAGCGCGTTTTTGAATCTCTGCTTCGATCATAATGTAAGGCTTCTTTCTCTTCCAACGCTGCTTGGGTAGCTTTTAGCTATATTGGCCAGTCCTCTTAGAAGTAGAAGCCTCTAACATAAATGAACCAAGCTTTTGGGGTCTTCGTGATGTTTGTTTGATCTCTTTTACTTGTACTGTATCTTGGATGTTTTTTTGCTCTTGTCGAATGGAGCATACCCGTCCACGAAGCCGGCTAAAGTGATAGTCCGCTGCCTACATTCGTATCTCTTCAAGCTGGTTTATTGATGTGTTTGAAGCTCTTATCAATATAATGTTATGAAGTTGACTTCCATAAGACTTGGATTGGGTGGGATGGTTCGCATCTTGAGATACCGGAATCCTCACAACGAAAAATACCATATGTAGCGATGTCATCTTATACGTCCCGTGCGTCTCATAAATACAGAAGGGGATCGAAAAGGGCTTCGAGTTCCTTCAAAGTTACTTCATGGAGTGACTGGCAATTGAATACCGAAAGGCAACAGTGGCAATCGTATCGCACCAATACTCTCGGGGAAACGGAATGGCAATATAGGGACTATAAAACAGCTTCTAGCGCATCTAATGTTCCAAATATTCCGAGATTTGATGACACGGTATCGAACGATAAAACTCAATACTCAAGGAACAGGAACTACTCATACGTCGCTACAGACAACAATGATGTTGGAGCTTTAACCGGATCACTGGCGGCTATTACTTTGGATTCAATAGCCGAATCGGATCCACCCATTGTTGCTAGTCTTGCGCAAAACAATACTTCCACCGAGTATAAAGACTTCGATCCTAGTCAGTGCTTCATTGTCCAACGGTACATATAGGGAATTTCAATTTGGAAGGGTACGATGGCATCTCATCTCATAATCCCGCAACATGACTAATGTCAGCAGTTCTTCAATGTTCTTTGGTCTGAGCCATCGGGAAGTATAGCTGGAGGAGCGATCTGGTCACGTAGACAGAAGTATGGAGAAGAGATATATGCCAAGGTCCGAAGATTTGTTATTATACACCACAGGCAGGGTCATTGTCTTTGCTTGTAGGTCATTGATATAAGACCATTCTTTCCTCTCGTATTGCTATTGACTGTGAGACCAGGCCAATCATATCTTACGAAGGAAGGGCGACAAGCAAGCCGGGCGTGCATGCTCAAGACCATGCCATAAACTATCTACACGACCTCGGGGCCAAAACTGACTCAAGATGAGGATGGCAGTAAGATACGATTTCCTCCAATCCGGATGGTATCAATCAACACACGACATACCCTTAATGAGGCATCACGAATCAACTATACAAAACTCTATACCGTTGAGTACAATGTCAAAGTGTGGTTCATCGGGAACATTGATCGGAATTTTGAGTCAACAGTGAAAATATCTTATGACAAAGCCAATCCGCGATTGAGTTCATCACCTGAAACATCTTCAACCATACCATACCGAGCGGGTGTCCCCACATACAGCAATACTTCATATCCTATGCCAGGTATTTCTTCCAATGTTTCTGGTTATCCCATTGCGTCAGGCTATGGCAATTCCATGTCTCGATCATCACCATCTTATGATACAAGGTATAATACCGGATCCGGTAGCACCAATTCTTATGAAGCATACGGCAGTACAAAACAAATTCCTTCAACACAGTACTACAATCCATCATCGTACCCTCCATCCCAAATATCCCCACCAGAATATCCTCCCTCGCATTATCCTACATCGCAGTATTCTACATCACAATACCCAACATACACACCAAACACCAACTAGCAATACCCTCCATCCTAGATACCCCCTTCAAAATATCCTCCCGCGCAGTATCCTACATCGCAATACTTAGCATACACACCAAACACTAGCTAGCAATATGGTCACAATTTTCAACCCAAATATGGGTCTGGCAGTGGAGGAGACCAATGATGTAATACTATATACTTTGGATGGCCGAGCTAATCAGCAACCTGTAAGAGTCCACTCTGTGTCCACAAAAGAGTTAGGTAGCGGTAGCTAACATGCTTAACTAAGGCCATTGTTATTTATAATACGTTTAGGGGCTCACTCGCTTACCCTTATTTCCATTCATAGCCAGCCACAACTCAATATGTGTCTTGTTTCGAGCAATACATCCTTCCGTATTTCTTGCCTATGCTTTTTTCTACTATCCGCTGCTATTTTCTTCTGTTTTCTTAACTCCTTGGAAGTGATTTAATTGTTTTCAAAGACTATAAGCATTTCGAATATTGGAATCTCTCTAATTGGACTATAGTCCGGACTACTATTTAATACTCTGATTTGATTCTTTAGTCTATTGACTCTATAGCCTAGATAGCTCTCTAGATGTTTTAATATAGCAATAGTATATAAATGATATATTATATTCTTCTCGAAGATATACTATATCCTTTCCACTTTCTAGAATCAAACTAGTAATTTATAGATATTCTAGGCAAGTAAATCGTATGATTATTAAAGGTCTATCGGAACCTATATCCAGTAATGAAAATGAGAGAAAATATAGAGCATAGAGATCGTAATTAGAGTGAGAAATCCATTCACACTTCAAGTTACAGCGATGTGATCCTTCAAGTTGGCTATTATATTATTGCGTACCCTCCCGCTAAACACATGATATACAGCTCTGCTCTGCTAATAAACATGCTAGAGTATCTGCTTCATCCCCTAGAATTGACTTTTTAAATTAGGTATCGAATAAATAACTCCATCCCACAAATTGCTACTATAGCCGGTATCTATTGCTACTGCGTGTCAGCACCAGCCTATAATTCTGTGTCTCGAGAGAAAGTCGTTAATAGGATCGGTGCAGGTACTTACTGAAATTCTCATGGTTTCTTAGTTCAAGATGCCAGAAACTGAAATACCGCACCTGTTCATGACTAGTTAGCCGTTGGCCTTTTGAGATTCTGCTTGTAAGTGTTGGGAGTGAAAACTAATTCGAGACTGAGTTGGGAAAACTTTGCTTGTTTACTTCTCTCATCTTCTCTCATTATTCATAGATCCAAGGGTATATCTGATCTCTTGTCTAGACTAGAACCTTCCTGCTTCTCATTCTGTTCTCCGTTTCGTTCTTTGTCCTGTTCCTCGAGCTGTTTCTCGGACTGTGTCTCATGATATATTCGCCATATTTCTGCACTTGCTTTTTTACGTTCCTTCTTCTCTTCCTTGGACTGTATCTCGTCATCTGTTCGCCCACGTCTTGCTCTTTTTTTCTTATATTCCTCTTCTTGGTACTCCACAGGAATCTCTCCACCTTTCCCATCCGTCTCAATATCAAAGTCCTCCGTCAAAGCCCTAATTGTTATATTCGCCGTATCTAAGAAATTAATACCATGAGCAATAAACAACTTCTCCATATGTGAATTCGACTTTTTGACGATATCATTCGGTTTTCTAGTAGTAAAAGGGTTCCCAAGTAGCGCATAAGTCATCAGATCTAACGGCGTGACAGGCGGCGACGAAACATTTGGATAATGTGCTAACTCATGCTCCAACATATCATCTCTTATTCGTTGACTCTTTTGGTTTCTCTTGCGAGGAAATCCCTCTACTCCTTCTTCCAATTGCTTTCTAACTAGTCGTGCTCGTCTAGCCATAGCTCTATCTGTTGACCGTATGATTTGTAATTTTGTACGAGTCGGCACATTATCTTTTGATTCATCGTAGTCGCGTACAGCCGGACTGTTAGGAGCATCAAGATCAATGACTGTTTCTGAAAGGTTGAGTGGTTCTGAACTTTTGTAGCTCCACTTGGATCGTCTTGGAAATGCTGAGATTGCGGGGAAATTGGATGACTTGACAGCGCGCCGGTACAGTAACAAGATACCGTTCCGTTGATTCATTTTGATGGTGAAGAAGCGCCAGAATTGCAGCACTAGACTTAAGATTTAAAAGAATGTGGGCTAGTAAATGAAAGTCGAAATTGTGCTAACATCGAAGCCGTTCATTAAGTGTGCGCTAGCTTTAGTAAATCCGGGGAAAGGCTTGTGCGGGAGTGATCTTATTAGTCAGCAGAGCGTCTCTAGAGTCTAGCGTTCGTCGACTAAATTTAGCTTCTTTTCTGACGACAACAATAATCTCAACCATCAAGACAACATCAAAAAATTAAATAAATCTCAGAACAAAAACAAGCTCGAAAACACAAATTTCACTTCTAATATATAATTTCTCTCAAAAACTTCAAATATGCCACCTGCAAAGAAGAGAAAGACACGCGCAACAGCCGAATCATCGGAGGACGTACAACCACTCGATGCCATTACCAACGCAGAAACACCAGCAGAAACACCAGCAGAGACTATACTCAAGAAAGCCACCGAACCTTCACCATCAACCACATCATCCTCCTCCTCAGACGCCGTCGCCAAAGCCAAAGAACGCCAAGAAAGATTCAAAGCCCTCCAAGCACGCGCCAAATCTTCGGCACAAAAGAACCTTAAAGAAGCCACTCTCGAATCGCAACGTCTAGCCACCGACCCCAATCTCCTCGCATCATTGAGTCGTAAATCCGCCGTGGCATCTCATAACCTCTTAAAAGCCGATGCTGAAGCCGCGGGCGAAGATTTCGAGCGCAAGCGAGCTTGGGATTGGACGATTGAAGAGAGCGAAAAATGGGATAAACGATTGAAGAAAAAGGGGGCACATAGGGATGATCAAGCCTTCCAGGATTATCGACAGGATAGTAGAAAGGTATATAAGAGACAGATACGCGATCTGAAGCCTGATATGGATTTCTACGAGAAGGAGAAGATGGCTGCGGTAGAGCGGGCTGCGGCGTCAGGAGGTCTTGAGATTGTGGAGACGGAAGATGGCGAATTGGTTGCTGTGGATAAGGATGGAACGTTTTATAGTACAGCGGATTCGACAGGGTTTGTGGAACATAAGCCGGAGAAGGCGGCGGTGGATAGATTGGTGAAGGATCTGCAGCAGGCGGAGGAGGCGAGGTTGAAGAAGCAGAAGGCGAGGAATGCGGCGAATGGGGAGGATGGTGATGTTACCTACATCAACGATAAGAACAAACAGTTTAACCAGAAGTTATCGAGGTTTTACAACAAGGCAAGTATACATGACTTCACTCGTCCTTTACATCTGCTAACATTTCTTAGTACACTGCGGAAGTCAGGGACAGTTTCGAGCGTGGCACAGCTATCTAATTACAATAAGGGTTGGGTGGATAGATTATGCGGAGTTTGTTCATACACTCTGTAGTCTAATACAATACAATGCCAAAATAGGCAGCTTTCGATCGTTACTCATTTTATAACATACCCTTTCTCCAAGCTTTCTCGGCCAACTGTTCAATCTCTCGAGTTTCAACTGGACCTTTCACACTCTCCTCACTCAAAGCTTCCACAACAGCCTCAGCTACCACATCCGCCTTCAAGGGCTTTACTCCCGCAGCCCCCATAATCCCTCCAAATATCCCTCCCGTTAGCCCATTGAACACAGCACCCAACCCCGTGGCTGCAGCCAATGGCATAGTAATCTTCCTCGAACTATCATACAACATCCCTGGTCTAATAAACACACTCCTCATCTTCGGAAACTCACTCGCAATCGTACTTTCAGCCGCTCTCTTCGTATCTATATATCTCTGCGGCAATACTGGGGCTCCACCTGCTGCACTTATATATGCGAATGTGGGGACATTTTCCTTGTAAGCTTCTGAAGCCAATGTGATTGCCGAGTCTCGATTCATGAGTTCGTAAGTTATTTGTCCGTCTCTTTCTTGGGAATGTAAGTCCTCGCCCGCTTTACGAGTTAAGGGGTTTTGAGAACCAGATTTTTGAGAGGAAAATGCGCGGGAGAGACCGTAGATGGGGGATTCGCGCCCGGAGATTACTCCTTTGTAGTCAGCTTCGAGGAGGATTCCCATGGTGTGGACCACGTAGTCGGCGGATTTGAGGACTGTGGGTTGGGGGTTAGTAAGTGCTTGGGAGGAGTCTTTATGGGGAGGAATGAGAGGCAATTGCTGTGTTGGGAATAAAGAGGATGTTGTAAGTCAATGTATTGGGTATGCTTACGAGGGGCGTAGGTGGAAGGTTTGAGGATGTCGGCGCGTTCCCAGGTTACTTTGTGGGACCAGGAAGGTGGGGTGGAGGACGCCGAGACTGAGGACCAGGTTGGTTCACCGGAGCGGCTGTAATGATGTTAGTATCAGATTGCGACTTCAATACCTACGTAAGAAGAATTGGAAAGAAAGAGGATGATGAATATGGAGTTTGAAACTGGAGCTTCCTATATACCTAATAGAAGTAACATCCCAACCCCTCGCAACCGCAGATTTACAAATCCTCGATCCCAAAAACCCATTTCCACCACATACTACTAATCTTTTAGATGCCGACATATTTTCTTTCAATTTGTATATAATGTAGTTGAGTAAGTAAAGTGTGAAAGAAAAAGCATCTGATGAATTGATATTCTCAAAACCCTGGTATTCATCGGATGTTCTAATGCCCGTAAACGTCAAGTATTTCGAAATGATGCTGAAAGCATTGACCACTTACAGTCTATTACATTCTTGGATTAGTCAGTGCTAGGTATAAAATACGCTAAACTAGCTCTAACCTTAAACACCCTTGATCTAACTGAAATTCGAGAACGGCATCTTTAGTCTAAGAACTATCTTTCACACTTCTGCCCCTCCATCATCAACTACAACAACAACAACAACAACAACACCAGCAACACCCAACCCAAACAAATCCTACTACAGAAATGGCACCACCAAATACGCAAAAACGCACGAAAGGCGTATCGATATTCAGACCCTTTGTATACGGCACCACATCCCATAAGTTCAGCGAGAAATATCCCAAGCCAGAAGGGACGCCGGAAGATCACACACATCAGTGGACTGTGTTTGTGAAGGGGGTCGATGATACAGATATTACTTATTGGTGTCGAAAAGTGCAGTTTAAATTGCATGATAGTTTTCCGCAGCATATGAGATGTGAGTCCTATCCGTTTCCTTTGCTTTGGTCTACACTTTACTTTTATTTTGCGCCTCCTTGTACATCTGCAATTGAGCATTCGGTTTGTTAAAAGTACTATGCTAATCTGATGATTTGATGGTTATAGTTATTGAGAATGTCAAGCCCGGTGACTCTTTTCAGTTAACAGAGACAGGCTGGGGTGGCTTCGATATCCAAATCAAAATATACTATGATCCTATTGCCAACGAGAAAGCCCAAACTATATGGCATCATCTTCAATTACAACCATATGGCGATGAACAAACGATGGAGAAACAAATACGTGAGAATGAGGTTCATGCATGGGTTTATGACGAGATGGTTTTCAATGAACCTTATGAACAATTTTACGATGTACTTACGAATCCCATACCAAGGGAAAAATCGAATGGAGGAAAGGGAAAGGCGACGAGGACGATGAGGGGAGGTATGGTGGGTAGTGTGGGGGAGAGAACGGCATTGATTCCGCTTACGAGTCGGCCTGGACAACCGTTTAGTAGGGATACGGAGAGGATGGAGATTAAGAGGTTGACGGAGGGGAAAAAGAAGGTGGATAGTTTGAATGAAGGATTGAGGAGGGAGTTGAGGGAGAAAGAGGATCAGCTAAGGAAATTGAGGGCAGAGATGGAGAAACTTTGATGAGAAGGGATGGATTCTTTCGATAATGGAAACGGGTATGGGGATGGGGATGAAACGACTGAGATTGGGCTTTACGAATACTCGACGGGTGTTGAATATGCTTCGACCGATGGCTCAATGTGTATATCCGGAAGAGTGTTGGAAAATTTACACAGCCATGCCATCTATCAAACCTGGGTTTTAGCGTATTACATCTAATCATTGCATCGCCTTATATTGTTGAACTGCCCTCTTCACCTCACTACCTCACTATTCAGAATGCTATCGATACATACATACAGAATCCAAGCACAATATTCTCAGATCAGAATAAAACAACACAACATCGCTTTGACTCCAAAAAATCCGATATTGCGAACGGAGAAGCTCTGGATTAGAATGAATGGGTTTGGTCCGCGAGTTATCAGCATATGCTTATGCTATAGCAAGCGCTCAAGCAAGCATGACAAACACGGCAGGTTAGTATCTACGGTAGGTAGATGATCGAGGGGATAGATTTGAGGGAATGGAGGAAGGGGAGAGGGGAAGGGATAAGGAAAGGGATAAGGGGAAAGGGAAGTGGAAGAAGGAAGGGGAAGGGGAAAGAGGAAAGCGAAAACGGGTGATTAGATGGTGATTTTATTATGGATGGGTGGGTTGGTAGGTTGGTAGGTAGGGGGTTGGGGGTGTAGGATTTAGATCTGAATTTAGATTTAGATCTAAATTTAAGAGAATGAGCGGAAGAGTAGAAGAGTAAAAGAGTAAAAGAGTAAAAGAATAAAAGACTTAAACAGTGAAATGGGCTGAGACAAATTAGGGTAGGATAAAACAGGATAGGATAGGATAGGATAGGATAGAAAAGATAGAAAACTGTTAGTTAGTTGATTGTAATCCAAACTGTACTCGATACTTGTACAATACAGTTTATCACAAATCACTTATATTCATACTCAAACTCATACTCAAACTCATACTCACTTATACTCATACTCACACTCTAAAACTCACAAGTCACTACCTACTGTATATAGTATATATTATATATTATACATTATACATTATATATTATATATTCTAATATATAAGAAATAAATAAGTAAATAAGTTAATAACAGTACTTGTATATACTGAAGACTAGATGGAGATGTAGATTGGAAATGTAGATATAGAAGTGGACGTAGATGTAAATAGAGATGTAGATATGGATGTAGATGTAGATATATATAGAAGTAGAGTTGTATGTAGATAAACTTATACGAGTAATGGATAATAGATAATAAATAACCTCTCATCAACTCATCTATTCGAGTATCATTTCCTCTCCTCAAAGGCTCCTCATCTACTCGAGTAAAATAATCATACAAGCAATAAGCAACAAGCAACAAGCAACAAGCAACAAGCAACAAGCAACAAGCAACAAGTAGCAAGTAGCACCAAAGCAAGAAAGGTATTTTCTTAATTGAAATTCAATATTCCTCTTCTATTTCTCTTTCCCCTTCTCTTTAATTTCCAATCCTCTCCTTTCTCTCATCTCTCATCTCTCATCTCCTCTCTCCTCTCTCCTCTCCCATCTCCTCTAATTTTCCATTTCCTCCATTTAAAACCTGACACCGACAAAAGAAAAGAAAAGAAGTTCATCAGTCCCCTGCCACCATCGCTTCGCTCCAAACGATCCAAAAGAGAAGGAATCGCCAAGTCCCACATATATAAAAATTCAAAACAACATCCACCTCCACCTCCACTCACCTCCACTCACCTCTACCCACAATACAAGATCATCAAGATTACAATCAGGACTTAACAACCCACGCATTCAAACCAAATCGCTCAAAACGAAAACCCTCAAGAACCAACTTTTATGTACCTGCCACCAAACCGAATCACCCACACCATTAAATCCCAACCCAAACCTAACCATCCATCCATCCAAATCAGGCCAAACCTCCCATGAGATTCAGCAGTTCCTTCCCAGTACAGTAGAAATCAAACCCGCTAAGTTGCAGCACCAAAGTTATCAATATTAGGTACTTCCAGAAACACAAAAGAGTGGAGTGTTCGTAAGACCGTTATTATTCCCATGAAACTCCCGTAAATCAATTAACAAAGAAAACAGTTGAGATGTTGTACACGTGTGAGATTGAATGTAATCTAGCCTACATTACAAGGCTTTAGGTTCATAAGCAGGTGGAGCATCATCTCCATTACTTGATGTAGACCAAAACCCTTCACGAGTGGTCTTATCGTCATGTTGACGACGGGCAAGTTCAGAGGCCATCTTCATAATCCAGGCTTGCTCAAGAATTCCAGACGGTGCTTCGGTCGTAGAAAAGTGAAGACCATGTGGGTATGAGAATGGTGTGAGTGGTGGAGTAATCCCTGGCTTCTCTGGGGCATATGATGTAAACGTCGATTGGCTGTATGCTGGGCGCTTTTGATGCTGCGACTGTATTGGTGTAGAAGGTTCCACAGTGAGTGTTGGAATTTGGTCCATCTTTGATTGTTCGGGAGTCATCGAACGAGATGATTGCATTTTCTTCGGTGAGTCTCCAAGGTCAATACTATCAAATCGTACCTTTCCTGATGGTGGAGTGACAATAATATCCTCTGGTTCTTCTGGAATACGAGATGGAACGATTGGCTCGGATGCTGCAGTGATTGAAGCCGTCTCACTTTCGCCACTCTCACTAATATCATCTGTAGTTTTAGGTTTTCTCAGGTTGACCACTCTATTCTTCTTCTTTCTCGTTGGATGCGATCTTGAACCTCGATTGGCACCCAAACTCAATCCTGTTGTAGCCGAAGTCATATTAACCAATGATGGTCTCGATGGCATACCACCATGTCCATCATCAGAACTTCTATTTGTGAATGTGTAGGTTGTACTCTGACTCCCAATGGTTGATGGGGATCTGTGAAGCGAAGGAGTTGCTGGCGTAGATGTTCCAGCAGAATCTCCTCTCTCTGAAGGTGCCCATGCTCGAAATACTGCATCTCGTATAGAAGGAGTGAAAAGTGACAAAGTTCGATGAGAGTTCGTGAGTGCCGCCAATCGAAGTAGGTTCTTTTGTGAGAACAAGGAGTGGATCTCTGACCCACCATCCAACGATAAATTGGATATTTCGGTTGCATCTAGAACATTTCCACGAGCATCAACCGCATCTTGTGGTGGACTTGCAAATGGATCTACCGCTACTTCTTCTTTGGCTTTCTTTGCAGCTTCGGCCATCTCTTGATCTTCCTTTGCTCTATATTCCGGACACCATAATCTCAATGATAATCGGTGAATGATAGCAGGTAACTCATCCATCATTAAAGTCCTCAACTGTTGTTCAATTTCCTTCTGTAAATAGTCCTTGATGAATGGTATCGAGTCGAAGGTAGATGAGACCTTGAGGGATTCAAGCGGATCATTTCGGAAAACCAAGGTTAATCCCTTTTGCTTTGAGAATACCACTATGATGAAGGCAGATAATTTGATTTCCGACAAGGTAATTTGTAATGGGATCGTGAGTCCCGCATCTGCCGCGAGAGGTTGTGGAGATGTGAATGATGGTTTCGAGAATAAATGGTTATTTAGCGGATTAGCCTATGTTGATATATTAGCATGAATTATAGTCATGACAAGTATATGGGATATGCGATATGCCAATTGGGCAGTAAAAATGAAAGCGCGACCCCTCCTCCCTTGATGCGCGTCGAGAATTCTGCAATGACAACTCATTTAACCGTCCAAGAAAATGTTCATTCAAAAGTGGGAGAATGAAGATTTGTGCGAAACGTGCGAAATGTACGAAATGTAGGATATGATGTCGATGATGAATGATAGACATACCTGAACTCTTGTTTTCAAGGTCAAAAAGGCATCTCCAGAATAGCACATTTTGAATATTCCCCTGAACCTATCCTCTGCCAAATCCCCAATTTCCAATATCTCCAAATCTGGAGGTACCGAACCCAAGTTTAATTCATTAACCAGAATATCATCCTTTATGATGGGTGGCTTTGGTGATTTATTCAGAGCTGCCGTGAGCATCTCTTGAGCTCTTTGATAAAATTCCGCATCTGCCGTTAAAGGCGACCAGTTGAAATTGAATGCCATATTGTAATGACATTAGAAGATGATGAAGATGTTGATAATGAATAAGGCGTTCCTATACAGAAACGCAACAGCAGATCGTTCGACCGAGAGGATTTTCGATAAAATTTGTTGTGTTGATTTAAGCTTGTGGAAGCTTCATGAGAAGAAGAAATCGACCCAAATTATTCGAAGTTTTGATCGCGTGGGAAAGCTTTTGATGGATGTGATGGTATCGTGTGACGTTAGGTTATTAAATCTTTTGATTTAAAAAGTTAAGATGAGGTTGAGCTCCAAGTTCTTTGAATTCGTGATATAAGCTCGATAATAAGGTAAATGAATGATTTTGTCAATTGTTGTTGTTTAGGTAGGTTAATGATGCTCTTTTTCTTTCTTTCCGCATTTCTCCTTCCAACTCGCTTCCATAACCATATAAACCCTGCTTGAAATTTGTATGATATACAAAATCTGAAGATATGGATGAAGAAAGATGTTATTAATTAACAAAGGGTTATATAGTATAGTATTCTATGTTTGTTATATCTACATTCTCGAGTATAAATAAATATTTATTCCTCTAAAACCCAATTCAACTTTCTTTCGTCATACCGACTATCAAACCGACTATCAATCAAAATCTTTTTTATTTCTTCCCCTCACTCTTCACTTCTCTCACTCCACTCCAACTCACTACCTCACTATTTCCCTTACTCATCAACTCATCACTCACAGACTTCAATTGTGCTCTGACCCACATAACAAGACCAAGAGGGCTAGCTAGACTAGCTCAGAGCTCTCCATCTTTCTCTCTCTCTCCCTCCTTCTTCCTCTCTCTCTCCCTCCTTCCTCCTCTCTCCTCCTCTCTCCTAGTCTAACCTAGTGATTTCCCTCAATCCTACCCCCTTTCCCTACTCCTCATAAAAAAACACATATTACTATAGATTGCCTTCCCCCAAAATTGTTCCCGGGAAAATATCGCATTGTCTCGTACTCTCGCGTTACTACCCGATATTAACCATTAATCTCCTTGCATTATTTCTACAGTAATTAATTATTCATGCATACATGTAGGGCTTACTTTTCGTCCTATGTGTATGACTTGATCAGAGCGTTGGAACTTTTGTATATAACCATTTTAATGTTAACAACTTCATCTGATCTTCAATCCTTATGAGTCTAACGTTAACGATGGACCATCAACACATGGGATGAAAGTACTCGAGTAGTGGTGAAAGGCTGATTGATCCTTGCTATGAAACTTATCTTTATTGATATCTATAATATACCTACCTATACATCGATACCGGTACTCGAGTATATTATCTTACTTGAAGCCGGGATGATTGTCTCCTCTCCTTTTTGATATAACATGTACTTACGAGTACTTGTACAAGAGGTCCCATCAACTTCCAGTCAAATAGCTCTTGTTATTTGGACGTCCTATTCCATCTCTTTTCTCACACTTCTTTCCTCTTACATACTCGAGTATAAGTTACAGTACCATCAAACCGAAAACTCATGGTGATACGCAGACGGAAGGGATTGAAATATGTCGAATTACAACTTTATCCTAAATAGTTGTTAGGCCAAGGCTGTTGTAGTAACTTTAATTTAGGTTCGTGATTCTCAATATCGGAACATTAGTATTATACTTACCAAGTCCCTATCTCAAATCGCAGCATCGATTAACAGCTTTATTCTTCTCTTTTACCATATTATTCCTCTACTCGCCAAAGGAGAGTTGCGATGGAGTGAAGAAGATAGATATGTCTCCCCAATCCTCATCCAGTTATATATGAGTCTTGTTTCTGCAGAGGACTTGATATTTTTATATTATACTTTGTTACAACCTTCTACTCGGGTATGTTTCAATATGATCATCTTGTTTTATTTATTCATTTATTTATTTATTTATTCCATATCATGACGGCCATATCTCTCTGATCACGGTACCATTGGTCTCGTGGAAGAATGAAAAGTCTGGAACAGCAGCTCGAAAATCCCAAGGTCTATTGATGGTCATTGAGTTATATAAAAATTTACCGTTCAGAGCTCATAGTAATTTGGTTAGATACCTCGAAGCCGCCTTCTCATCAATACCTAGTGGTGTTCCTACCAATAGAGATACTTTTATTCAACTACCTATTAGTTATTAGTTCCCTTTTCCTCCCATTTATACTCCGGCCTTTAATTGCTCAAATGTACTTGGCATACCAACCATACATATTGATTACATTTTTCCCCGCTCATGACTTCAAGTCTTCAAAAGATGCATCCCTACTACTTCATTCTACCGTTTTAATCTTTACCTGCTTCATCATTTGAAAGTCCAAGCGCCACTTGCGCTCAAGCTAAATTTTGATTACGGTGGACGAAATGAACCTAATATGATGGAATTAAGGTTGAGTACTTCAAAAAGACCCAATCCGGTTTCTATCCTTCAATCGTTCCACTCATTTCACTTTCATATCTCCCCCACCCATTTTACATCTAGATTACCTACCTACCTTAATACTATCTTCATATAATGAATAACTTATCTACCCAACCTTATCGTCTTCCCAACAACAATATTAATATCAAAGTTCTAGCTGAAGGTGCTGCAAATGTTATATATCAAATAACTGTCGATTCAAGATCAGGGGAGGTTACCGAGGGGGAGAGGGACAAGGATCATCGAGGAGAGTTCGAATATCTTTCTGGTAATTTTTCAATACTTCCTTTGATTTTAATGAAATTGAATATAAATTTCTTCATTCTTCATTCTTCATTCTTCATTATAGTACTAAATAATTCCAAGGAAAATTACTACGTCTCAGAAAAGATGTTCCCACCACAGCCCCAACTTCCGAATCACATCAGCAATGGCTCAAATATATTGTACCCTTATTCAAGCCTGATCAAATAGTCACCCAAGAATTGGTCTATATAGGTCATCTTAATGTAATTCCCGGTTTGAATACCGATCTCAGACGTTTTGACAATACAGGTAGTACATCTACCTCGAATCATCTTGCACCACCCCCTAAAGGGAAATTTTATCGCTCCCGAGCTCAGAGTGGTACTTTCCTTGCAAAAGACGATTATGGTCTTCTGGTCACAGATATGACACCTAGTACGTCTTCAATTTTCCAATCATACCGTAATATACTCACAACCTTCTAGGAAAATCCACGCAAGAAACAGTCGTAGAATTCAAACCCAAATGGCTCTCTCCCTCCCATGAATTACCACCCCAAGCCATCCGCTGCCGCACCTGCGCTCTTCACGCTCGTCGCGTAGCATTTGGAGAAGAAAGAAAAAACACCGATCTCCAATCCTATCTCTGTCCTCTCAAACTCGTCGATTCTCATCCCAAATTGAAATTCGCCAATTACGCCGCAGCTGCATCTCACATCCTACACCAACCCCCTGACACACCCGCTGTACACGCACTCGCAACCTGGATCTGTGACAATCCATTGCTGACGCGATTACGTGATCTTCAAGCGATGTATGATTTGAAGGGATCATTGGAGTCGGAAGGGGCTTCGCATGAACTTTGTGTGGCGATGACGTTGAGGGATTGTTCGTTGTATATTAGGATGGATGGGGATGTGGATGGGGATTATCGGGTTGTGGAGGCTCGTTTGGGGGATTTGGATTATAAGTTGGCGGATAAATATTCGTCGTGGAGGAGGAAAGAGAGGGATTTGAGCGATGAGGGGTGGTATTGTGGGGAGGAAAGGAGGGAGTTGAGACAGTCGGTTGATGAGTGTCTTTTGGCGAGGAAGTTATAGATATAAGGTAGGGTATGTAGAATTACTTGGGTGCGGAGGGAGGGGTTTATCTGGTATTTGAGAGATTAAAGGGGAGAGATCAGATGAGATGAGATGAGATATGAATCATTACAGGGATCATATCATAATTAGCGGAGTTGGGGGGGGGAACGATACTTGGGAGGGCATCACAGGCTGACACGAATAAGCTTTCTTTTATCTTTATCTTAAACTTGGGTCGATGGATGGATGGATGGATGGGACAAAGGTATATATGGAGATATGGATATGGATATGGATATGGATATGGATGAACATGAATGGGAAAAAGGAAGATATGGATATATGGATATATGATATAGTGATACCCGGATACATATGTTTACCTACTTTATTAGAAGTAATGATAGGCAGGGTAAGGAAGGAAGGTGTGTGTGTATCATATAATATGATATGATATGGATTCTTTCCCAAACCTTATACTCGAGGAGAATGGAATTATATTATCTTATCTTACAGTACATATCATATCTGTAGATAAGATGGATAGATAGATGAATAGATGACATGACATAGTATAGTATGGCGAATTGGATTGAAATGAAATGAAAAACGAGTACTTGATACTCTATAGATATGATCTGCTACTGATATAATATAAAATAATATAATATAATATGTTGAATTAAAGGTCAAGTATAGTTGAATGATAAATCACATAAACTGGATATCATATAATAGATTCAATACTTATTGGCTAACTTAAAAATATTAAGAAAGAAAGCTTTCGAAAAAGCTATATATACTAGACTAATAACTGTTTGCTATATCCTATACATACATCATATATATTACGAAATTAATTATATTCAATATACTCCTTAATTAATGATATAGATAATATATAAATCTTTTAATCTCTGAAACCTTGATTTTTAAATTTTTTTTTTTAATTTCCC